TCTCAAATCTGTAAACTTCTTTAAACAATAAAAGAATTTAAGGAGTAAGAGCTGGCTCATATGTCTTTGAACAAATTTTTGTTATTGGAAATTTTCTTGTAATTTAGCCAAAGAAAACGTTTAAATCTTTGACTTGATTTTTCTCTTTGATAGAATATTTTTGATCAAATCTGAACTTATATTCGCTCGTTTCGCGGACAATAACCACCCCCAGATAGATAAATGTATAAGAAACTGGAAAAAATGTTACTCCTGTATGAGGGTTTCGACTTTTTGCTTAAGACATTATTTCTCTTTGCCATTTGTTTACAAGTTGTATGCTTTAAGTTATTATTTTCAAGTTGCTTGTTTTTAAATGGTTGGTTTACAAGTTGTATGCTTTAAGTTATTAAGTTTCAAGTTGCTTGTTTTTAAATGGTTGGTTTACAAGTTGTATGCTTTAAGTTATTGTGTTGTTTTTAAATGGTTGGTTTACAAGTTGTATGCTTTAAGTTATTAAGTTTCAAGTGCTAGAGATGTCAACGATAGTGTAACGTAACGTAAAATGTACGTTTTTGTACGTTACGTTACAATAATGTGTAACGTTTGGATATACTCTATATAACGTGAACGTTAAACGTTAACGTTAGAGGAGCTCATACCTAACAATAACGTTAAACGTTAACGTTAGAGGAACATACCCCTAACGTTAGCGTTTTGTGGAAATGTAACGTAATTTTTCTAATATCTACAACTTTTTTGACCATAACGTGAAGAAATGTTTTGTTTCCATGGGGAACTTGAAAGTCTAACGTTTGTAACATTAATTGTGATTTGATTGAATATCGTAACGAAAGGATTTCTATTTCAAAGTTCAACTTATAAAAAGTGTAACGTTGTGTAACTGAAAAATGCATTTCTGTTAATGAAAACGTTTTTAAACGTTTTCCCTTATAATATAATGAAAAGTTGAATGTTGCAGAAATGGGTTATTATTTTAATAATCAGGAAACGAAAGTTTTTTTTACAGAGTAAAATTTCAATAATGTAACGAATAACATTTTAAAAAATGTAATTCTGAAAATCAAAACGTTTCATAACTTTTCTCTGAATACTAAATTGATTAGTCTAACGTTAGATATATGCCTCATGAAAATATTGTTCATAAAACGTTAGACTATGAGGGCTGAGTTTTAATTTCAAAAGTGTAACAATAATTCTGCCAATCAAAACATTTCAAAACGTCTCTAATATATCAATGTTAGAGATGCGACTGATGATTATGACAGCAAAGACTAATGGTTTTTCATTTCAAGTTTAAAGAAAATGAGTTTATGCCACAAACTCTAATTTTCATTTAATATATCTTTGCAACCCGATGTCGTAGACCATTAATATTGAAATATACAAGGTTTAAACCATCGGGTTGGAAAGATATAGGGATAAATAAATTTGAAAAAAAATAGTTTTTTTCTAAAGTGTAAACTAGTTTTTTTGTAACATGCTATTTGTGAAAATTCAAATCTTATAATTGTTTCTTGGACATCAAAGGTTTTTGATTTGCCATTGTTTGATGAAACACACTAAAACTCTGGAAAAGGAAGACGACATTAATAAATTTTACGTATGCATTTTCTGTTATAAAGCAAATGATTTACTAATTGTAAAAAAATCAACCTATTAAGTGGAACGGATTTGTGAACAAACACAATTGCTGTGTTTCATGTTTATTTGACTACTTGAAATCATAACTTCAGTTGGCATGGTTCATGTTTTAGGTTGAAAAATTTAGAAATGTAGATACTTACTAAAATACTAAAATGCGTGCTATGTTTTATTCATCAATAGATTTTTATGAAACTTTAGAATAGAAAAAAAACTGATTTTTTAATCGATTTTTTTAAAGTAAAAAATGTTAAATAATTTTATTTCGCGTTGTTTGTGTTAAAAAGATTTTGCACTTGTCTTACTATATTTGATATTTTTTAACCCCAAACATGAACTCTGAAAACATTTTCATTGTGGTTTGTAAACTAAAGCTAATGCCGCTTTTTTACTCACTTTGTAAGTAACATAAAAAAAAGCACAAAAAGAACTAAAAATTCGCCACAAATTATTATTTTCTAATCTCTAATCTCTACATCTTTGCGAGCTGGTGTTGTAGACTTTTGATATTTCAAGCTATGACTTCTGTTAGATAAGAATGTCTAAAGGAATTAAGTTGTTCACAAACTTATATTTCTAATCCCAATATCTTTGCTACCCAATGTTGTAGACCACAGATATTTCAAACTATAAATTCTGTTAGATAGAAGAAAAGGGTCAGTCTGCATTGCGTAAAAAAAAGAAAAAAATAACCCTAAACTAATCTAAAATAATTTAAAACTACTATTCCACATGCAAAAGTGGTTTGCCTTGCCGAATTTTAACTCATTTTATGAAGTGTCCCAAAACATGTCTATTTTTTAAGCTCGTCAAATACGCGATGATAATTTCAAGTGATCCTCCATTTAAAGAGGGCCATACTCGATTATCAATGATAACGTGTATACCTTTATCTGATTTTGACGATTTGAAAATTGGGAGTGTTTTCCTATCGTGTAAATGTATGCTGGACATTAAGGGTAATTGATTTGTGACTTTTTTTAGAACTCAGCCAGCCACCCACCTGAGGTCGCTGCGTTTTAAATTTAAAAAAACATTGTAATAAAAAAAAATTTCAAAATTTCAAAATAGGGTTGCGAATTGACAATTTAATATTGGAGAAATCGCCGTAAGGCCTAAAAAAATATTTCAAAAAATAAATATGATGCATCATTTGCTTGAAAATTTCATGCTGAATTCAGATTCGAAAACCATTTTTAAATATATTTTAAAATAAAAAGTTATGGCCAAATAACGATACTAAATTCCGGTTTTTTAACTTTTAAATGTTTTTGATGAGTTTTTTAGCTCTAACTCACTCAACTTTCAATTTTTTTAAACGCTTTTCAGATTTGAATTCAACACTGAATTTCCAAGAAAATGATGTATAACATAAAAATAAAAAATAAAATCTTTTTTTGCAGCCTTACGGTGAATTCTCCGATATTAAATCGTCAAATCGCAACCCTATGGACGATTTTGAAAATTTTTTTTTATTGCAATATTTTTTTTTACTGAAAACGTAGGGACTTCCGGTGGGCGGTTGGCTCTATTCCAATATTGATCACCCTTACTGGACCTGCCACTCCATAAATGGAAGGTCACTTGAAATTACGTCTCTAGTCCCTTTAAGACACACTTTGAGTTAAAAGTCTAATGCTAAAAACTTTCATTTACAAATTTTAAAAATCGTTAAAAAAATAATATTATAACATCTTTATATTGCATAATGCATATTCTTCTATACAATCTCTAAAAAGGTTAACAATACAACAGCAACACACAGGGTGAGTAAAAAAATGTTATTATCACGAAAAAATCTTGCAATGCTTTCATTTAGAAACAAGATAATTTTAATAAAGTGTAACGTAAGAAACATTAAGGCTTGAACATTTTAATAAAACGCAACGTATAGAAATTTTTTTCAAATCTTTCTTAGAAACGAAACGAATAAACAGTTTTGATTGTCAGTTGTAAAAAAGTGTGACAAAAAAAGTTTTCACAATAACGTTTCGATAAATCGTAACGTAAGAAAAGGTGCATTTTAGTAAAATTTCCAAACGTAATTAAAAGAGTTTTTATTGGAAACGTTAAGATAAAACGTAACGTTAACAAAAAATATTCTTTGCACTGAAATGCATTGTAACGTACAGAACTATGCCTCAATTGACGTTTTATTAAAGCAAAACGTTTGTCATATTTTAGATCTTAAACTAAGTGAAAATGGAACGTAAGGTCTCTAAGAAATATTTACCTTGCATGAAAGTGGAACGTTAAAAAATTGTGGTTATGTTACATAAGCTTTAACGCAACGTTGGGAAAGTTTTTTAAAACGGGAAATGCAAAAGCGTAACGGAGCTTACTGTGTTTTCACTAACATTTACTAAAGCTTAACGTTGTATAAGGTATTCAAGTGCAGAAAATTCATAACGTAACGTTACTCTATGCCATAAAATTTCATAATATGCAACGTAACATTTCAAACGTTTATACTTTTGATGAACACTATCGTAACGAAAGCTAAAATCTAGAAAAATCAAAACGTTGACATCTCTACAAGTTGCTTGTTTTCAAATGGTTGGTTTACAAGTTGTATGCTTTAAGTTATTGTGTTTCAAGTTGCTTGTTTTTAAATGGTTGGTTTACAAGTTGTATGCTTTAAGTTATTGTGTTTCTTAAGTTGCTTGTTTTTAAACGGTTGGTTTCTAATTATTACATGTTTTAAGTTATTGTGTTTAAAGTTGCTTGTTTTTAAGGGTTTGTTAACAAATTTTGTGTTTATAAATTGTCTGTTTACAAATTGTCTGTTTACAAATTAATAGTTTACAAAAATATTGTGTGTTCAAAAATTGTTTTTCTTTATAAATTGTTTGTTTGCAAATTGTTTGTTTACAAATTGTTTATTGACAATTTTTTGGTTTACAAATTATTTGTTTACAAATTGCTCGTTTACAAATTGTTTGCTTACAAATTGTTTGTTTACAAATTGTTTGTTTAAAAATTGTGATGCTGGTAACCAAAACTGAATTCCTGTGCCCTGGAAATGTCTTGTTTAAAACTAATTATAAGTTAGTTAAAACTAAAGCTATAAAACCTTCCATAGCCTGGAACAATTCCCATATGTAACTTTAAGACGGAGAAACTTTCAAATTATGTAAAATGTTCTGAAATCCAAAAATGTAAAAAATTATTGTAGAAAATTCTTCATAATGAAATTAACTAATTGAAAGATTCTAAAATCATAACAAATAACGTTTAAAGAGGCTGCTAGCGTAAATTTAAGTGATCCTCCCATGCAAAGATGGCAATGCCTCATTTACAACTGTACCCAGGAAACAGGTTAAAGAAACAAAAATATTGAAAGCAAATTTATAATTGATCAGACGAAGCTTTTGAGGGACTGTTTAAAATGGGGCATTACCATCATTGCATTGAGGGTAACTCGAAAAAACGCTTACAGTCCCTTTATTTTGAAAACAATGAAATGGAAACCTTTTAAATGTTTCAGATACCAGGAAATTGAGACAATCTCATAAATTGATCAATAAATCATTCAATCAACCAATCAATCAATCAATCGACCCTACATATCCCGTTTTCTTGAAGAACACCGTGAACCCCTGAACCTGCCTCAAGATGATGATGCTCAAGATGATGATGCCGGTAAGTCATTAAGTCTAAAGTCATGAATTCATTAAGTCATTAGGTCAATAAAGGGACTGTAACGGAAAAATTAAAGGGGTGTAGGATGAAACCTGAGAATTTCAGGCGTTAAACAATCCATATAAAACATCTATCTGATGTACATATCTCAAAAAATTGATATAAAACTGTATATGGGGGGTATAAAACTTTTATACGAAAAATCATATATATATGCAATTTGTATAAAAGTTGAAGTATTAAACAGATTATATTCAACAAATACACAACCAATCTGAAAACGACGATATCGCACAGAAGCCTGATAATCTCAGGTATTCTCCTATTATAATTTTGAAAATTTTATTTTGCATTTTTAATAGATATAATTGATAATATTATTACATATAGTTTATATAGTCCGTATTACGTCACCATGAACTTCAGCCAATGGCAGTAAAGTATCGTTGTCACGTGATACAGACGGAAATCACGTGACCAGTATACTGCATCGCCATTGGCTGAAGTTCTGGTGATAGACTATACAGACTATAAGGACTATATGTAATAATATTATCAATCATATCTATCAAAAATGCAAAATTAAAAAAATATAATAGGAGCAAACCGGAGATTCTCAGGCTCCTGTGGGATATCGTCGTTTTCAGATTGGTTGCGCATTTGTTGAATATTTTATGCAAAATTACATACATATGAATTTTCGTATAAATATGACACAGTTTTATATCAATGTCTCGAGACAGGAGCATCAGATAGATGTCTTATAGGTATTGTTCAACTCCTGAGATTCTTAGGTTTCAGCCTATACCCCTTTTCATTTTTCCTTTACAGTCCCTTTAAGACATTGAGTCATTGAGTCATTAAATCATTACGTCATTAGGCCATTAAGTCATTAAGTAATTAAGCAATTAACTCATTAAGTCTTTAATTCATAAATAATAAGTACCATTATTTCATTATGAAATCACTTCAAAAAGTCGTTAAGTCATGAAATCATGAAGTCATCATAAAACTACTTAAAGAAGTTTTAAGTATAAAATAGATAATTTATTATAAAATTGATGCAATAAGTCATCAAGTCAAGTCTTAAATAGATTAGCCATTATAGATTTAATTGAAGTCATGAAGTCATTAGTGAGTTATCAAGACTAGTAAGACACAAGTAAGTCAGTAACTTTTTCGAAAGAAATGACTGAATCATATTTGCGAATTAACAAAATTTCATTCAGCTATTATACAAAAAAGTTGTGAACAAAATAAAGGAATTGAGTTTTTGCCACAAACTCAAATATTCTGATCCCAATATCTTTGCAACCTGATGGTGCAAACCTTTGATATTTCAAACTAAGCTTATTTTTTCTTAAAGTTTTAATAGTTTGAAATATCTAAGGTCTACGACATTAAGTTACAAAGATATAGAGATTATAAAATCAGAGTTTGTGGCAAAAACTCAACTCATTAGTTCAGAAATAAGAAATGTTAAATGTTGAAAAATATTAAATTTCAACCAGTATAAGAAATCCTATAGTTGAGAATCCTTAGAACATTCCAGAAGAAAACAAAAATAATTAAATCAATAGTTTTGTTTGCGACAAACAAGTTTTTTTGTTTATTTTTCCTCATTGTGAGCAAAACTATGTGTATCTGTAATTCAACAGTACCAAGTAAAATCTTTATCTGAACAGAAATGTGGAAGATATCGTCGTTTTGACGTTTCAACAAGTTATTGATTCTGATAATTTTTCCATTTTTCTTAAAAGCAAAGTAATTTGCCACTTTGGAGAGAAACCATAAACGAAAATAAACAGTTAGAAAAATATTGATATTTAATTTAATCTTGATCAGACAAAACTTTTAAATACCATTGTAAATCAAGCGTTGTCATTTTAAACTTTTAAATCAGAGATTTCCTTTTTTATTAAGAAAAGAACTGACCTGGATTTCAAACTATGAATGTAGCTAGAGATATGAAATTCTATATTTGAAAAGTTGTTGCACCATTAGGTTGCGAATAAGAGTTTGTGGCAAGATTGTTTTATAATTTCGATTGTGCGTCCTTTAAATTGCTCTATCACACTTATTTCATAGTTCGGTCCTTGTCCCCCCCAAGCTGTGACATTCGATCAGAATTTGACCTTTCAAACAAAATTTTTTAGCCTTATCACTTTTAAACTTTTAAACAGCATTTGCGTTTTAGATTAAAAAGTAAAATCAATACTTGGCAAGTTTAAAGATTGTTGAATTATTGACCAAAACTTGTTATTGGAGTTAAATTGAAGAAACCAAAATGTAACATGATCAAACCCAACCGCCCTACTTTTCAATAAGGTAAACCCCATTAAACCCCATCATTCTGCATAGCCAGACTAAAAGAAATAATTGCAATGTCATTAGGTTCACCCTATATAATTTAAAACATATGCCAAACTCGGGTACGAACACACCTCAATGTGACTATAAGCAAAAATTGAAAGGGTAATATATCTAATCTCAGTCTAAACATTTTCTCTGAAACATAAAACACTAATTTCCAACGCATTTATGCTATGTTCACAATAAAAAACACAAAATTATATATATGTTTGTCCATCAAATGCTCAAGTGACACTACAGGAATTGTACCCTACATGGGCCGTTGCTCATTTACAAAACTAAAACTGGTTTGATGCCGGTGTCTTCTGTCTGCACAACACATAGTACACATTCAAAACCAGGGGCAACTCATCAATCAGAGGAGAATAACCCAGGGGCGGCTCACTTTCAAATAGAGACCAATTGATTGTGAACCACTTCCAAACCCAGAAAAAGAAAAAAGAAAAAGAAAATTAATTGATCGATTGTACCCCATGACCGGCGGGTTCCAGCAAGCAAACACATTTAGCCCAAAGATCAAATAAATTGATAGATAGATAGATCTGTACAATTATCCAAGATCAGACTAAGGCAAGTAACGATTAGATAACATATACACTCTTAACAAATCAAACACCGTGCATAAAAGAATATTCCAATATATATTTTATATAACAAAACAGCACTGGTAAACATTCTCCTTCTTCTTAATCTATATACATTCAGAATTCTTCCTTGAGGAATCTCATATTGGAAATCAACATCGTCGGGAAAAGCTATAACGTCATCCTTCACATCCTTCAAATAAGAAATATTTAAATGTCGTCTTATGCACAATTACCGCGTACATGTATTCAGAAAAGGTCATTGAATACATTTAACAGGGAAAAAAGTATGCTGAACATCGCCAAATAAATTCAATTTTTGAGATGCAAAATTATTAGCAGTACAAACGTATTTTTTTATATTAAATAAGATTGTTTTTATTTTTTATGGTAAAGTAACTACATTTAAAAAATTAAAAGACGACCTTTAAAAAAACTCTTTTTCAAATGGAGTACTTAGTCTGTAAAGCATGTATAATCATATGGTAGGGCGAACCGCGTCAGTTATATCTCCCTTCTATTCCTTACTCCCTGGTCCGATACCTTACTGCAGCATCAGACCATGCCCGCCTAGAAGGAGCACTCGTTCTCCTCTTAGGAGTCAGTCTACGAAATCCTGGAGCAGAGCTAACCTTGACAGAATCAGAACCCGTTTCCATCTCCCCATAACTGGAGTACTGGAGTACATCTACCTCAGGATCCTCCTCAACCATGTCCTCATCCTCATAATTATCATTATCATCCTCTTGCTCCTTCTCTGGTTCTCCTTCACACAGTTTTTCAGAACTGAATTTTTCTGTGAAAGCCTCTGGAAAACGTTCAACCTTAACCTCATCCTCAACGAAGTTTATTAAGTAAGAATATCACCCTGAAGTAACCATGTGATGTTTTGTGTTTTGCGACTAATTGGTCTCGATCTGAAAGTGAGCCGCTCCTGGATTATTCTCCTCTGATTGATGAGTTGCCCCTGGTTTTGAATGTATACTATGTGTTGTGCAGACAGAAGACACCGGCATCAAACCAGTTTTAGTTTTGTAAATGAGCAAAGGCCAGGGTATGGTACGATTCCTGTAGTTTAGTGTGACTTAAATGAATTGCTTGATACTATCAGATAATATTAGTATACAGGGTTCAGATAATATTAGTATACAGGGTTCAGATAATATTAGTATACAGGGTTCAGATAATATTAGTATACAGGGTTCAGATAATATTACTATACAGGGTTAGATAATATTAGTATACAGGGTGGTTCAGATAATATTAGTTTACAGGGTTCAGATAATATTATTAAACAGGGTTCAGATAATATAAGTATACAGGGTGGTTCAGATAATATTAGTATACAGGGTTAGATAATATTAGTATACAGGGTTCAGATAATATAAGTATACAGGGTGGTTCAGATAATATTAGTTTACAGGGTTCAGATAATATTAGTTTACAGGGTTCAGATAATATACCCCAATAGGTAATTGTGTGGTTGATAGTTTCTTAGCTGAATAGTTTGTGCAGGATAAAATAGGAGACTTGATATGACGTCATAAATATCAATTGTTCTAAGATTTGGTTCATCCAGTCGAGGTTGTGACGTCATACCTACCTTCATATCTGAACTATTTTGTATCATTTATCTACAATATGTTTTATAAATATTAAAAAGATTAGACGGAAAAAAAGTCTACATGTAGCTGGTACACAGGGTTCTATACATTCTGGGTACATTTGTTCTATTTATTCCGGTACCTGTGTTCTATGTATCCCGGACATGTGTTCTATGCATTCTGGTATACAGGGTTCTATGTATTTTGGTATATGGGGTTCTATGTATTCTGGTACATGGGTTCTATGCATTCTGGTACATGGTTTCTATGTATTCTGGTATATGGGTTCTATGTATTCTGGTATATAGGGTTCTATGCATTCTGGTATATGGGGTTCTATGTATTCTGGTACATGGGTTCTATGCATTCTGGTATATAGGGTTCTATGTATTCTGGTACATGGGGTTCTATGTATTCTGGTACATGGGTTCTATGCATTCTGGTATATAGGGTTCTATGTATTCTGGTACATATGGGTTCTATGTATTCTGGTACATGGGTTCTATGTATTCTGGTACATGGGTTCTATGCATTCTGGTATATGGGGTTCGATGTGTTCTGGTCCATGGGTTCTATGCATTCTGGTACATGGTTTTTTTTTATATTCTAGGTACATAGGGTTACTGGTACATGACATAGGATTCTATATATTCTAGGTACATAGGATTCTATTTATTCTGGTACATAGGGTTCTATATATTCTGAGCTGGGAACTTTAGAATGGGATACCATTAATCCCGACTTCTTAATCCGAATATCCAACGTGGACACTTTTGATTTCTTGCTTAATCCACTCTTTTTTGGATATAGTACAGAAAAATCAAAACCGGTTTTTTAAAATTAAGAGTCCTTCCCGTTTCTGTATTTAAATCTCAAATGGCGCGCAAAATTTCAAATTTATCGGCTTCTAATACGCGACTCTAATTGGTTGAATTTTATACACTTTTCAGGATACAAGTACAAGATTAAGTTAGTCTCGAGATCAAGAAAAAAGAGAGGATCAAGCATTAATCTCGATATCCACCATTCTAAAGTTCCGAGCTCTGGGTACATAGGGTTCTATGTGTTCTGGTACATGGGTTCTATGTATTCTAGTACATGGGTTCTATGCATTCTGGTACATGGGGTTCAATGTATTCTGGTACGTGGGTTCAGTGTATTTTGGTACATGGGTTCTATATATTCTGGTACATGGGGTTCAATGTATTCTGGTACATGGGTTCTATGTATTCTAGTACATGGGTTCTATGCATTCTGGTACATGGGTTCTATGTTTTCTGGAACATGGGTTCAGTGTATTCTGGTACACAGGTTCTATATATTCTGGCATATGGGTTCTATATATTCTGGTATATTATTCTATATATTCTGGAGCATGGGTTCAGTGTATTTTTTTACATGGGTTCTATATATTCTTGTATATGGGTTCTATGTATTCTGGTATATGGGTTCTATATATTCTGGTATATGGGTTCTATGTATTCTGGTATATGGACTCTATGTATTCTGGTTTATGGGTTCTATGTATTCTGGTACATGGGTTCTATATATTCTGGTATATGGGTTCCATGTATTCTGGTACATGGGTTCTATATATTCTGGTATATGGGTTCTATATATTCTGGTATATGGGTTCTATGCATTCTGGTATATGGTTTCTATGTATTCTGGTACAAGGATTCTATGTATTCTGGTACATGGGTTCTATATATTCTGGTATATGGGTTCCATGTATTCTGTTACATGGGTTCTATGTATTCTGGTACATGGATTCAATGTATTCTGGTATATGGGGTTCTATGTATTCTGGTATATGGGTTCTATGTATTCTGGTATATGGGTTCTATGTATTCTGGTATATGGGATTCTATGTATTCTGGTATATGGGTTCTATATATTCTGGTACAGTTCTAAACTATTAAGTTGATTGTTTTCTAACTTGTAGAGAACTTATAATGAAGTTTTCCCTTCACCAGTTCTGTATAAAAAGAGCAATAATTATATAGGGTGATTCAGGACCTAAACAATGATTGTACAGGGCAATTCAGGCCCAAACAATAATTTTACAGGGTGATTCAGGCCCAAACAATAATTATATAGGGTGATTCAGGACCTAAACAATAATTATATAGGGTGATTCAGTCCCAAGCAATAATTGTACAGGGTGATTCAGACCCAAACAATAATTATATAGGGTGATTCAGGACCTAAACAATAATTATATAGGGTGATTCAGTCCCAAGCAATAATTGTACAGGGTGATTCAGGCCCAAACAATGATTGTACAGGGTGATTCATGCCCAAACAATAATTATATAGGGTGATTCATGCCCAAACAATAATTGTGCAGGACCAAAAAATAATTATATAGGGTGATTTATGACCAAACAATGTTATATAGGGTGATTCATACCCAAACTATAATTGTGCAGGGTGATTCAGTTCCCAGCAATAATTGTACAGGGTGATTCAGCCCCAAACAATGATTGTACAGGGTGATTCATGCCCAAACAATAATTATATAGGGTGATTCATGCCCAAACAATAATTATATAGGGTGATTCATGCCCAAACAATAATTTTGCAGGGTGATTCAGGCCCAAACAATGATTGTACAGGGTGATTCAGGCCCACACAATAATTGTACAGGGTGATTCAGACCAAAACAATGATTGTACAAGGCGATTCAGGCCCAAACAATAATTTTACAGGGTGATTCAGGCCCAAACAATGATTGTACAGGGTGATTCAGGCCAAAACAATAATTGTACAGGGTGATTCATGCCCAAACAATAATTATATAGAGTGATTCATGCCTAAACAATAATTATATAGGGTGATTCTTGCCCAAACAGTAATTGTACAGGGTGATTCATGCCCAAACAATAATTGTACAGGGTGATTCAGTCCCAAGCAATAATTGTACAGGGTGATTCAGGCCCAAACAATGATTGTACAGGGTGATTAATGCCCAAACAATAATTATGTAGGGTGATTCATGCCCAAACAATAATTGTGCAGAGTGATTCAGGCCCAAACAATGATTGTACAGGGTGATTCAGGCCCAAAGAATAATTGTACAGGGTGATTCAGACCAAAACAATGATTGTACAGGGTGATTCAGGCCCAAAGAATAATTTTACAGGGTGATTCAGGCCCAAACAATGATTGTACAGGGTGATTCAGGCCAAAACAATAATTGTACAGGGTGATTCAGCCCCAAACAATAATTGTGCAGGGTGATTCAGGCCCAAACAATAATAGTACAGGGTGATTCAGGCCCAAACAATAATTGTACAGGGTGATTCAGGCCCAAAAAATAATAATACAGGATGATCCAGGCCCAAACAATAATTGTACAGGGTGATTCAGGACCAGAACAATAATTATACAGGGTGATTCAGGACTTTAACAATATTTTAACAGTTTGTTTAAATTGTATAATATATTATACACGGATGGAAAATTAAAAAACTAGACATTGTTTTGTTATTTTTATATGTATTTTTTTTTAAATCTTCTAAAAAAATAAGAACAAACTTCTGTGTTAAAATACAAAAAAGCTGGTTTTGGTAAAGAAATTGTATTTTATCATCAGTCATTTTATAAACCTTGTTTTAAGAAAAACTTATGATTACTTTTTTGTTTCATTCTATAAGTCTGAGACCGCGAAAATGAAAAATAACAATGTATTTTTTTGACATTTACAAATATATATTAATTATATATTTCTTTAGAAATTACTGGAGAGGATGGCAGGGTGTCAAAATAAAAAAATGACAAAATAAAGCTTATCATGTTGTTTTTTAAATAAAAACTGTTATAAAGTTCTAAAAGATAGCTTTTTTACATGTTCTGTTGTATTATGAAATATATTGTATTATGAATAAGCTTGTAAATTGTTCTAGACTAGTTTTTTAGTATAGTAAGTAATTATTTATCAAATACATAGAAAACTAAGTGTTTAAGGAGAAAATATTTGAAAACATCCAAAAATAGAGGTTGTGGGAATATTTCTCCCCAATTCTTAAAAAGTATAAAAAATAAAAGGAAAAGGAAAGGAAGTTACATATTTTTGTTTACATTATATTAAATATAAACTACTATCCAGTACTATAAACTAATAGCTGAATAGAAGTTAATGAATATTCCGGATTACAAGATATTTATCTAATTTGTTATTATCATATATATATACATATATAGCTATAAAGCAATAATCAGAACAGCTTCTCAGTTTTCATATTTATTAATACAAATTGTTTCAGATCTCTCGATCCTCATCAGTCAATAAACATGGGTTATGTTAATATCAATAATGAATATATGAATATATATATATATTCGGTAACATTTCCTTTAATTAGTTATATATTCGCATTCTTTTTTCACAATGTTTTTAAATTGTACTTTTTTATAATTTTTGTTAAATAAAATGGTACGAGGCATAGCAAATAATTTCAAATGTTCATCTTTTTATCTCCTTTATCCATCTGCACGTCTGTAGTTTTTCTTTTTCTTGCCTCCCTTTCCCCGTCCAATTATGGCGCTGCTTTTAAAAGAATATTTTACTTTAAAAAAAGTTTTTAAACTATAGTTCTAGAATTTGAAATCCTGCAAAAACCAGTAAAAAAAGTGTTTTCCAGTTTTCAACTCTAAATCTTGTGTGAAAAGTGTAAAAATATTAAAACAAATCAAAATTAGTTTGTTGCAACTAAAAATTTCATATTTTTGTAAAAATTTTATTCAGTTTTTCATAAAATACGGAACTGCTACAAATAAAAGAGAAACTCTGAAAAGATTAAACTTTTTAAATTGCTATTTAGGGGTTTATCAGGTTAAAATTGTTCAATAATATTTTTAACGATCATGGATTATCTTTTTAATTGGCATAAATCAGGTTACACAGAAAATAGACCACCAACTGATCCAACTTAATTAGGAGATATTTTAGATTGCGCAGGTTAAAAGGTTAGGATTAAAATGTATATTGTGTGTATTCAAATCTAAATGTTAAAAGCTTGAAACGACTATGAATGAGATAGTCAGGGGCAGCCGTAGTACATTTGAATTTCCGAGCCGGATCAACCTTTCCGGTCCCAATTTGTACTGTATCGCCCGGACATTGGGTAAATAAAGGAGACACTCAATAGAACTAGCCGGTGCAACAATGTTGACGTGGTCAGACTTTAGGTTGAATTTACTTTTACTAAAGGGTGAGAGGTGCGTGTAGAAATAGGAATATCTCATTCATTCTTAATTAGATATCTTAATGAATTCTGTTTAGTCAATGCCGAAGATGCCAGGAGGGGATGAGAAAAAAGAGGAAACAGCAGAAAGTAAAGAAGAAGCAGCAGAACAGGTTGGTCAACTGTTTTTCTGTTTTTTTTTTTTGCTTCTATTCAATTTACTATTTTCTATTCTCTATTTGCTAAATCTTCTGTTTTCTGTTTCAAATTTTCTGTTTTCTTATTTTTTTTATTTTCTTTGCTCTATTTTCTGTTTTCTGTTTTCCGTTTTCTGTTGTATAATTTATAATTTCTGTTTTCTGTTTTCTGTTTTCTTTTTTCTATTATTTTCTGTTTTCTGTTTTCTGTTTTCTGTTTTCTGTTTTCTGTTTTCTGTTTTCTGTTTTCTGTTTTCTGTTTTCTGTTTTCTGTTTTCTGTTTTGAATAAAAATATTCCAGGAGAGATTAAGGCAAGCTGCGATAAAGGAGAAGGAGAAGGAGAGAAGGGAACATTATCAGAAACAGAGAGATGTCGCTAAATCAGAGAGATCGAAGATCAGAGAAAAGGTTAGCCATAGTTTCTGTCATGTGTCTATCTGTCTAACATTTTATCTGTCTATCATTTTATCTGTCTATCTATCATTTTATCTGTATGTCTGTCCATCTGTCTACCTGTTTATCTGTCTATTTGTCTATCTTTCTATCTGTCTATCTGTCTATCTGTCTATCTGTCTATCTGTCTATCTGTCTCTCTGTCTATCTGTCTATCTGTTTATCTGTCTATCTGTATATATGTCTATCTGTCTATCTATCTATCTATCTGTCGATCTGTCTATCTGTCTATCTGTCTATCTGTCTATCTGTCTATCTGTCTATCTGTCTATCTTTCTATCTGTCTATCTGTCTATATGTCTATCTTGCTATCTGTCTATATGTCTATCTTTCTATCTGTCTATCTGTCTATCTTCCTATCTGTCTATCTTTCTATCTGTCTATGTCTATATGTCTATCTGTTTATATGTCTATATGTCTATCTTTCTATCTGTCATATGTCTATTTGTCTATCTGTCTATTCGTCTATCTGTATATCTGTCTATCTTTTTATCTGTATTTCTGTCTATTTGTTTACCCTGTATGTCTATCTGTCTATATGTCTATCTGTCTCTTTGTTTATTTTTTCATCTGTCTATTTGTCTATCTTTATATCTTTATATCTAAATATCTGTATATTTGTGTTTCTGAATATATATCTATCTATCTATCAGTTTATTGCTATCTATCTGTTTATCTCTACCTATCGTTCTAGCACTATCTATATGTTTAATTCTATTTGTCTGTCTATCTATCTATCTGTCTTTTTGGCTATCTGGGTATCTATCTATCTGTATATCTAACTATATGTCTACCTGTTCATCTGTTATATCTCTATCTATCTATATGTCTACCTGTTCACCTGTTATATCTCTATCTATCTCTCTATCTATCTATCTATCTATCTATCTATCTATCTATCTATCTATCTATCTATCTATCTATCTATCTATCTATCTATCTATCTATCTGACTATCTATCTGTTTATCTTTATCTTTCTGTCTCTCTGTCTATCTATCTATCTGTTTATCTCTGTCTATTTATCTATCTGTTTATCTCTGTCTATCTATCTGTATATATTTTTAAAAAGTACAAAATCGGAAAATAATCTTTTTCTATCACGTTCAAAGACGTTAATAATAAATATAATATAAATAGAGCATCTTATAAATAATATAATATACATAGAGCATCTTATAAATATGAATAATATAATATACATAGAGCATCTTATAAATATAAATAATATAATATACATAGAGCATCTTATAAATATAAATAATATAATATACATAGAGCACCTTATAAATATAAATAATATTATGTATAGAGAGCATCTAAGCCCACGTTTATTCGCTATCAACAAAGTGCTTTAACCAATTAAAGAATAAATCATGAAACATAGAATTATGCACATTTGTTTCATGTAATATGCGTACAATATTCTGTTTCACTAAGACGACCTTGAATATCTATAAATATTGTCTATAATGCGTCAAATGCAGAGAAAACAAAGTGGAAAAAAACAAATGTTCTGGGAAGATTTTAAAAATACAATTATAAGGTTCACGAATTCTTCTAAACCTTGAAACGGGCAGAGCTAAAAAAATTCATCTGCGTCAAATCTTGAGGAAGTTTTGAAAATGAACTAATGAATAACTACATTAATTTATGTAACTGTGAAACTATATTAATAACTTAATTTTATGCGGTATATGATCGTCAAAATAAAAATATCCAAATAATGTAATTAAAAATCTATTTCCACAAAATTCCTTTCTTTCATTCATCTTATTCTGACAATGCGGGCTACAGTGATTTATGTTTCTAGAATTTACATGTTTAGGACTACAATAAATAAAAGTAAGGAGATAATATTAAAGGCTAAGGCGTTGCGAAATATAAAGTCGACCAAGTCGTAAAGACTGATGAAACTTTGAAGGGAGTGTTCTTAAAAAATAAAAGGCGGTGTAGGCATACGGCGAAAAAATAATTTTGATCGCTACTAATCTCACGTTCATCTGTTGTGTCTATAAGGAGAAAATTGTTAAAAATGTCTAATCCTGAATAACGTACCATCCATATAAATCCAGATAGTTAAATATCCACAACTCGGATCGTATAAAAGCAATTTAGTTTCAAACAAATCATTCAGATATTACAACCTTTAGTCATTGTTTATTTTTTATAACTTTAGAAGACTTTTTTCCAAAATTATTCAGGGAAAAACCTATACATATTTTTATCTTACTGAAACTGTAACTGCTACTGCTAGTAATATCTGAACAATTCCTTTAATTTCATAATTTTGTTTCAGTATAAGCTAGATGCTACCCCTGAACCTAGCGACGAGGAGGAGGAAAGTGAGGTCAGGATTATTATCATTATTATTATTATTATTATTATCATTACTATTGTTATTATTATTATTATTATCATTATTATTATTATTATTAATATTATTATTATTATTATTGTTGATGTTATTATGAAAATCATGTTAAAGACGATAAAGAATTAAAAAATTGAAGGTGTGGAGGAAGATATGAATATGATGTGGCGTGAAGCAGTGTTAATTTTACAAAGTTTGTCTAGGATGATGAGGATGATGGATTCGGTTCATCCAAGAAGAAGGATGAGGATCTAGACCCAGCAGCAAGTAGGTTTATTCATCCTTTATCATCCTTTATCATCCTTAATCATCCTTTATCATCCTTTATCATCCTTTATCATCCTTTATCATCCTTTATCATCCTTTATCATCCTTTATCATCCGTTATCATCCTTTATCATCTTTTATCATCCTTTATCATCCTTCATCATCCTTTATCATTCTTTATCATCCTTCATCATCCTTTATCATCCTTTATCATCCTTTATCGTCCTTTATCATCCTTTATCATCCTTTATCATCCTTTATCATCCTTTATCATCCTTTATCATCCTTTATCATCCTTTATCACCCTTCATCATCCTTTATCATCGTTTATCATTCTTTATCATCGTTTATCATCCTTTATCATTTTTAGATAAATATTTAGCACTTGTCATAGGGACTATAAAGTATCCCTCCATTTAAAGATTAGCGCAAAATCCTTTAACTGAGTAATAATGCGGAAGATATCGTCGTTTCTATATTTTGGAAGAAGATTATTTCGATCAATTTCTTCCTTCTCTCTGCGATATAAATCCGCGAATCCCTTTTCTAATAAACAGAAAATGAAGAAGATCAATTTTCAATTAGGAAAAAGGATATCTCCATCATTTATCTAAGGTTAGAGGGTACCCTTGTGAATCGGGCGGGGAATCTCTTAAATGTCTGCACCTGAAATTACGTCAACAAAATAAACTTATAAATGTTTAAAAATGAAATACCAAAAATATTGTTAGTTAGCTGTATAGCTACTGCAGATGCAATATAGATTTTTTTTCGGGTTGGGGAGTGGTAGGTGGGGAATCATTAACAACAAGTTATTTGTCGATATTCAGGTTTTTTACGTTTATAAAGTCTATATTTTTTAAAGGTTTCAGACAAAAAAAGCCTCGCGCGTTTGGTCCTTATAAAAAGACCTATTCGGTTCAGCAGTTTTAAGCTATAATCAAAATAATTAAGATTTACTACAGTGATAATCAGATCTGGAATAGGAAGTCGACTTTTAAACTCAAGTTATGTCTTTAAACAGTCATATGATGAAAATGAGGCACACCGATTGCATGCAGTGTAAACAGACCTATTTCACTTAATAATTAATTTAATAACTTACTGGCAAAGCTATTTGCTCCGTAACAACATTAACAACATTAAATGCAGTTCAATATTGCTCCAATGTCGTCTTTATATTCTACAGTTTTCTGGTTACCAGTTATCACTGCACAAATGGACGCGAGAAAATAAAATAAAATTGTTTTTATTTTGTAAAAACATTTATTAATTAAATGGTAAATGGAAAATCGTCGTTAAACTTTCCTCTAATTTTACAGAACAAGTCATGATGCTTCAATCCCTTTCCCTTTGGTACTGTTTCTTTTTATGATAATTTACCTACAAGTCAGAACTATAGTACGTAGAACTTTACAGCATAAAATCTTGCTCATCCTACTATATCGAGGAGAGTCAACTTGCTTTCGATGTTAGGTACTTTCCCAAAAGATTGTCCCAAGTGTCAACTTCCCAAATGTGCAATTTCCCAAGCGGCAACTTCCCAAGTCTGTCCTAGACGCAGCGCTCGCCCCCCAGCGCATCCTAGCCTTGTCCCTCACCCCCCATCCCATCATAGCCGCAGTGCTCGGCCCCCATAGCAGCTTGCGGCGCCTCCAAGAGCCTAAAAATCTTTGGGAAGTTGCCGCTTGAGAAGTTGCCACTTGGGAAATTGCCACTTGGGAAGTCGGTCTAAGGAAAATGCCCTAACACCATTTGCATTACCGTTTCGTACTTATCTATTCCTTTTCCTATCCTAACTTTTTTTTAGGGCTTATTAATTTGGCTGTTGGGGCAGGCAGTTTTGCTTGGTTTAGACTTTCAGTGCTATATGATTTTTTTTCCGGGATAGAGAACTCGTTTCTAAACTACTTTAGCCTTTTGTCAATCATTTTCCTATAAATTTCAACAAATGTTCTAATAAAATTGCTATGTTGTATTATTTAAAGAAAAATATTTTCCATTCTTCGCCATCTGTCTTTTGTAAAAGTTTTGACACAAACTGGGTTAAAGCATTATACAAAACTTTACAAAATAAATATTTAAGGAAGAGAGGAGGAAAGTTATTGGCAATATGGACTAAAAAAGAACATTTTGAGAAAAAATGATTATTTGAACTCATAAAATGAAATCTGATTCATGCCCCTCATTCGAAACCAACTTTAATTTTTTAGTTGTTGTCATGTAGGCCGCCATATATCTGTGCGAGACAAACTGTTCAGTAGTTATTTTGGAAATTATTATCTTTGAGTACAAAATTACTAACTTATTTCAAGTTAGATTTTGTATCCTGACAATTCGAAAAACTCTGTCTATCCGGTCCCGACAATTCTCTGACAATCTTGACAATTCTGTCGATCCGGTCCCGACAATTCTCTGACAATCTTTACAATTCTGTCGATCCGGTCCCGACAATTCTCTGGCAATCTTGACAATTCTGTCGATCCGGTCCCGACAATTCTCTGACAATCTTGACAATTCTGTCGATCCGGTCCGACAATCTTGAAAATTCTGTCGATCCGGTCCCGACAATTCTCTGACAATCTTGATAATTCTGTCGATCCGGTCCAGACAATTCTCTGACAATCTTGATAATTCTGTCGATCCGACAATCCTGATATTCCTCTCTAATGAAATCATTGCAAAGTTATGTGTGAACGGAACACTACATGTTCCTCTTCCTTGATCTCGTTCCTGGGGAGCTAAGTTGTTCCTCTGCCCAGATATCGTTCCGGGGGGGGGGAGGCTAAGTTGTTCCCCTTACCTAATCTCGTTCCTAGGGAGCTAAGTTGTTCCTCTTCTCTGATCTCGTTCCTAGGAAGCTAAGTTGTTCCTCTTCCCTGATCTCGTTCCTAGGAAGCTATAAGTTGTTCCTCTTCCCTGATCTCGTTCCTGGGGAGTTAAGTTGTTCCTCTTCCCTGATCCCGTTCCTAGGAACTAGAAAATATGAGTTTGTGACAAAAACTCAATTCCTTTTGTTCATCATTTATCAGCACTCTCTGTCAGCCAATTATTAATGTTTCAAATATGTTGTGTTTGTGTACTATTGTTTACTCCAGAAGAGTAAATATTACAAGAGACCTGTGAAGATATATATCCAACCAGCACTGAGGAGTGTAGTTTACATATTCTAGAATATAATCTGCCAAATGGAAGGAAATCTCAACATTTAGGAATAAATTCTAATGCTGGTTTTACTGCAAACAATAACGAAGATCAATTCTAGGCAGGGCCGGTGGTCCGGGTCGGGCAATCGTTATCTGTTTTTTGTTTACAACAATAAACTCATAATGAAGGGAGGGGGGGGGGGGGCGGGTATGTAAACACACTAACAAACCAACAAATATTCATTTTTAAAACTAATGATGTGTTTTCATTAGATATTGCTTTTGGAGAGTATGTCAGGTATTAATTACAATCATAGAGATTATAGAAATTATAGAGATTATAGAGATAATAGAGATAATAGAAATTATAGAGATTATTGAGAAAATAGAGATTATAAAAATTATAGAGATTATAGAGATAATAGAGATAATAGAAATTATAGAGATTATAGAAATAATAGAGATAATAGAGATTATAGAAATAATAGAGATAATAGAGATTATAGAGATTATAGAGATATACATATACATTAAAGAGATCATAAAGATACATTAAAGAGATCATAAAGATTATAAATAAATTATAAAGATAATAGTGATTATAGAGATAATAGAGATTTTAAAGATCAAAGATATTATAAAAATCATAGAGATTATAGAGATAATAGAGATTCTAAAGATCATAGAGATTACATAGATCATAAAGATTATAGAAATTATATAGATCATAAAGATCATAGCAATTATAGAGATTATAGAGATTATAGAGATTATAGAGATTATAGAGATTATTGAGATTATAGAGATAACAAAGATTAGAAAGATTATAGAAACTATCGAGATTATAGAGATTATAGATATAATTGAGATTATAGAAATTATCGAGATTATAGAGATTATAGATATACTAGAGATTATAGAGATAACAAAGATTATAGAGATTATTGATATACTAGAAATTATAGAGATTATGTAGAGTACAGAGATTATAGAGATTATAGAGATTATAGACATTATAGAGATTATGTAGAGAACAGAGATTATAGAGATTATGGAGATCATAGAGATCCTAGAGATACTAGAGATTATAGAGATATTAGAGATACTAGAGATCATAGAGATACTAGAGATTATAGAGATATTAGAGATACTAGAGATCATAGAGAAATTAGTGTAAACGGACCTATTTCCATTAAAAATCATTTTCAGGCTAAAACTATTTGTATGTTTTAAACTAACATTGAACACAAAAAGAAGGAAAAAATATAAATGAATTGTCGTCTTAACACTACATTCTACATGGGGACCATTGAATTACTGTTCTGCTTCTTTTCTCAGGTTATTTATTAAAATGTTTTGGAGTTGTTTTTCAAGTTAAGATAAAAAATTTCTCTCTACAAATATAAATAATTAAAAAGCCTTTTAGATTATAAATGATTGAGTCAACTTTCATTAAAAATAACATTTTTTAAAGTTTTTATCTGGTTTTATCTTCTCGTTTAATCAAGAAAGGAGATTATGAGATTTTATATATTTGTCTTGAATCCCAAAACTAAATTAACGTCAATTTTTCTCAATGCCCCGTCAAATTACTTAGGGTTAGGTTAGGTTTTCTAAGGCCCCGCAGCCTACGAGAGTGGGTGAGCGCTGCGACTACAGGGTCCAGCACTGCAGATTGACAATAGCAAAAACGAATTAGCGCCATTTATGATCTGTGTTGATCACGTTTTATAAACTAAATCTTAATTTTATTTCTAGAAGCTAAGGCGTTGGCTGAGAAACAGATGAATGAAGCAATGGCGATGGCGCAGGGCAAATGTGTTCTTCAATAAACCAGAAATATATATCGAAGAAAAATCTCAAAATAGACCAGCATCAGCTCTCATAGGAATCAAATACTCAATGGGTTGGGCCTTCAGGCCTTTAAGGGTGAGAATATGAAAATTTAAATATTTGTTTTTTTTCGCCGCAAATAAAATCCAATTGCCGAGTCTAATTTATTTATTCATAAAATTAGATAAACACCCCAAAAATTGTTAATTGCGAAAAGATCCTTGATTAAAATATTATTTTCTCCAGATAACATCTCAATTTACTCCCAACTGATATAATTATATCATAAATATAAAGATAATTGATACAATTCTTAAGTAATCTATACCATAACCAGAGGCGTCTTCAGGGGGGGGGCCTATTGGGGCTAAGCCCCCCCGGGACCATTGACATCTATTGATTTCAGGGGATTTTCATGCCCCAATGGGTGCTGAGTCTCCCCACCTGGAAAGAACACTTTTTTAAGCCCACCTGAACAAATTCCTGAATACGCCCCTGACCATAACATGGTTCGGATCCCCCCCCCCCTCATTTACAAAACTTCCAGTTTCGGCCTGGTTGTTAAGACAGGGGAAATATTATTTTTAAAAGTTCTATTTTCTCCTTGACTATATATTTACCAAGATATATTGATATTACCTATTATTATCTTATTTGAGAGGAGGGGTGGGGGACCCCTCCTCTCAAATAAGATAATAATTCTTTTTAACCCCCCGGCTCACCCAATCAAGTGAAACCTCCTCGGCTCTCAATTTTCATAAATCAGAATGCATTTAAATTCTTGGATTTCAGGTCTAAGAACAAGGTTATCTAAACTGCATTTTTATGCATAGATATCATAAAATATTGTGCTTACAATCTTTAGAAAACTAAAGATATTAATCCGTTAGTAGAGACTTTGGGGTTTAAATAAGAACTTACCCAATCTTTGATTTTTCTTCACCAAAAAGGAAGAAATTAAGAAAATTTTAAAAAAAAGTTTAGTTTTCATAATCAGAAGCAAAAGGATGCATAAAAAATCTTTCAACGTTTTTTTGCTGGGAAATAAAGTTAGTTCCAATTTTTTTAAAAAACAAACTGAGCTGAAAACTTTAGAATGGTGAATATCGAGATCAATGCTTGCTTGATCCTCTCTTTTTCTTAATCTCGAGACTAACCTAATCTTGTACTTGTATCCTGAAAAGTGTATAAAATTCAACCAATCAGAGTCGCGTTTCAGAAGCCGGGAAATTTGAAATTTTGCCCCCCATTTAAGATTACTATACAGAAACGGAAGGGACTCTCAAATTTTGAATTTTGAAAAACCAGTCTTTGATTTTTCGTACTGTATCCAAAAAAGAGTGGATTAAGCAGGAAATTAAAAGTGTCCACATTGGATATTCGGATTAATTGCAGTCGGGATTAAAGGTATCCCATTCTAAAGTTCCCAACTCTATTGTTTTAAGTATATAAAATTTGAAGATTTTGCAGTGGAATTCAAATCTCACAAATAAGTATAATTTTCTGACAACCAAAGTTTATTGAGTGTCTCTGTATTCACTTTAGTGTAATGTTTATGAATACAACCGAGTTGATAATTGTTTTAAACAATGTATTCAACGAATTTTAAATCTGTTATCTGCTGTTCAAAACAATTTCATTGTTCAATTTTAAACTTTAGATTAAGAAATTTGAAATGGCTTCTTCTAAAATATTTAAAGATTTTAAATAAAGAGCTTTTTCAAATTTTGAAATGTAGTTTTAAAATCCTGATAGAATATTAATAAGATGAAGTCTGTATTCTATGAATTTTTTCTTTGTTAAAATTTCAATGAATAAATTCTGCCCAATATTTATTTATGATTTTAGTTTATATACATATACTACATCAAACACGTCTAATGCATGAGAAAGTAAATTTTCGTCCAAAAACAATCAAACGTAAAAAGTAGAATCTTTTGTGCAAAAAAGTTTCATGCTTTCTGTTTTACTTTTTTATTAGTATAAAAAGATGTGAAAAATTATTTGTCAAGCTCTTGAGATTTTTTGTTTTATTCGTTCAAAAATATTTATATTAACCCTTTGGTGGCAAAGACGTTTTAGACCTTAGAATGTATGTAAAGTTTGTTAGTTTTTGAAGAAAACTTTGATGAATTTGGAGACGATTCTGTAGCTCTAAGACGACGTCATTGTCACCCAGAGAGATTTTTTAAAAAATATTTTGATCTGGTTTACAATGACAGCTTATTGTGTACAAAGTTACCATAGAAAGAATGACGACTTTTTCTTACAATCCTTGCTCCTTAACACTTAAAACTTCTTTGCAAAATTTCTTAGATAAAAAAATGTAATCTGAGAACCAATTTTAACTTTTAGATCGATTTATTCTACGAGTTCTAGGTCGTCATTAAAATATCATTCTTAAATAGATAGCGTAAAACTATAATAACATTTCTCTTGTTTTATCAATGTAATCTATGAATTAAAATATGTTAAAAGACTTTAATCTTTAACCAGTTATGTGACACTGACTATAATAAATTTATCAATGATGACCCTAAATTTTTAGCTAGGCATTAGGAAAGAAAAAAGTTTTAAAGGGAGTACTCTTACCCATATGACAGGTTACTCCAGTCGTCTGTGACACTGATAGGTGATCCCAGATAACATTAAAATTGAGGATTTCTTGAAACATTAATCAAATAATTCCCCGAGTCCAGGCATTTCCAAAATTTGGTCTGCTTTGTTTGCGAGTTTTATATAATACCGGATATATTAATTGAATTTTGTTGAGATTTCAATTAATTATAAAAAACCAAATTTCTCAAAATTGTCGAAATTTTTCATAATTCCGGTAATTAAATATTTTGTGATTATTAATTCAAGAATTTTATTTCTAAACTAAGGTATGAGAAAATTTGTTCAACTGTCAAATGACCTTTAAGTCGTCTCTCGACTGTCATGTTTCGTGACATTCGTGAGCCAGCTCCTGTATCTAAAGCAGTGGCTCAGTAACATTCGTGAGCCAGCTCCTGTATCTAAAGCAGTGGCTCAGTAACATTCGTGAGCCAGCTCCTGTATCTAAAGCAGTGGCTCAGTAACATTTTGCCTAGTACAAGTTCGCCTGGTACACTTTTGCCTAGTAAACGTTCGCCGACTAACTTTTTTCCATAGATAACATTTTACCTGAACTCAGTTTGCCTAGATAACATTACAAGGTAATTTTCGCCTAGGTAAATTCACTAATTTTTTAAAAAAAATTTCTAAAGTTCCATTTTTTCTCCAGAAATTCAATTAAAAGCAAAAAAATGTATTATAATAATGTTTACAAATTTTTCCTTAAAGGGCACTAGCTCGCTGTAGATCATGGGCCAGCATTTTCAGATAATCAGTTTTAGGCATTGTAGCAAAAGCTTCTACCACCAGTTTAACCCTCTGTTTTGCATCCTTGGCTCTCTGCTTTCTGCCTGTATTATCACCCATATCCTGGCCAACTGAATTAGAAAGAAATGCTCGTCTTGCATCAGCATCTTGTTTGATAAACTGGTCCTGAATGTGCCAAACATTTGGACTGTACACAGACAATAAATTCCAGGTACGATTAAAGGATTCCAGCATATTGTTTGTTTCTATTCCATCCTCTAGAATTGTGCCGTACTGGTTCCAAAGACAGGGCGGGAACAATGCTCTCTTCCCACCCCGTTTTTCAATCGAAGTATGTAAATAGTAGTACCCAAAACGATAATTGTGAAATTTTTACAGAAAAAATTGCGTATTTTTTGTTCCAAAAGCTGGTTAAATATAACTTGAAGAATGTTAATCTAGGCTTAATAACTCTCTAATGTTATCTAAGCAAAATGTTATCTAGGTAAAATGTTGTCTAGGCAAACTGTGTCTAGCCAAAATGTTATCTAGGCGAACTTGAACTAGACGAACTTGAACTAGGCGAACATGTACTAGGCAAAATGTTACTGAGCCAAAGCAGCCTTTCACACTTTTCAAATTTCACAACATGAGTCTTGGATCCATTCCATTAGATCAGAAAAAAAAACAATTGTTATAATTTCGGTTTATTTGACTAAATATTTTAGTTGACACATTTTTCAAATTGACACTTTTTAATTTTTTAAGGTAAAAAAACACATTTTTTTTAAAATATACAACAAAGTTTTATTTATTATTGAAAACATCCAATTAAGTAAGAAAAAAATAACAGATGCAAATTTTTTGAATATTTTTTTTAGAACTTTTGAGTCAAATAGAAAATGAAACAACAATTCCGGATCTAAAAAAACCTTTTTTATCATATAATATCTTATCATGTTAATTCCGTAACTTATATTTATACGAAGACTAAGATTATATATATCTTTTTAACCTTAATTCTTCAAACTTAATTTCCAATATTTTCAAAAGATTTTCAGTAAATGAATTTCTTCAAATTTCTTTTGTTTCTTCTTGAAATCAAAGAGATAATTTATGAAACTTAAAAATGAAGAAATAAATTTGTAGAGCAACTTCTTTTCATAGTAAAATCAAATAAAAAAAGCGATTATTAAAACAAAATATCATCAATATCAGTTTAAGTTACATATTGTGCACTAGCCTACAGAAACAGTGGGGTTTAGTCGATGTTCCATAATAGCAATATTAGAATTGAAAGCTAGACTAAAAATGAAAAAAGTGTTCACTTTTGTCCTTAATCGGAAAAATTGAAGAGTTGTAAAACAAAAATTTTGATATGTGAAAAAAGAAATTAATTTCAAGGTTGTTAAAAACCAACAAACCTAGTGAAATGTATAGAAGGTCTAGATGTAGTTGCAAGAAATGAAAGACTGGAAAGGTCGTGTAAATTTACATTATTCTAATAAGTTTAACAGATTCAACGAAATATGTCGTTAGTTCTCAGGGCGAAGCTTTTGCTATGGATACCAACTGTTTAGCTTCACTAATTAATTAATGACACTAAAATCGCTTAAAAACATGGCCAAAAAGCGACCTTGAAGAAAGGAAAATGTTTTTTTAAAAGATTAAATTCTGCAACGTTTAATGTACACAATTCCAGAACTAATGCCATGTTAAGATATCTATTCAAACCTGTTTAATTTAAAGTTGTTAACACCCTAAGCAGAAGCAAGTGAAGACAGTGGATTAATGAGCAGTGCATAGTTCCAGGTTTAAGCGTCATGATGGTTCTTTACTGTTTTTTAAAAAAGTTTAGTAAATTACTAATGAATTCGCTTTTGGGTAATTTGGTACAGAGTACAAAGGGTGCAGTACTCGAAATAAGCTTTTAACCTTCAATTTTTTTTTCTTTATTTCTAATCCCCCGGTTTTCCAGAAAGCATTTCTCGTTTTTTATCTTTTTATTGCATAACATTTTTCCCCTTCGCATTCGCCGCGTTCATTTTCACAGTCGTCATCACAATCCTCTCCACGTGAGCGCCGCCTGTTAAGAAAAAAAGTTCACATCAATCAAATCCGATTTTTAAGAAAATGCTTACTCAAATCTAGAAGTGACTTTACGATTTTAAGAATGAAAGTAGGACATAGAGGATGTTTACTGTATAGGATTGCTTTTGGCTGTGAATATTTTCAACAGTATTAAATACTAAACCATCATTAAATCTTCTTTTTTTTAAATGTTCCGCCATGAAAATAAAATTACAATTCCTTTATTGCGTTTTTTTCGTCACACTAACGGAACATACAGTTTAAAGTAAAATTAAGACTAAATTGTATAACTACATAAACTTTTATGTAAAAAACAATTTTTACTGAATACAAAGGAAAAAATTCATTAAAATTTCTCTTCCCGATAAAAATATTTAAATCTTAAAAAGAAATCCAACGGGGGCGGGAGAAAGCTTAGCTCAATCACCTTTTTCTTGCTTCATACCAGTCTTCTTTCTCATCTTCTAGTCTTACATTCTTCCTTTGTCTAGCTCTAGATAAATAGATAATCAATAAACCTAAAGGGACTTAGATGTAATTGAGAATTTAATTTCTCTGGTTAATAATGGATGACGTATCCTTATTTTCTAATTGTAAATTGTTTTGCTTGTCAATTTCAATTTCGGATTTTTGTTGCAGAATCAATGAAGGAAATGAACAAAAACTATCACTTTATCTTTTTAAAGATACAAAAGATGTAACTTTCCATATTTTTGCTCAGATAGAAGTTTAAGGGTAACCTGGTGAGCTTACAATTACATTTACAATCCCTACTGTAAGCAGATAGAAACAACTAATAAACTGCTGGGTAGAAACATGAAGAGAAGAAGAATGTAGGAGTGAGAGTGAGATAAGGATTGAAATAGACAGAAATGGAAAAGTTTTCTTAATAAATAAAAGATAAATATTATATAAATAATTTATGGATAGCGTTTAGTTAATCTTAGTTTGAGCTTAAACTAGACAAATTTATAGATAGCGTTTAGTTAATCTTAGTTTGAGCTTAAACTAGACAAAAGGGGGGGGGCACAAAACGTATTACTCTCCGGAAAATTTAAACAGTGGTTAAACATAACTTAGAATTGTCGTAGGAGGCTGATTTTTTGCATGCAAACTCAGAATTATGTATATTACGTGCATTTTTTGGTTTTNGTTTAGTTAATCTTAGTTTGAGCTTTAACTAGACAAATTTATAGATAGCGTTTAGTTAATCTAGTTTGAGCTTTAACTAGACAAATTTATAGATAGCGTATAGTTAATCTTAGTTTGAGCTTTAACTGGACAAATTTATAGATAGCGTTTAGTTAATCATAGTTTGGGCTTTAACTAGAAAGGCATGAAGATTGTTGAAAAGAAAAAGAAAGAATTGTTATAGTCATACTGCTGAGGAAAAAATAGTATTAATATGAAATCACTACTCAATGTGCTACAACTCGAGCCAAAAGGTCAACCTTGTGTGACTTGAAAAATTTCTTTGCCATGACTTCTTGATGACTTAGGGGTTCAGATTCTGATATTACACAAATCTAAACACACTTGGGGGGCCCAAAATGATCCAAATTTTTAAATGGCCGAAATCATGTTAAAAATGTGTTGAATTAAAAAAGTTTACTTCGATGACCCCCTGAACATGCTGAAAATGTTTAGGGTCATCAAATATAGTTTTTGGGTAAGTCGATTATAAAAAGAGTTATCGACTGTAAATTCTACTGTATAGGTTGAAGACGATTCGGTAAACCCTTCGGATGATCCTATAGATGATTCAAGACCTGAAGATTGAAGATATAGAAGATATAAAATCTAAAAAGCCGCGCTATAAAAATTGCATTTTTCGTACTTGTTTGTATATATTTTATATTTTTATAAATTATTTTATATTTCAGTTTTCACCTGTTTTTGGATTGCTGTCTATAAATAAATTCTAAACTGACAGGAGTCTTTAATCCGAGTGATAAAGAGGAAGCTTTGCTTATAGCATTCCATTATAAACTAAATCTTCAGGGTACATTGATTGTGCCCGTTCGTAAAGTGGGAGCACGAATGAGTATAAAATAAACCGAACGAACCAGCTTTGGCTGGAAATCACATCGACGAATGTTAATACCTATTCTTTAATCTGAATTTTCATTAATTGAAAGTGAATTAGCGGAAAATAGATTGTTTTATAAATTTTAAAAAATCGACGATAACTTGAATTTTTAGACTTATTGTTAAATTGTGTAGTTATTTTTAGCATATTTTGGGGTGTCGGAGAAACAAGATGTTTTTTTTATTAAATATTTCAATAATTGTTGAGGTCATTTTTTGGGGCCGCCTAGTGTGGTCAGATTTGTGTGAAATCGGATTCTGACCCCCTAAACCATTAAAGAAGACATAGTAAAGAACATTTTTAAGTCACACCAGGTCGACCTATTGGGTCGATTTAGAGCACAGCAAACGTTAATTTTTAAATATAAAAATGATTTTTTCTCCTTAATTTTTCAGAAAATCGGCTAGTTACCTTTCAAATACCCAATCTCCTTTAGATTCTTGATTTCTTTTCAAACTCCTTCCCATTCCTCTTCTAGATGTCCAGTCTTCATCCTCCTCCTCTTCCTTCTTCATCTTCTCATTCCCCCTCTCTCTCTTGTACTGCTTTCTGCTCCTTTTATTCTCTTTCTCTCTTATATCCTTCTTATGCTCCTGTCTCTTTGTTTCATCTATTTTAATATTTTCTGTTTCCCTTCTTTCCTCCGCAAACTTCCTTCCGTATTCCTTTTCCTCTTGTCGTCTATTATTCTTCTTCTCTTTCTCTTTAATTTTCTTTACTCTTTTCTCATCTTGACTTCTCTTGTATTTGGAGTCTGGAGAATCTGAAATTAGAAAAGTATTAGAATGAAAGCAAGCAAACATGTAATTTTTCAAAACAATTTATAATTTTATCTTCGGAAAAAAATGTACATCTAAAAAATTGAATGAATCCACAAATTTTACATAGAACACCAGTTTCTTGGCAAAAAACGATAAAACTATTTTGCCAGAAATTAGCTATATATTATGAACAGTGGACACTGCACATCTTTGAGCAGTGTTTTTTTTGTTTTATTAAACGTTCCAAATTCTTCTGGATATGTTTATCATTTATATACATAATAATTGGGCTATTATGTGAAATCTAAAAGAGGTAAAAAACATCATGTATCACCGTAGAACAGATGAAAGCTACTTGGTATAATTATAGAAAATCTGCAAAATTATAATGAAAAAGTTGATCTGTAAAGTTAGATGAAAAACGCGTCTTAAAAGAAAGAGAATTATAGAGAAAAATGTTTTGCACCGAAAGTAAATAATTCCGTAGGTATTTTTAATTATTGCAACTGTAAATATCATATTAAAAAATTTCTTAATAAAAATTACTTGAAAGTTTTCATTAATATTTTTTTTAAGGCGTTTCTTAGAAAGGTTTATGCTTTGGTAAAACAGAGAGGGAGGGGGTAGAATTGTTGCAGGTAACGAACCAAATTATTTCTAAAGTTTCCTGGAATAAGAGAAGCGGGTTAAATAGTTTCAGTAAATGTTTTCGAAAAAGATAATTTATTTTTAATGAAAGGATTACATTAATTTGAAGGATTTCCATTTCAACTGAAATAATTGATTCTAGAATAAAATTAAAAACCTTTCTGTTGGTCCTTGTCCATCTTCTGGTTGATAATGTTGGTCCAGGTGTTCTTGATGTCGGTCCAGCTTCTCTCCATCTTCATCTACTCATACATCAACACGGTCAAGGATATCATTAAAAGTAAGAATTGATTTAACTGTGGCGGCGTAGTGGCGGAAGACGAGACTTTTGAGGAGTTTTGAACCTAAGATCTAGACGCGACAAGATGAGCAACTTCCGGCCACGTCACCTATCTAGCTATTGAATATTTTTACGTTTCTATAAATTTAAGTATATAAATTTAGTAATAAAGTAATTATTTAAACAGGCGTTTGTTAAATTGAGCGTAGCTAAATTTGGTGACCCCGAATTTTCTCATTCTGAAGCAAAGGTTTTAATCACTTCTCGTTATAATGCTAAAAACAATGATTTACAGTTCAGTCATATCAACTTATCAAGGACAAGAAAAAAATAAAAAGGTTTGGAAAGTAACAGGCCAACCAGCACTTTAAATTATATATATCTGGTCTAATTATTTGACGAACAGTTTTTGCTGTGATTATTTATAAATAAAGGTTTTAAAGAGAGTCTTAACTTTCATTTTCATAGTAGCTTACAGTATCTAAGAAAGTATGACAAACTACTCCAAACTATAGCAATAAGTATGAAAATATGTTGTAATAAAAAAATCATTTATTCGTTTATCTTGACATTATTGTGAACAAATTAAGTATTGAGACGGGGTTCGGAGGGGGGAATATTTTATTCTGAGGGATGGGAGGAGGAGGAGGAGGGGGGTGATTGAGATGTTTCCCATCAAAGCTTTATTATTGAAGAATGTACTGACTTCTGGAAAATATTTTATTTACAAGGTATTTGTATTCAGAATTAGAAAATAATGTAATTTTAAAAAATAATTCACGGAGGCCTTTTCTTTAAAAAAAATGTANGGAAATATATCCAGCTGATTTAAAAAATAAAATGTAAAAACTGAAAAACCAATTTTGTGCTGTGTTCCTTGATTTTGGAAATTTCTTCGTTCAACTGATTATTCCAGGAACTGAAAAAAAAACTGCATTACCTTAAAGGGACTGTAAAGAAAAAATGAAAGGGGGTATAGGCTGAAACCTGAGAATCTCAGGAGTTGATTGAGACTTATAAGATTTCTTTCTGAAGTTTCTGTCTCGAGAAATTGATATAAAACTGTGTCAAAATTATACAAAAACATATTTTGATTTTGTATAAGATTCGTAGTATAAAACAGATCATATTCAACAAATACACACCCAATCTGAAAACAGCGATATACAAGAGGAGCCTGAGAAACTCAAGTTTAATAATTTTTCATTTTAATAGATATAATTGATATTATCATTTATGCGTCCGGAGCTCCAACCATTGGTATTGCAGTATTATTGTCACGTGTCTCCGTCTGTATCACATGACCAATATACTTGCACTGCCGTCGGAGGGAGTTATAGTCACGTAATACGGACGTATATCTTACATATATACGTTTTGGTATAATCTTGACACAGTTTTATGCCAATTTCTCGAGACAGGAACATTAGACAGATGTCTTATAGGTATAGTTCTTGTCCTTGTCCTGATATACCACATACAAGATATACTCGTCCTTATATACCACATACAAAGTATACTCGTCCTAATATACCACATACAAGGTATACTCGTCCTAATATACCACATACAAGATATACTCGTCCTTATATACCACATACAAAGTATACTCGTCCTAATATACCACATACAAGGTATAATCGAACTAATATACCACATACAAGATATACTCGTCCTAATATACCATATACAAGGTACACTTGTCCTAATATACCATATATAAGGTATAATTGTCCTAATTTGCCACATACAAGGTATACTCGTCCTAATATACCACATACAATGTAAACTCGTCCTAATATACCACATACAAGGTAAACTCGTCCTAATACACCACATACCAAGGTATACTAGTCCAAATATACCACATACAAGGTATACTCGTCCCAGTATACCAGATACAAGGTATACTCATCCTTATATACCACATACAAGGTAAACGTATTTTTTAACATAAAGTGCGCGCGCATATTTGCATTTGAAATTGCATTTTGCAGTTACAATACAAATTTGCGAGTTCGCATGCAAAGTCAGCGTCCTACGACAATGCTAAGTTTTCCGGAGAGTAATACGACTTATGCCTCCCCCCCAACCCCCTTATGTACATGATGATGTACACATACTCGTGTAGAATAAGTACAGAGGTTGGTGATAAATAAATTAACAGCAGAGCAGTACCTTTTTTCAGTGGCGTCTTTTGCAGCTTCTTGTAAATCCTTAAAGTATGAAAAAAAATTAGTTAACAAAAAAGGACGAACAAATGAAAACGCACTATTTATAAAGCACTAATAATGAGAATGGGGGCGCATCCTCACCATTTAAAAAATCTAGGGACCCCCCCCCCTGTTGTGCCTCTGCCACATGTTGTGAAACTTTGACAAATATCAAGTAAGGTTTATTACCCAGAAAACCATGCATCAGAGATATACCTTTACAGAGTGCATCAGGGACTTCAGGAGTTTCCTAGCAGCCATTTTAGTAGGCTCCACGTGTCCTTCCAGTTCTCCCTTTTCAACAAATCCACGAATCTCAGCAAATCTGTACACAAGAAATCCTTTAGAATTCTTGGAAATCATGAAATAATTTATTTGATTAAAGGTTCAATACATTTCTAGAACAAAAAAAAGGAAAAGATCCTGGCGTAGGAGGATATTAGAGCATGGTAAGTTTCCAGGAGGATATTAGAGCATGGTAAGTTTCTAGGAGGATATTAGAGCATGGTAAGTTTCCAGGAGGATATTAGAGCATGTTATGCTTCTAAGATAAAGTCTTGGTAGGTTTCTAGGATAAGATCAGAGCAGGGTAAGGTTCAAGGTTAATGAATAATCTTGAAAGTTTCCAAGATAAAGTCTTGGTAGGTTTCTAGGATAAGATCAGAGCAGGGTAAGGTTTCAGCTTAATGAATAATCTTGAAAGTTTCCAAGATAAAGTCTTGGTAGGTTTCTAGGATAAGATCAGAACAGGGTAAGGTTTCAGCTTAATGAATAATCTTGAAAGTTTCCAAGATAAAGTCTTGGTAGGTTTCTAGGATAAGATCAGAGCAGGGTAAGGTTTCAGCTTAATGAATAATCTTGGTAAGTTTCTAGGATAAGAAATAGTCTTGGTAGGTTTCTAGGATGAGATCAGAGCAGGGTAAGTTTTTAGGTTAATGAATAGTCTTGGTAAGTTTCTAGGATAAGAAATAGTCTTGGTAGGTTTCTAGGATGAGATCAGAGCAGGGTAAGTTTTTAGGTTAATGAATAGTCTTGGTAAGTTTCTAGGATAAAACCAGAGCATGGTAAGTTTCTGTGATAATATTAGCGTATTGTAAGTCTCTATAATGATATCAGAAAATATGCAGATCCACGGATCCGGATCCCATGGGATTTGAAAAAAGAAAAATTATTTGAAAATTCTTGTTTTGTTAAAAAAAAATCGGTAAATCTTCAAGAAATGTTCCTGACCTGGAATTAGACCCAGACTAGAATGATATGAGAATAGTAAGTGAGGAACGAAAGAACATAGGAATAAGAAAATGAACAGAAATCTGAAAAGACCCAGGAAATAGAATCCCCACAGATTACAGTTGAGGAATAAACTCTAAGCATTACAGCCTAATTCTGACATGAGAAAATTGAGAACCAAAGTTAACAAAAATTTGCATTTAAAGAAATAGTGCAACCATAAAAATTAAATTAAAATTTGTCTGGAGAGAAATGCATTTTCTGTTCATAAGACAAAGGTTTATTTTCTTGCGGAAATTAAATCATTGCTGAGCTTGAAAATATAATTTAATAGCATTTACAAACACAAACAAATGAATCACCGTTCACCTTAGCTATGAAATAGGTTTTATAAACAAAAACTCCTGAGGTTTATCAGATTCTGAAAGTAGACTATGTCTAACCTAGCATGTAGATTTTTAGAACTTTTTAAGAAAATTCCATTTAAACTTTGTTGTGTAGTTTAGACTGAAAAAAACGCGTTTGACTCAAAGATTATTAGGAAACCCGAAACTTTTTAAGCTTTTCCGCTAAATTATATTATTATCATCATTATAAATTTATCAATGAAGGATTAACAAATTATCAAAAGGAATTATTAGGTATTCATGAAATGTTTTAGCTTTCTGCTTGATATTACGCGATTTTTATAAATTTTTATAAATTAACCATATTAAACAACGTTTATATGGTTAATTTCTTACGATTTGTATAAATTTTTATAAATTAACCATATTAAACAACGTTTATATGGTTAATTTCTTACTATTTGTTAATTCTACATTGATAAATTTATCATGATGAAAATAATTTAGCAGAAAACCTTATAACGTTTAGGGTTTCCTAATAATCTCACGAAAACTTCTGCGTCAAACGCCTTTTTTCATACACAACCAAGTAGAATTTTCTCAAAAAGGGCTTAAAAGGGATTTTTAAAATCTAAATGCTAGGCCCAGACATAGTCTACTTTCAGAATCTGATAAACCTCAGGTGTCGTGTCTTTGTCTTTGAAAACCTACTCCATAGCTGAACGGTGGCAGTTCGCGTAGATTTTTTGCTCTAGTATTCCTTTATTATTTTTTTCTCGGCATCCCTATTTAAAATGGAAAAGTATAAAAAGACAACCCGCAAGTTTAAAGATTGCTAAACTTTAGACCACATCCCTGGAAAATTCTAAAAGCCTTTCTAGCATCTGGAAAACGGCCTCTTTAAAATTTAATTCATATAAGTAAAGTTTACTATTATCACAACAAATATAAATTTAAAAATTCATAATTTATTAGGCATAAATTCTTCTATTTCAACTTTCAACTGTGGCAAGACCTAAGGGCATCTTCTCTTTGTACAGTAAAAAACAATAACAAACAAAAGATAAAGGATTTACTAATAATGTTTCACGCATTTTCAAACTTTTACAAAAATCAAAAACTTTAGGACACACATTTTGAGCATATAAAATCTTCCCTGGGGTCATGTGAGGTCCCAAACAAAATTTGGGACCGATTGGTTCAGCCGTTTTGACGTCTATTAGGCACAAACCGACAAACAGTCAGACAAGCAAAGTATATATAAGATGACAATGGAATATTTTTACTTTTCAGAGGGAATTTTTTTCTAAAAATAGATTTATGAAATAAAATAAATATTTAGAGTTTATGAAAGATAAAATAAAACCATTTTTATCCCTTTAAACTGATAAATGAAGTAGCGTATAGAGATTATCGAGGTATTTTAAGCGAGCCTCCGATTCACACCGATACTCTCTAAATTTTTGTCTGATAAGAAATGACAGAGATATTCTTCATTTCCTATCTTAAAATTCTAAATTGCAGTTTCTCTGAAAAAGGTGACTTGCGGCTTTAGGGACTAGAAATAGAAGGATATCGACAGAACTTAACAATTTAATGGAGGGTTATGTGAAACTAAATCTACAGTTCATTTAAATGGAGTGTTTGTACATCTCAAAATCAAAATCATTTTTTTTTGGAACAAAAATTATATCAATATACTCACCATCGTTCTAAAATTCATGAACCCTTCCCTTAAAAATTATCTGTATGACATACTTCTCCTGGAAGATGTTGAGGTTAAGGCCTCCGAGGCTAGAGAGCTTGACTCCTATGTCCTCCTGGAGTCCGGAGAAAAAACTAAAAAAATGAAATAAGTGGAATGATTGTCGTCATCGTTATTTCTTCTAACTAGAATTATAGCTATAAATTTACTAATTAACTGTTTGGAATGTGCCCCTCAACATTATCAAAATTACATCATTTCTAAAACTTCTAAAAAGTTCTAAAAATTTCAAATTACATGATCCATTCCCCAGGGTCATTTCATTACTAAAAGAAAAATCAAATAAATACGACATTCATTTCACTGTTCTCCGGTCCCCCTTGAATAAAAATAATAAAAAAGGAATAACAAAAACAGAAGTATTTTAAATTATAAGGAATATCATACGATTATTTTTGAATAAAAGAATGAAAAAAAAATAAGAAAAGATAGGAATGAACAGATGAAACAGAACAGCAAAATGAGAACACTGAAAAACCCACTCATATATAAATTAAGACAGTTAAGAAGAATTAAACTAAAATTGTATAAAAAAATAGTATTAAGACAAAGACAAGACTAAAAACGTTATCAAATTTTAAAAAAGTTCAAGAATTTTTTGGACAAAATTGATCAAATTAAAAAATCTAATAAAAAACGTACTGTTTAGTATCCTCCCAGTTAATTTCCCCAGCAGCATCAAACAGCTTGGATCCAAACTAACAATTGAAATAATTATTATTAATTCTTTAATAAACACCATTTGCATTTTCTAATTGGATGAGAAGGAAGAAGAGAGAGGGGGGGGTGGTAATTCCCATTTCCTTTTTTTAGAAAACAAATGGTTGAGGAATGTGGATCTTATAAACTTAGTTTTAATGAGAAAAAAATTCATTGAAAAGTTTTGAGTGGTCACGAAAAAGAAGTTATTTTACTTTTTACAAATTATTTATTACCACGTTATAACACGCGACAATATTTAATTCCACCTTGGATTAAAACTTTCTATTGAACTGAATTCTTTTCACAAAGTTTAAAACCTAATAATCATATTGCGAGAGCTTTAACAAAAATAGGTATTAGATGTAATATCTGGAAAGGAAACTCTTTAAAATGGGGGGGGGGGGGGGCTTCAGGAGTTGAGAAGAAAAGAAAAAAACAGCATCGTTTTAAGTTTGAAGATGTCTTTTGTTATCAAAACCAGTTTTATCTTTCAATACTTGTACATTGTACAGTTTCTACAATCCGTATTTTTTGAAATGTCAAACAAAATACTTTAATTATATTTTTGCGTAAAAATGTTAAAATTGTCGTGCCTTGGAGAGTTTTTTGGCGATCTTTCTGGAAATATCTTTCAGGACAGGATGTTCATGTTCATCATCCTCGACTATTTTTCGGTCATCATTTGGCTTATTTTGGTTTGTTGACTTTTTCTCCCAGCTTTCTTCATTATGCTTCATTTCTTTTTTATCTGATACGTATCCCTCGTCAGTATTGTCATATTCATTAGTTTTCTGCACAGTTTCAGAGTCACCATCATCATCATCATTATCATTATCATAATCATCATTATCATTATCATACTCATTCTCACCATCTTTATCAATCTGTCTTCTTTCCTCTTCTCTCTTTATGTCGTGTTGTCTTCTCATAGGCCAAGATTCAGACAGATCTTCCTTTTGTACCTTTGAACTTATTGACATTTCATTATTTTCATTGATTTCAGGAGAATCAACTTCGATATCAACATCAGCATCATCAGAATCATCTATTGCTTTACCACTTTCATCATAATCAATAACTGTATCTTCGTCTGTAATGGGAGCAGCGGAATTTGGAGCTCGTGTATTGGGAGCTGCAGAGTTTGGTGCTGCTCCGTATCTGTACTTTCCAACCTAAATGACAAAAATCTAGACAATGTGTGTGTGGGGGGGGGGCGGTTGATTATTCAACTTCCAATTTCATATTTAAAGTATTCAAACAAGAGTTAAACCAGGCTTAACGGGTTCACTTAATCGATTTTGCGTTTTTGAGTTACCGGACTTTAGAAGCCGCAGATCGTAAATTTCGTAAAAACTGTTCTATTAAAATATTCAAAATCTCAGAAATTGTTCAAAGTGTCAAACTTGGTCATATTTAAAATAAATGCACACGATTGCTATTAGAAAAGCTAAGTATTAGACCTCAGCAGGAGGAAGGGAGAAGTTTAGACTTTACATTCAAAATATCGGCTTTGATACCAACCTGGATTTTGAGTTGATCATTCTCATCAACAATGTTGTTAAGGGCATCCCTAGTTTTTCTCAGCTGCTCCAGACTCTCAATAGATTCAGCCGCTCCTCGGGCTAAACAGGGACAAAATTTGAGAAATACCAAGAAGTAGTTCAACTGCCTATTTTTTAATTAAACCAGTTCCCTTCTGCGTCGGTTCAAGTGAAAAGATTCAATTTAGTGTGATCCGTACGATTTTATTTTAGCGATGATGTTGATAATTCGAAGATTGAAGATGGTAATGTCGATGTGATGACGATGTTACGATGATGATACTACTATAATGATACTACTATTAAGAATAACCAAAAAAAACAATACTTCTTCTAAAATTGTGTTTTCAATAATACAAATTCAGATACAACATCAACAAATAAATTAGATGCTTAAGCAAAGCTGACATATAGAAATCGTATTAATATTTAATTTGAAAAAATGTAAATATTATTCAACAAATTTCAAGTTTACATGGAAAAGCAATTACTTGGCAGTATAGGCGTGTAAATATGCAAATTGAAAATCTCAAGGTTGGAAAATCTCAAGGTTGGAAAATGTATCAAAATATTCAATAAAGTTGACATCTAAACGTTGAACAGTACTCAACACTGAACACATTATTCAGTGTTTATTCTTTAAGAAATAAAAAAATTTCAACAATAATTCACCAATATATTCATTATCTAATTTAAGAAAATTCGCAATTTGTGTCGTTTAAATTTTTCCTTCACTTTAAAAAAAGAAGAAAAAATCCGAATAATTAAACAACGCTAAAATAATAATTGTAATGTTTATTTTTCTTTTAAGAGCAAAAATTAAGATCCATAAAGTGCTTCTCAAATTTTCAATTTGGCGTATGATCCGGATCCTGAATACGCCCCCGGCAAAATTTACCGAGATTTGAATCCAGCTTTGTAATATTACTTAAAGTTTTACAGATTTTTTCCTATAAGGCAGATTTCTTCAGTTTAGTTTTAAAAGTTTAGAATTAAAATGTGCAAAGTTCTGTTTTCTCAGTTAGTCAGGGGGGCTTAAAATTCAATTAACTAAATGTAAGTTTGAATAAAAATATTTCCACATTGTATGTAAAGCAAGAAGCAATACATTTGGAAATATATAATAATATCTCTGAAATATGAGAGTTTAAAATAAACTCATTCCATGCATAAGTTGTAAGAAAGACAAAAATTCCCTGATTCAATAATATTCAATCATTTCTGTAGATTATTTAAAGGGGCGTTGTGCGTAATTTCAAGTTATTCTCTAAGCAAAGATGACAATGCCTGATTCACACCAGTACCCTTGAAAGCTTTGTCTAATCACCTATGAATTATATATCAATGTGTTTTCTCTATAAAAGTGACTTGTGCATTCTGCTGCACGAAAACAAAGAGTTTTTCGGAATTAACCACATTAAACAAAGGAAAACGACAATTTTGAAAAGATAAACGTTTCAAGGGTACCACATTGCCATCTATGCATAGAGAGTCAATTATAATAAGCTTAAAATCCTTTTAAGCAACCCTTGCCTTACTTGAAATATGAACCAGCGATTCAATGCATCTAAGATTCTTTTTTATATTAATAAGTTTACTTAATTAGGGAAAAACTAATATATTTTTCCAACCTGCTTCAGCATATCTCAACCTTGCCACCTCCCTTTCCAGGTCACCATTAGCGGTCAACAGGTTGTTTATCCGGTCACGGAGTATTGCGGTCATCGCTAAAATATAAATATTGTGAGCTAGAGTTATCCTTCCATTACGCGGGCACTTAAGATATGAAGATATTGTCAGTTTTATGAAGTTTAAACACAGTAATAGCTAATAGACAGATACTGTCAATTATATGAAGTTTATAAAGATATTGTCAACAAGATAAAGTTTATACATACACGGTCATAGTTGATATAAATATATTGTCAACTAGATACAGATTATACATACACGGTCATAGCTGATATAAATATATTGTCAACTAGATACAGATTACACATACACGTTATAGCTGATATAAATATATTGTCAACAAGATACAGATTAAACATACAGGGACATAGCTGATATAAATATATTGTCAACTAGATACAGATTATACATACACGGTATAGCTGATAGAAATATATTGTTAACTAGATACAGATTATACATACACGGTATAGCTGATATAAATATATTGTCAACTAGATACAGATTATACATACAGGGACATAGCTGATATAAATATATTGTCAACTAGATACAGATTACACATACACGGTATAGCTGATATATTGTCTACTAGATACAGATTAAACAAACACTGTATAGCTGATATAAATATATTATCAACTAGATACAGATTATCCATACACGGTCATAGCTGATATAAATAAACTGTCAACTAGATACAGATTATACAGACACGGTCATAGCTGATATAAATATATTGTCGACTAGATACAGATTATCCATACACGGTATAGCTGATATAAATATATTGTCAACTAGATACAGATTATACATACACGGTATAGCTGATATAAATATATTGTCCACTAGATGAAGTTATATTTAAATATACATTATTTTGTTTGCTGCTACACAAATGGTGTTATGAAATAGATGAAAGAGAGGGGGACAGGGGTGTATATTTTCAGAATTCCCTTGTTACAGAATTTTCCCCGAAAATAAAGTCATTTTCCACAATTCAGGGGAAAAACAACTTTTCAACATATGTAACTTACGGGGGAGAAATTTCTTTTTCTAGAAAATATACACCCCTGGAGAGGTAAACGAGGAGATGGAAGCAATGGGAGAAGAAGGAGGATTCTTAAACTTTAAGTGCTTATAATAAATCAGGCATAATATGTCTAAAGTATGCAGCTCCTAATTCCTACCGATTTATTTTCCAAATTTGCAGGATATGAGAAAGCTAGTCATTGCATTAACTAGTTTTCTTGAACAAAATCTATGAATTCTATACCTATTACCTACGTATAAAAAGAATGCTGGATATATAATGTTATCTTTCTGAAAACAGGAGTCAAGATAATTCAAAATACGATTCCAAATAAGATTACTCGAAATTGGGGTTTCAAGACGAAAACGAAAATAACCGAACATGGAAATTGGAATTATTGGGACAGAAAATTAAATCAATAATTATCATTAAACTTGTAGATTGGGCCATGTTTGAAAAATTTGATCAGAGCATAATACCAATCGCTCACTCTGTATATCTAATGTGGACTTCTGATTTCCGATCTTTTTCCTCTTTATGATATCCCCGATTCCTACCAATGAAAGTTTTTTTCATTAAATCGACCGCAAAATTTCAATTTTTCCAGTTTCTGATTGGCTGCTCGGTTTCTACAATCGACACTCTGATTGATTGCATTTTAGACACTTTACATTATTAGAACTATTAGAAAAGGAATCTGAAAAAGAGGTCCCGTTATGAACCCCCCATTATACCAACTATTAAGATTGAAATAATCCTAAGATTTAACAAAAAGTGGAGATCAAGCATTGCTCTCGATAGATATCCGGAATTTTAAAGTTTTTATCTCAGATTTAACAAACCAACATGATAAATAGGTTGCTTTACTCTGGAGTGTTCGAAATATAGTAAAGAAAGATTTGAGAAGTAGCTTGTTTTTGGAATCTAAATTAGGTTGGTCTAGCCGAGGCACGAATACAAGACCTTTAAATAACTNAAACCATAGTCTTTCTTTAATAAATACATCAAAAGTGAACAGGAAGCTGCGAAACAGTTTTTTTTCCTGGAAAGGTGGTTTATATTGTTTACGTAAAAAAAATGTGGACGGGAAGAGCTCAAAACTCCTACCTTCCTCCCTCGTGTCTCCAATATTAGATTTGAGATGATGAACCTGGTCACGGAGCTCCTGGTTCTCCTCCCATAGAGCTCGGATCACACGATCGTCCAGATCCTGGTCATCACCTAATATAGCAATCAATCAATAAATGGATTCATAAGTTTACAAGTTAATTAATCAATCAATCTTTAAATCAATTTCTAACGTTATCAGTTAATCAATCAATAAATCAGTTAACCAATCGATCCACCAATCAACTGATAAATCAATTATTCAATCGATCAAAATAAAAAACATTTATAAATTAATTAATAAAATAATAAATCAATAATTTAATACATCAATTAGCAAATCAGACCATTAATCAATTGACTCATAAATCAATCATTCCATTAATCAATTAGTCAATGTTCATGTTCATGTTCTTGACATACAAAAACAACTCACAAACAAACATATTTAAGTTTTTTTACAGGGTTACCCAATTGGGATGAATTCAAATGAGGCTTAAAGTGCAACAGTGCTGTTAATATTGATGACTTCTCCAAATTTGTTAAACCCCTTTAACCAGGTTAACCGTTGAATACTGAAGTATATAATAGCTGAAAAATTAGGAATTCATTTTGTTTCTTTATTAGTATTTAAAAGGATAAAAATTCATTGTGGAAGACGGAAACTAATCCTTAGCTTGGCAGTCGCAGATGTCATTTATGTCTGATCTTTAGTGGGCAGTCCTGTATGTAAAGTGTGAATAACATGTCTTACTGTTTAGTAGCAGGGTAAAACAATGGGTGGTAGTTAGGGTAGGGTTAGTTTCAAAAAACTCAAAATTACGTACAGTTAGCTCTATAGTCTATATTCTCGTTAATATTCTAAAATTAATTTCATTAATTAACAATTAAATAAAAGTTAAGAAATCGTTGTACCGGGAGTAATCCAAATTTTGATCGAAGACACTTTTAAAGTGAAAAAATAAAACAATGGCGATTTTAACTTTATCATTAGATTTGAATATTTTCCCAGATTTTAGGGTTCTATTGTTTGTGAATTTTATTCTAAAATTGATCAGCTGATACCCAAAATATTCAATTTAAAAAAAAAAATATCTATAAACTATACTCATCACGTAAACTTTTCAGGGCACAGTTGTGAATCATTCATGGAACTCATGAAGAAGGGTCCGTTAAATTATGCTGACGGTCTGTATAAAGTTAAGAAAGTGTGTTTTAATATTTAATAGGAAAGATGCTTTCCAAGTTCTAACATCAAGTATTAATTGCTCATAAAAATATATAAGAGGCTATTAGCAAGTTTAAACTTGCTACCGTAGAGACTGGAGAATACAGGGAAGCTGGATAAATACAAAGTTTTTAAAAAATATCTAAAAATGCAAATTAAATTTTTAAATCCTCACGACCCNAACGGGTGCTGAGCCCCCCTGGAAAAAAAGAAAAAAATTAAGCCCCCCCTGGTCAAATTCCTGAATAAGCCCCTCTTCACGGCTCTTTTTAGCATTTTGCATTCATATAAAATCTTACATATAAAAATACTAACTTGGTTTCGGCCCCAGGTGCTATGAAATTTGCAGACCGAAATTATGAGCTAACGGCCCAAGTTCATACTTAACGACTCAGAAGATAAACTGTGCTTATTTATTTATTTTTCAACAAGAAAATACGATTTTTTTCGAGTAAAACAATGAAAAAGAGATTGTGATACATATATTCTTTTAAAAATATGATTTTTGTAGCTAAGCCATATCAAGACTCAAGAGCAGCACAATTTCTGGAATAAAAATTCGAAAATTTCCGAAAAATGGTTAACTTGAATTGAAACTGTACCATGATCTTCGAAAATGAATTAAGTTCCCAAAAGAAATGAACTATAAAGGGCTAGAGATACCTCCTTGCCCTTCCACTCCTGAGATACAAGTAACTAGTTCATCCTGCAGAAAATATTACTTTTCTCTTCTATTTTTTCTAATTTTTCAATTATTTACAAAATCCTGGATACAAAAAGATGAAAAAAAATAAAGGCATCAATAAAATAACAGAGTTAAATCCATTTTTGAGTCCCCAAGAGACAAAGTAACAATGTAACAAACCTTGCTTTCCTTTTTGACATTTAAAGAGTAAAACCTAACAAATCCACTCAATAAAATGATAAAACAATGTTTTCCTGTTTGCGTTACAAAAGAGAATTTGGAATGTTTGAACATTAAAGTAAAATTCACTATGCACTTATTTTCAAATCTTAAATAAAAGTTAAAGTAAAATATTCCTGTAAATGGCAAAGTTTCTCTTCTTGAATCTGATCATACATCTCAACAACCTCAAGCTTCTCAGACATTCCTAAACAAGGGGTCAAGGGGGTCAAGGGGTTCAAAGGTCAAAGGTCAAAGAGTAAAAAGGGTGAACGATTTAGCAAAAAACAAAAATGTCATAAAAATTTAACATTGAGGGAATTAGCGAGTCTACTAAACTAATTCAATCAATTCATTAATGCTTTAATTTGCTTCCCTAAAAAAGCATTAATCATAATTTGAAAAAACAGATTGTTAGAGCACTCTTCTAGGATTACAGGAGTTCTAAAACACTCAAGGGTTAGTTGGGTCAATCACAGGAAACTCTGAAATATTTACTTTTAAACACAGCTCTGGCCTCCTCCATGAAGACTAGCTGTGGATCAGCAAATGCTGCGAAGTCCATGAAGTATTTATGACAGTCCTGGGGCTCAGTGACAAGAACAGGTTCCCCTTCGAGTAGAATAGGGTTGTGTGTATCACTCATACACTGGAACTGGGTGTGCTCAGGATCAGAAGTTTGTCCAGGATTTGATTTAGGTTCAGAGTTAGGAGTAGAAGTTTGCTCGGATTCATAGTTTGTAGTAGGATCAGGGTCTGATTCAGAGTCAGGAGTAGGGGTAGGACCTGCTTCAAGCTTCGGAGCAGAAGAAGTACCTGTTTCCGGATTAGGAGTAGGTCCGTGGTACCCTGGAGTTTTCTTTAAGTAACCAAACTTGGAACCAAGATTTGACAAAACTTTCTTTATCCCGCCCAACACGGAACCAAAGTCTGAATTTATAACTGAATCTTTCATTCTTTCCAGATCATACTCATCACTGATACCTTCTTTATGAGTCACAGGTGTTCTTCCACCATGCATGAACTGATGATCCAACTGATCCTGGGTAAAATCTAATCCTAGACCGAAAGTTGAACCCTGCTCAGGGTGCGGACCTAACCCTAGGTAAGTGGACGGTATACCCAGAGATACGGAGAACAGAACACCTTCAGGGGAGAATAAATAAAAAATTAAATTACTCAACCTAGATTCTGTTAAATACAAATATTTCAATAAAAGATCAGAAATAAATAATAAAATTAATGTAAATAAGAAATATGATTCAATAACAAATATATGACAATTAATTTTTAAATTCAAATGAAAAATAATTTCGAATTCAATTTTAAACATTTAATATTCCATCCAGATCACATGCGAGAAATGATTCGGTGAGTTTAAAAACTTCAAACTGACCTAGAAAATGTCCGATCCCCAGACCAATGACCAATGCTGCCATGAGAACAAGAATAGCTGTGAGTAATGAATTCAGCTGGAAGTTCTTGTTGTGCTTGTAAACCTACATAATTATGAAAACTGTTCAAGATATCTTTGGAATAAGATGTTAGCAGAAGAAACTTGAAGGGAATAACCGACAAAAATGGGTGGTTAAGCATAGTACACAATATTAAAAGTAAGTTTCATATGATATTAGTATAATGTAATGCGGACTTTATACCTAGTACCTAACCTCTTCGCATCCCGGAGAATCAGGGATCTAGCTCCTGACTAGAGTATATCCTACCTCTCCTCTCCGTATCCTGCAGATTCCTAGATCTAGCTCCTGACTAGAGTATATCCTACCTCTCCTCTCCGTAGCATGGAGAATCCTGGATCTAGCTCCTGGCTAGAGTATATCCTACCTCTCCTCCCTGTATCCTGGAGAATCCTGGATCTAGGTCCTATCTAGAGTATATCTTGCCTCTCCTCTCCGTATCCAGGAGAATCCTGGATCAAGCTCCTTACGAGAGTATATCCTGCCTCTCCTCTCCTTATCCTGAAGAATCCTAGATCTAGGTTCTAACTAGGGTATATCCTGCCTCTCCAATCTGTATCCAGGAGAATCCTGGATCAAGCTCCTTACTAGTGTATATTCTGCCTCTCTTCTCCGTATCCTGTAGAATCCTGAATCTAACTCCTTATAGAGTATATCCTACCTCTCCTCTCCGTATCCTGGAGAATCCTGAATCTAGCTCCTTAATAGAGTATATCCTACCTCTCCTCTCCGTATCCTGGAGAATCCTGAATCTAGCTTCTTAGTAGAGTATATCCTACCTCTCCTCTCCGTATCCTTGAGAATCCTGGATCTAGTTCCTGACTAGGGTATAAATCGCCCAGGAGTCGAACCAGAAAGTTACCACGGAAACCATCATCATCCTAAAAATAATTTATACTCTTAAAAAGTTTTAATGGAAAAAATATGAAAATATTAAATTCAGAAAACTGAAGTTTAACCTCATCTATCCCTGGTTCACCACGCTCTAGTTCTTCTACAGGTTCTATAACATTATTTTCATCGTCAGCATTATGTCTGTCATCATATTCGTCATTCTCTTCACCATCTTCATTCTCATAGTCATCACCATCTTCAACCTTTACTTCCTCTTCTTGTTGTGCAACGTTATCTTCCACGTTCTCGTCTTGTTCGTTGTTTTCAATTCTAACCTCGTCAACATTCTCCGCCTTCTCTCTCTCCTCGGCCGTATCCCTCTCCTCCTCCTTCTCTGCTGGAATCTCATCCAACATATCTGATACTGAAGCCTCACTCTCCTGTAATTCCTGGATAGTGATAATCATTAATCATACTTCATTTAAACTTGGATAATTAAAACTTAACAATTAAAGGGATCAGACGCCAGGTTTAACTGGACTAGGGAGGAAATCCAAAAACTTGGGAAGGAAATCATGAATCAAAGGAAGTTAACCAGTTCTGAGTTCGGAACTTATTAATGTACAGCCCCTCCCCCCCTCTCCCCAGGATTCAGTCTAAATTGCTAATTAAACTCGTTTTAATTCCATATCTTCCCATTTCTCTTTAATTGTTGCAAAATTCAATTAAGCATAATTGTCAAGATACTAAGCCCAAGGAAAGGTTTGTTTATTTCAAAAACTAAATCACCGAATTTACAAGTTTCCGCTGTACTATCAAGTTATAGCTCTGTAGCTTAGCGCAATCTGAACCAAAAGTTCCGAGCTGTGAATCAAAAATGCTAACATTAGTACCTGCTCGCCGTCTCTGTTCCACAAATACTGCTCATCCACCCCACCATCAAGACTGAAAAATAATTAAAATTGTGAATTTAACAGGTGCAACTGAGATTGATGTGTTCAAATATTAGACAAAATACTGTAAATTAGTAATACACTGGTATACTGTATAGTGTATATACAGATTACAGTACAGAGTTTAACATAAGGAACATAACAACCATTCAGGAACTATCTAAGTAAATAAATAGGCTTTAATTTCTCTTCCCTTCCAAAACATTAAACTTTTTATTGTTGCTTGCAGATACGACTTACCAACAAAACTAAGATTGTTTGCCGAATTTTTTTTTCAATTTCAAAAATGGATAAAGTAAAGGATTTTTAAAAAAGGGAAGTTTATTTTATTTAAAAAAAATAGATCAAGATTTAAGTTAGATGAAAATAGAAAAACAAAAGTATTATCTCTTCACCTAATTGTTAACTGTGTAATGTACAGCAAACTGTGCAGTACCTGTTTTTGATCGGGATACCATCACTTATCGTAGAAGTCTGGCTGTTCAAGCTATTGTAAACATCTAGAACAAAACATATAAAAATTAAAAACTAAAATAAAAATTTTTCAACAACCAATCATGATAAAAATATAAAGAAAAAAAATTTATGCGGTCATAGAAATATGGCTAAAACAATCTGTTTAGAGACATTCTCATACATTCGGTGCTTTAAAAAGTTAGGCCCTTAGGAAAGGTTTCATGAGCTTGGCATTTTTGACTAAAAATAAATTGCTATGTTTTAAACTCAAGAGTTTGTCAAAATTAACGTTCAGGAGTTTTTTATGTTTCATTTATGGGAGTTTGTCATGTTTAACTTTCAGGAGTTTATATGCTTTTTTATGTTTGATTTTCATGAGTTTGTCATGTTTAACTTTCAGGAGTTTATATGCTTTTTATGTTTGATTTTCATGAGTTTGTAATGTTAACTTTCAGGAGTTTATATGCTTTTTATGTTTGATTTTAATGAGTTTGTCATGTTAACTTTCAGGAGTTTATGTGCTTTTTATGTTTGATTTTAATGAGTTTGTCATGTTAACTTTCAGGAGTTTATATGATTTCTTTATGTTTGATTTTCAAGAATTTGTCCTGTTTTGACTTTCAGGTCTTTACACATTTTGTAAGAGTCGATTTTTAAGATTTTAATTTCAAATATCAATAATTACAATCTCATGCACTACCTTGCTTGTGTTGGACTGGGTTAGTAAAGGATTTCACAAAAGGTTCATCATCACTAATAGTTTCAATGCTCTCGCTGTCTGTTTCTGAGAGAAGTTAGTAAGGGTAATCAAACAAATAATAACAAAAAGGTTTCTTCAAATAGAAAAACAACATTTAAAGACAAAACAATAAGAAAAATTAATTATCAAGTAATCATACATTAAGCACAGGGTTTTCCACAAAGAATGAGATTGTAAAGACGATCTAAAACACTGAAAAAAGTCTTTTAATGTTTTTTATTTAATGATTGGACAAAAAAGAAGCAAGTTTAAAGTTGCAGGGAGCCATAATTCTCACAGTCGTTTCTGAAGTCTCGTCCTTTGTGGATAACCCTTTATATAGAAAACTAATAAATAATCCTAAAAAATAAGTTAACTAAGAAACCTTAAAGGAAAATAATTAGTGATCAAGGAATAATATTAAGTTAGCAGAGCTCGGAAGTGAAAAGAATAAAATTAATTTAAGGTTGAAAATATATTGATAAAGAATGTTACCTTCTTGTGTTACAGATCGTGAAAAACCTTCATCAAAATCCTGAAAAACAAATTTTATAATTCATGGATTTAGTTTATTCCTCATATATCCAAAAATGAGAAACTAAAAAAGTTTTAGCAAGTTTGTTATTTGTATAAATGTCCAAGTTGGCAAAATAAAAGTCAAAACACAAAAATAGAAGAAAAAACAATTAAAATCATAACAATAAAATAGAAAATAACGTAACAGCAAAACTATTATTTTAGGATAAACTACAGCCTGAAAGAAGAAGGCTAAACCAGTTTGATCCACTCAATAGCTATACATGCAGGATAGTTAAATAATCAAGAACATTCCCTTTAATCCTGTCAATTTTTAAGTTAAAAGAACATCAAAATGTAATTTTATTCTGTATTTTAAAAACTAAGATATAATGTAAACCAGATTTTTATCGAGCATCTTAAAGGAAAAAAATATATTGGCACATTTTAAATGTTACAACTGTAAACATGTAATGTTTAATCCCAAGCTTTCATGGTAAATAATGATCGTCATGTTGCAGATGATCATGGGAGATCAAGATCAGTAAAGACTTGCTCCCTAATCCTGTCTCAAGAAGTAATCCTTTAATTCAAATGCCATTCAAGGTACAAAATAGATCATATAAAGCATTAGTTTAGTTAATTGTATTGCAGTTGTTTCATCTAGCTGATCATCAAGAGTGATCAGTATAACCCGAAGTCCTTGAGGTTCAGGAAGAGGCTAAGGTTGTCTCACAAACACAAACAGGTCAATAATCAGAACTTATTGAAATGATTCATATGAAGAAGATAATTGATGTTGAAACGTTATTTCACTGATTGATCTTTAGATGCGTAACAGGACTAATACGAGATATCTTTACCAGAGCTTCCTGTCTACAGTTTGATCCTACATCTTACATTCACCCATCTACACTCCCAGTCAGCTTTTTAACAAAGATCTCACGGTGATCTAGAGGGATCTCACGGTGATCTACAACACACAGTTAGTCTGGAAAACCTCCGAGATATTGTTTACATCTAACTTGTGTTAAAAAAAAATTCCTATGCAGACTGAAAGAATCTGAGGACGACTGTACGTATAGTTTCTGTACTACGTACTACTGTTCCTCTGGTGGGATTGTCTAGATCAATTCCAGAAGGTGAATACTTCTGATATTTCAATACTTATTCTTTAAAGAATATGATCGTTCCAGATCTGACTTTAAACTAATTCAGAAATATCCAAATCTACATGCGTTCATCCTACAGAATCAAGGAAAGAATTGCAGTCCGCAGTGTTCACAGTACACGCTTAAAAGGTTATCATATAATAAACCTAATCTACATTAATTCTGCAATATCCACAATGAAAACTAGCTGCTTATAGTTCAACATATTTGCAGGATAAATTATACTGTCACACGGAGAACTTGAAACCCGATAAAACCCCAACAGAAGACATTTGGATCAGCGTATGAGAAAACCAAACCGCCATCAAATGTAAGATTTATATTAGAAAGCTTGGGACACCGTTGTATTTGTAAAATATTATCATTTGCCTTTAGAAACAGATGTTTTCAGTTTTTATAAAGTTCTCATATAATGCTTCAAATCCTTTTATCTGGTCGTAACATTTCACCAGATATCACATTTTGAAATATTGGATTTTAATGTATTCTGTCAAATAACTTTATCTGGTCACAACATTTTACCATTCATCACATTTTATAAATATAGCATGCTAATTATGTTTATATTTAAGCTTCACAGCTTGTTGAATGTTGATGATCAAGAAATGAACTCTAAAACTTAAGACTAGACTTGTTCCGAGGCTGAAAATTATATTGAGAGACGCTAAAAGCTGACAAGTGAACAAATAACATGAGTAATAAACGATAAACATCAATAAAATATAAATGCTTATCAGAAGATGAAAAATTGCGATTTGTTTGTAAACACTACAATTGTGTAAATAATAACAACAATCATAATAAAAATAATAAAAAACTGTACCTTAGGAATATCTTCTTTTTCTACTAGAGTCCAATCACATTTATCTATTGAGACCTGCATTCTAGACTTAACTGCAGTCGTCTCCAGGTTTATAATTTCATTTTTTAGGTTAGAATCTCGTATGTCGGGGTCATCAAGGGTTCCATCGGGAACTTTATCGGTCTCAATATGTTCTTCGTCATTCAAAATGTCTGATTTATCGTGACTGAAATTTTGGTTCTCCCCGCTTACTGGTTCGCCTAGAAGTTGTTTATTACTTTAATTTACACGGTAAAAACAAGCAAATTGTGTAATGGAAAGACAAGTCATGATTTGAAATAGTTCATTGAACAAGTAACACAGAAATTATGCAGTGTGCACTGTGCATAGACCATTTCACTGGGAAAAGTGATTTTTAACTTTAAAAATATTTTCTGTATAACATCAAGTGCTTTTAAATATTGGTTTAATGCCGTCTTCTCCTTCCAGAGTTTTCTAGTTCTCGTTAAACATAAGTCAAAATTTGATAATTAAAGTTAAATAAAATATTAACCAATTATACATTGGTTGCGAATAATATTAATGCATACGATTCGAATTAAATTTGTAGATAATTGGGTAAAAACTTCCTAGATTTTCCGGGGGGGGGGGATCCAAAAAGCGTACAATAGGAAATTACCCAAAGTTGTTTACCTCTGATTAGATATTGCCAACTAAAACGTAAAAAATAAAACCATAGATAATGATAGATTGCGCATAAGACGACATTTTTCATCATGAAAGATATAAATGAACAGAGATGTTTTAAAGATATTCCTATTATATAGATTAACTAGGTCGGTTGTGAAAATTGGCTGTTATTATGTCATTGAGTACTTGTGGTGTACATGAATTCTGTAGAGAGAAATTTAAGTTAGTTTGGTCCATCTCATGTCCTTCGTCAGTTCTCGTCAATATGATATATTGCTCAGTGAAATATTGTTCAAATAGTTCCATTCACGGAGTTAATTTACACTCTATTATGAAATCCATTAAAACACCAAACCACCCCGCTTATCATTGAAGTACACTTTGACCCCTAGAAGTATGAGTTCGCGGACTGTACAATTCTCGGTGATTTTACGTACATAAGCTATCTCTGTTTATTTATTTATCTATGAATAAAACAGATGAATTAATGTTTTCTTCTCTAAGTATTTATAATATAACATATCACCAGTTCGTCTATATGTTACCTGTCAAAACCTTCAAGTCCTCCACCCCCGACATTTTAAACCTGAAATCATAAATTCAAAATATTTGTTTACAATTAAGTTTTATCAAGGTTGTTTTTTTCCTTTTTCATAAGTAAATACTCATTTAATGTTAATGATTGGAACGATCTCCGATTTTAATTGATGAAAACTGAAGATTAAAAAATTGTCAAGCAAAATCTTAAATAAAATTTAAGCCTGCAAATAAAATTGTTAAAATGAATATTTGTAAATTATAGTTTAAGTTTAAAAATTAAAATTATTTTTCAATAAAAATGTAACAAAGATCTATTGCGTATTTATATCTGTAGAGTATCCTCTGTTTTGGTTCAATCAGCTGTTACAATAGGGCCACTGAGTCGGGTTTAAATACAGCTAAATTTTGGCTATGAATTTAAATCATTTTCAGGGGGAATCTAAGAATTATGATTATGCACCCTGGCTTTTTTAGGCTTATGACCTCCGTACAGAGATATTACATGTGTTATGTGTATTTTTATAATTTTACTAATCCAGTTAAAGGAGGGGGGTGGGGGAGTGCAAAAGTCCTCAATTTGTAATCATCGCCACCCAAATGTGTTTTGCGGCATGAGCGCTCCTAAATTAGTAATCTCCACCACCTCAATTTTTAATCACCGTAAATTCCAATTCCCTGATAACGACTACATTACATGATTGGAGTTTAGATACTAAAAGGTCGGGATACCTGTTTACTAAAAATTAACTCACCCTGGCCAAAGTAATATCTATCTCCATTCAAAAGATATTTTCAAAAAAACCTGTGCATTGTTTAGATTTTTATATTCGCCTACTCGAGTTCAACATCTACAACAAAACTAATAACATGCCACGGGCGTATACAGGGGGGGGTAAGGGGGCAGTACCCCCTATACCTGTAAAGGGGGGGGACATAGCCCCCCTAGAACTCAGAGCTTTCACACTTTTCAAATCTTAAACAGAGTGAAGAAAATAAAAAAATAGTTTGCTGTTCATTCAGTGCAGTTCTTGAGTTTGGAGGTAATAAAAGACCATTTTTGTTCTTTTTTTCATTTGGATTTAATCTACTATATCCGTTGTACCACTGTTTTGTAATCTTTCTTTATTACAAACTATAGCTGAAGTGCCAGGCATTGCCATCAGAATTTAAAAAATCGAATTAAAGCAATAAACTTATAATTTATTTAGCAATTAAGTCATCCCCAAGGGTATCCATGAGTTTCCTAACTAAAATTCACCCCATTTGATTCAGCCGTTTGACCAGCCATAGCAAACATATAAATGAACGAAGAGCTTTATGACATAGATTACAATTGTACACCTACTTTTTTTCAAAACAGAAACTTTTACAAGTCATAATTATTTTCTGGACCTTTGTCCTTTTTTCATTTCATAGAATTTAAGTTCAAGTCAGGTTTTTTCATTTTCAAAAATGTCTATTACTATCTCTAGTTTAAATACTAATTATTACTAACATAACAGCATAATAAAGTCGATTAATTTTAGAAACAATGTTTTTTTTCTGCTAGTTTTGTTTGAAGGAGAGATAAAGTATAGTTGTCAACCATTAACAATAGGTCTCTGTGTAAAGTCGTCTTTAACTTAGGTCCCCTCTTGGAGACACCAAACCAAACAATTTTAACCCCCTTTTCTTTGTTCTCCCTGACAGAGTCATAAACAAAACCTCCCGTATTGTGAATCCATTTTCAAAAGTTAAACAAAGAATATTTTCACCCGCTATTAGATCGTAAGGATTTTTTCATAATAATTAACATTCATTATAACATCTGTACATCGTTATCAACATATGTAATTTTTTTCAGGAAATAAAGAGAATTTTTGTTATAGATTTTTTGAGACGGGGGTTCATTCTGTTGTGTGTCTGCTGTTGCAATCGGGAAATATTGTTGGGAAATATATACCCTTCAACGACTGATTCCAGCGGGCCTTTGTCATTTCATCTGATATTCGTTTTCTATCTGTCAACAATAGTACATGCAAGGTAATTGGACTGTATGTGTACCTTTAATGTATCTCATACTTATGCCTGATATCCAAGCAGCCAAATTTTGCCCCCCCCCCCTCCCAGAATTATTTCTGTATACGCCCTTGTTTACATGCATAGAAAGAACAAAAATTACAAAAATTAAGAAAATCAGTCTCATCTCGCCCCACTAGTGAAAATAAAGTATTAAGTTCACTAATTTTTTCTAAACCTTTATTGCTATAATTGAGGAGAAAGCATGCACAAAGGTTCAAAAACATAATTTTATTTCTATATCGCTTTATGTGGCATATTTGTAGATTTATTTTTGAAACTGACGAGCAATAATGAACACTTTAACAATATTGTACACCATATGGCCATTACCAGAGGTCAATGGTATTATTTCTAAGAATTAAATGATTTAATGTTAACAGTTTTATTTCTGATTAAAAATTGAGGTGGTTGAGATTACCAAAATGAGGAGCGCGCGTATTCCTAGCAACCTAGGATGTCCTAAGACCTAAGGACGCCATGAGGACGTCCATAATTACCAATGTGACGTCCGACAACATAGTATTTTTGGTCTTCAGGACGTCTAATGCACAGCTTCTTACATACACCTGACCTAACTTTCGAAGTTGAAATGACATCACTTTTGACGTCCAAATTACCAAACCAGTCATATGCATTTATCCTACATTGAACCACAGAACTGAGACTAATCTATTATATTTGTACTGCTACCCCTACCCCCTGGTATTACATTTACAACATGACTATCCTTCTGTTGTTGTTGCTAACATCTTTACCCAGGCTCGTATCTAGGTTTTTCCAAAGAGGGGTGCTGTAGTATATGGACCCCGGATCACCGAGTGTAACGCATATAGCCCCCCTCCCCTGCATAGAAAATATTCAGAATTTTGGCATAAACAAGTAATTTTAGCTAGAATTTTTTGATATGAAGGTTATTTTTTAATTTGTCAACAATAGTAATTTAAACTTGAACTTAATATTACAATGCAAATTTGATTTTCACTGAATTTGATATTTTGTATGGTACAAGGAAAATTTTCATAATTTAGTTTTTAGCTCAAATTTTACAATATTGGAAGACAGAAAATGTTGATAATTTGATATTACTACTCATGTTCACTGATTTTTAATAGCCTGAACAAAATATTGAAACTGAGGCAATGTTTCTGCAAACTTTTAAGTATTAATTTTTTTATTCATACTGGAATATATTTGTTACATTGCATGTATGACGAATATGTTTCCGGACTCATTTAACTCTGAAAATCTTAACTCAGGACAAATGTTTTTCAAAGAAGGTTTAACTTGGTTGGTCTGAGGAAACAGCTTTAGTAAAGTATTGTTTAGACATAGCAACAGCATAAACACAATACAGTATACAGAATAAACATAGCAACAGCATAAACACAATACAGTATACATAATAAACATAGCAACAGCATAAACACAATACAGTACACAGAATAAACATAGCAACAGCATAAACACAATACAGTACACAGAATAAACATAGCAACAGCATAAACACAATACAGTACACAGAATAAACATAGCAATAGCATAAACACAATACAGTATACATAATAAACATAGCAACAGCATAAACACAATACAGTACACAGAATAAACATAGCAACAGCATAAACACAATACAGTACACAGAATAAACATAGCAACAGCATAAACACAATACAGTACACAGAATAAACATAGCAACAGCATAAACACAATACAGTNTCATAGCAACCCCGTTTAAAATTTGAGGCAAACCGGCCAATTGGGATCAGAAATATTATTTATATTAAGAAGTTTCTATATTTACATGTGAATTACAAGGAACATGTTACTATATGAAAATATACAGGATTATCCACAAAGAATGAGACTGTAAAGACGGCCTGAAACTCTAAAACTTTCACGAAGGTCAAATTAAATCTCCTAACTGTAATAAATTAGAAACATTTGCAAAGAAAGAAAAGAGTTTACGTTTGCCAGGAATTCCGAATTGAAGGAAAAAGACGGTATAAATTCCTTACAGTCGTCTCTGAAGTCTCATCCTGTACAGGGAACCCTGTAAACATTTTATCATATAAATTTGTTTCATTTAAAAAATTGTGTCCAAACTCTGAAGGCACTGAATTTGTTTTTCTGTAGATATTGTAAAAAATAAATAAAAGCTAAAACGGGTTTTAATGGATTATCTTAATTTTTCGGTTAAAGTTTCAACCGTAATTTCTAACTGTTCTTATGCTATGAGTTGACTTTGTTATGACGTTTGGGTGCTATGGAAACGCCTCAACACGGAAACGTCTCCACACGGAAATGCCTCAAAAAAAGCGGAAACCCCTCAAAAACCGGGTTTTTTGAGACGTTTCCGCAATTTCTGCAAGAAAAACGGAAATCCCTCAAAACCCAGTTTTTGAGGGGTTTCCTCTTTATTTTGAGGCGTTTCCTAAAACTTTTGAGGGGTTTCCGCTTTTCACCTGACAATTATTTTTGAGGAATTTCCCAATATTTTTGAGGGATTTCCCAATATTTTTGACGCATTTCCGCAAAATTTTTGAGGCGTTTCCGTATTTTAAAAACTTGATTTAGTTGAGGTGTTTCCTCTATTTTTTGAGGCGTTTCCGCAAAATTTTTTAGGCGTTTCCGCGTTGAGACGTTTCCGTGTTGAGGCGTTTCCATAGCACCGACGTTTGTTATGACCTTGATGAAGATTTTCCAAATATACCATACATTAACTGATGCCGATATATTGTAAAAACAATAAATTGAAAAAAACGTCTTTAAAATATGAACAAAAAAACTGTCAAAATAAAGCAAAATGAAACAATGAAGTTTTAAAGTTAGGATTGCTTAACTCAAACAACTGCCAAAAGATATTTATTTTAAAAATGTATGATCAATGACCATACATAAATTATGATGTATCTTTACCTATTTTTACCTATAACCTGTTTTTATTAACCTGTGAATTATTATAACCAGTTTTTCAAAACTAGGTTGAATATTTATTTGCTACGAGTTCTTTGAAAAGTATCAAAATAAATATGTGGATAAAATCAAACGTTTTCAGTGTCATTTTTCAATTTTAATCTGATTTGAATTAAAAAAGGTGAAAAGATTTAAAATACATATCTATATGTAAGGGATTCAAAGAAGTTCGTATTAAGATTTCGATTCTATTGGAGACCACCGGAGGGATTTTATTTTTACTGGAGGGGTTGGAAAAAATGCTTTTTACAATTTAGAACTTTACGCAGGGATTCAGATATCTTTCCAGGGGGTTTATACTTCCACTGGAGGGATTCAGATATCCTTCTTGGGGGGTCTATAATTCCACTGGAGGGATTCAGATATCTTTCCAGGGGTTTATAAATCAACTAGAGGAATTCAGATATCCTTCCTATGGGTTTATAATTCCACTGGAGGAATTCAAATATCTATCTAGGGGGTTTATAAATCCACTGGAGGGATTCAGATATCTTTCCTAAGGGTTTATAAGATATGGAAAGATTCCTGGAAATATATCTGAATACCTCCAGTGGAAATATAAACCCCCTGGAAAAATATCTAAATCCCTCCAGTGGAATGTAAATCACCTTGAGTAAAGTTTAAAGTTTTATTTATTCAAACCCCTCCAGTGAAAATATATTCCCTCCGGTGGTATCCAGTGGAGTCAAAATCTTACTACGAACTTCCGTGACTCTATGTAAGGTAATGTTTACAACCTCTCTTATACATATACTTCAAAGGGAATTTGGATTTATATAATTAAATGATAATAGATTGTGTTGCTGTTTATTAAAATTCTAAGATACTTAATCTATTGCCCCTTCTTTAGAAACATTTTTCAAAATAAGTATTTTTTTAAAGGTTTGATGAAATTTTCAGTTGTTGCATGCATGTTTGGCTGTGTTCAATACAAATTGTTCAGGCCCGTAGCCAGGGGGGGTGCAAGGGTGCAGGTGCCTGTACACTTTCAGACTTTTAGCCCCCTCCCCCCTTGACCGGTGTGCTATGTTTTATTAGTTATTTTTTTTGAGGCATTTCCGTGGTGAGGCGTTTCCATAGCACCCCCCCTTGACCCTTGAAAAGTTTTTTTTAAATGAATAAGAAATAAGATCATATCATTTTCATATTGCAAAGTCAAAGTAATAAATGATTACTTGACTCTGTTAGTTAAGCAGTACTCCCTTAAAAGCTCAAATACACTTGTTAAAAGGTTAGCCTTTATAGTGTGCATTGAAAATGTAATAAAAACAACCATATACCACTGTAAAACCAAACCAAACATTGTTTAAAAAATCATCAAAAACCCCCCAAAAAATTTTTCGCCTGCGCCGCGTCATATTGCACCCTGGTCAAATCCTGGCTACGGGCCTGAAATTGTTTAACTTGTGTTTTTAAAAAATTTATACGTTTTCAACAACTGTAAAATTAGCGATATGAGTCAAACAATTCTTTTAATGTGTGCGCGGAGCTCCAACGAAAATTTGTTAAGTACCTGGTTTAACAGATATAATTACAAGAAATAATCATTTATATATTATGAAAAAAAACATCAAAATACATTTGTAATTTTAATCATCTACATTGAAAAAGGACAGATAATGTTACGTTTTCTCCTGAAGTTATTGAATTTATGATTGATCATTCTAACCAACATTCATAATCTTATTTCATTCTCGATTTTATAGAAGTTCTTTCAAAGAAGATAAACAGGTTACAGTTTCAAATATGATAATCAGTTAGAAGTTTGCCAGGTTCAGTCTCAGATTGTTCTCTTGATCTGGAACTGAGTTTTTGCCACAAATTCAAATATTCGAATCCCTAAATCTTTGCGCCGAGTGGTGTAAACCTTTGAATTTCAAACTTAGAATATTTTACCAAAGTAATTCAAAGTTTGAAATCTACGACATTGGGTTGCAAAGATAAAGGGGTTAAAATTTCAGAGTCTGTGGCAAAAATTTAATTCCTTTAAGGAGAAAAAATAACTTATGATTAGAAAAGAACAATACAACAATATCTGTCCTATTTTTTTTTAAACTAACCACAGTAGAATACAATTTCTACAATAACTCTTTTGGTTGTATTGTTACTAACTCCAGTGATACTGATATTCGCCAATCATTCTAATCATTCTTCAGGGGGGGGGGGGGGCAACCCAATCTCAGGTGCTAGGGGGGGGGCGCGCCCGGCCGCCACCCTCAGTTGCGTCTCTGGATAGAACAAGACTAACTGTGTTTTCTACTACACGCAATTCTGCAGGATAAAGTAAAATGAGTTCCTGCAAATTTTCTTTCAAAATTTGTTCTTGTGGGAATCTTTTCCTTAGATACTTCACAATGTATGTCATACTCTCAACACCACCAGTCTTGGTCTCCAAATAAGCCCGGATAACATTCTTTATCTTTTCAGCATCTAATTATAACCATGAATTAATTTTACAAGCCAAGATAACCAAGATTTTAAAGAATTTCACCACAAATGGAGAAATTAACTGTGGGGAAAAACTGTTCAGAACAAAAATTTAGATTAACTATAATTTTCTAATAATTTCTCCTCTTTCTTACCTTTATTCTTTTTTTTGTTTGTTTCTTTTTTCTTCATAATATTTTTAGATTTAAAAGGAATTAAACCAAAGCCACCATTATTTTTTAGCTCTATAATATGAGAATTCTCATCAATAAGTTTTTTCAACTTCCGTAAGTCATAAACATTTCTGAGAACTTTAGGTAGATGGCTTAGGATCTCCTGCAGAAATGTTCCCTTATTCTGATTCCTTCCAGCCAAGTATCTCAAAATCCAGTCAAGAACCTCATCTAAAAATAGTTTTATATCAATTAAGAATTTTATTTTGTCTTTTGTTGATGTAAACCAGTTTTTACCACTTAATCCTGTAAAATTTATACTATTCAGGGAAGACGACTTGGTTACACGGGATAAGTTGAAGAAGGACGCAAGATAAATCCTGGAGGACGCACAATCCTTCTATATACAATTATTAATGTCCATTCTTTTTATATAAGGTTACTTAAATATATAATCCTATTTTAACCAAAAAACCTTACTGAGCTTTATGCATAATGATTAAATGCAAAGAACTTAAAAAAAAAAAACACATTCGAAGTACTGTTTGGAATTTTTAAACATTTTAATTTCAAACCAATTTAATTTCCATGCTTGGAAATTTGAATATAAAACTTTTTATATTTTATATCTGAATGTTTCAGATATTATGCATGGCGCGTTTTAAGTACTGTGTCCAAGAAACTGCGGATAGGATGTTAACCTTCTGCAATGTTTGATCCTTAGTAAACATAAGTACAATTTTAAACATATATAAAAAGTTGTAAAGAAGTTTGCATTATAAAAAATTAACAATTTGTAAATCTAGATCTGAAGTTATAGCAACTACTGACGATCTACACCTCTACCTATACGTCCTTGCAGTCTCTGTGGCATTTTAGGTGAATAAATGAATTGCCCAAAAAACACTATAAAATGAGCATAAATGAACAATGCACTTTTTATAGAGACTGAAGGAGCGTGTAGAGTGTGACCGGCTGATCGAGCTCTCAGCTTTAAGTATATAGGTATATACATATACTTTAAAATGCATTCATCTAACATTTTTCACACCTTTCAGTTAATAGAAAAAAGACTTTAAAACCTTTTCTCTAGAACCTGAATTGCATGGAGACGAGTTTCCCTGCAGACCCTTCTAGCGAAGTCGTACTAAACTTCGCTCAACGGATCCTGTTTATTGTGAATCCACCACAGGTATATATCTCTCATAAGAAACATTTGAACATTTAAAGAGAGTATATAACCTAAGCATGAAAAGAATCGGTATCTTTTTTCATGACTTATCAAAGTTTAATCGAGTTTTAAACTTTAGATCGCTGGGTGTGAGCGATCCTGATCTCTATAGGTTGTCATGCTACAAAATGATCCTATAGGTAAATAATATTATTCTCTAAAAAACTCTGTTAGATATAAATATTAATTTGTTATATGTACTGTTGATTGATTGATTGATCATCTAAACGTCAATAATTTTAGACGTCGACTATCAACCATGAAGCAAGCTTTAAACCTGTGAACATGACTATCTCTCTTGTAACTGGATAATGTCCGTAATGTAAGTACTCATTTATTTACCATTCATAAAAGCCGCGCCTTATAAATAGCTGATTTTATCTTTAAATACTTTCCCTATTTTTATATATATTTACAGTAATTTATACTAATCTAATTGTGATTTGTTTTTTCAGTTATCACCTGATTAGAGGATAAATAAATACATAAACTATTTTGGAGTTATCTTCTATACCTCGAGTTATAAAGAGGAGTTATTATACCACGGTACAATCAAAATCTTCAGCACGTCCATGAGACACGTGCGACCCACGAAGTGAGAGATAACAGTCATTTAAAGATACACTTTGAAACCCTATAAACCCTAAAGTCTCACAAATCCCTTTCAATGATTTCCCCCTTTTTGAGTATATATATATATAGAATTTAACACAAATGTTGATTGGAGGATGCAATGTTGAAAAATACCCTCATGGAATATGAAGTTAGAAGATTTTTTTTTTAAATTAGATGATTAAAAATGTTATAATGAAAGAGTGAAATACTTCCGGTTCTTAATCCCCAAATCTCATTATTTACTTCTGAATCTGATGCAGTGCTAATGATAACCTTGATTGTAAAGGTAATAAGAAAATTCATATAAAAATCACTCTTACCTTCTAATTCATCTTCTTGTTGAATAGTAGTGATTGGAGCAGATGCAGTTGACACCACAGGGCAGACATCCTCAATATCAATCTCATCATCCTCATCATGTTCATCAAATTCATCATTTTCCATGGATGAAGATTTCACCTGCTGTTCTTTTTCCATCAGTTCCTCATCTTTTATTGTCATGTTAAACAACAGATTTTGGTAGTTTGAATCCTTTTTACCCACTCCAAGAAAGATGGTTTCATTATTGACATATATAGCCAGGATGCTAGCAATGATATTCTTATATTGAATACAAAGTCTCAAATCCACCAAGGCTTTTTGTCCGTTCAAAAGCTTGAGATCTTTAGAAACATCAACCTTCAAAAAGAGGTAATACAAAATGAATACATATATTCTTTAAAAATATTTATACCGTTAACTTCAATCCTCCTTTTGTTCCAAACCTGAAGAAGATTTGCTTCTGTTTACCACAACACAGAGTTGCTCCAATTTGTAAAATGTATACTGACTTCTTAACAATCTTCACCTACATATTAAATCATCATAAATATACTGTTGCATTATTTCAGGTCAGGTTGGTTACAATTCATAGATAGCTATGCAAGATTACCAAAATAATGGCAAATCACCAATTACCAATTTAAATATAAGGCAAATCAGTCCAGGAGCTTAAGAGTTGATCAGACATACAATAAAAAATGAAGATACTACTTTATGCATAAATTTCAAAACTAGAATTGAATTTTGCCATTTTTAACTGATATTTGTGAAAACTTTTGGGAAAATTCACAGTCAACAATTTTGGAATTTTTGTTAAAAAAGCTGTTATAGGAAGTTTTGCCAGGTGGCAAAAATTTCTATAAAAAAATCTTATTTTGATCACCTGGTTCCTGTTAATGAGTGAATAGTTTTCAGAGTCATAACAAGCTTCTTTCTTCGTATTACAAGCTAGATCTAGAAGGAATCCACCAATCTTAAGACTAGAAACCACCCTTATGATGTTGCCAGACTTAATGTTAAACAAAGAACTTTTCTGAACTAGAACACTTAGATCTTCAGTAGTGTGTTTGCAAGGGGTTTTGCAAACCTTTGTATGCAACTTGTTCAAAGTGATGTCATCGTTCTTCAGTGCAATGAAGGCTCTAATCATCAAAAGAATGATTTGATCATGTGGGAATGGAAAAAAATTAATAAAAAAATAAAATATTTTGTCTAATAAAATTTATTCTTTCCTAAATATATGAATCTTGCAATCAGAATCAATCTCCTTTCCAAGAGTGTTTTGAATCCTGGGATTTTGGAGATTTGTGCCAACAGTCATAATTTTCTTAGCTTTAACCTCAACTTTATTAAGCATGAGATTTTTATATTTAGAATCCGCTTTACCCTCCTCAGTTATAAACTGTTCGTCCTTAATGTTTATTCTTAGGATGTCAACTTTGACTTCTTTAAAACTCGTACATCTAAGTCTCAAGTCAACAAGGGCTTCACATCCATTAGGAAGATCTAATAAGCTTTCATTCTAAAAGTGAAAGAAGTAGAGGATGGATCCAGGTTCAATAAAAATTTATTTTCCCATAAATATAGTATGGTATTTTTTACCTTCAGTTTGAGACATTCCTTGGATCCAAATTTAAAAGTAAGAGAAGACTCCATGTTGTCTGTAGAGAGTTTTGCTACAATTCTGAGGATATAAACAGAGTTTCCCTTCATAACAACCTGTTAATAAAGGTAAATCAGATTATTTTTTGACAAGAATTACTTTTATTAAGATCAATACCTGACGTTTATTTATCAGAGAATACATTCCGGATCGTGCGGTGGTTGACTGCTTTATGTTAGTTGAAAGCTTTAGTAGGTTGCCCCCAATATCAAGGCTTGAGACAATACTAACACTTTTTGAATCAATGAAAAATAATGGATTCTCACTCACAACCATTCTTAAGAGATCAAACTCCAGATTCTTTAGCTTTGCTGAAAGCTCCAGGTAAAGAGAGTAAATGCTTGTGTTGCCACTTTTCATTAAAGTTTGATACACTCTATTATCAAGAACTGAGCTATTTAATCATTAAAAAAATCTAAAACTACTAGAGTTGTGAATTTTTGCAGAACAGAATTAGTTTTAATTATAAAATAGATGTCAACTATTCCCTTTTTTTTGATCCACAAATAAATTTCAGAATATAAAAAGAAGAATTAACATTATAGATAAAATTAACTTAAGTGTCAGAGTCTTTATAACTTAATTCTTTCCTAAAAACTATTATGTTTTCTGGCCAAGTCTCTAAAATTTGAGTTTGCTCCAGAGAATCACTAAAGGTTGCTTCCTGATTGATGAAATGTGATGGTGTGATAAGTTCAGGCAAATTACTAGCACCAGAATGCATTCCGGTGAAGAATTCATTTTTCTTGGATTTTCTTGAATTTTCTTGAATGACAGTTTGTTCCACTTCTTCTGGACTAGTTATAAAAGCAACTTCTTCATTGAAGATTTCAGAAGATGGTACCAGCAGCCTGGAGGTATTTTGTAAAATTCCCTCATTAAGAGAATTGATAGAATGTGCTATGGAATTTTTATTCATTTCTTCAACATCTTTTGGAGATTTTCCACTCAGCTTGGAGGAGCCTTAAATAAAGGAATTGAGTTTAAGTAACTTCTAGGACATTGTTTTCCTTCATAATATCATTTTGTCACAGAAATTTTTCTATTGATTTTTAGTATAAAGATTTTTAAAAGTTTAGTAGGGAAGTCAGAAAATAAACAATTACAAGTAAAAAAACGATGACAAAAACTTATTGTTAAAAATAAACACTTTAGTCATTTGCCTGCTTTTTTAGCTTTCAGAGTTACTAACTTCGACCCCATTATGTTCAATGGTTGCTGCCTATTCTAACTAAAACTAAAATTAAGTTATATAAACATTGAAAATTAAAACTAATAAAAACTTTTATAAATTTTCACCTCATTTTATAAACAGCTTCTTCAAACATATATCTGTAAAAATAATCAAAGCTTTATTTGAATAACATTTTTTTACAAATATTTATCAAAAGTAAAGGCGTTGAAAGTTAATTTTTAATGTAATTTAAAAATCATTTATGAGCCTAAGACATTTCTTAAAGGTCCCAAGTTTTTGTGGGTCTCCCTCCCTTCTAAATAAATAAACCGGTGGTCAGTTGCTCACTGCTCAGTGCTCAGACGGAGTGTTTTTGTAAATTCATTTTCTAAGCTAAAACTATGACTAAAGATAAGACAAGTTAATACACACATGATAGTGGTTGTGCCAGGGCAAAATATATCCTTAAAAAAGTACATGTTCAGAAAAAAAAACATTATAAAGGAGAAAAAACAACTATGAAAAAATAGTAATAAATACAAACAATACAAGATTATGTAAACCAATGTTTCTTATCTCTCATTACTCACTTCTATACACACACTACTCTTTAAATCTTAATACAAATTACAAATTATCCCCTTACCAAAGGTTGTAAAATAAGGTTGATTACTCTCGATGCGATCCAATGTTCTCGGAAAATGTCGTCTCCTAAGATAGATAGATAACAACCTAATCAATGACATCACTGATTAGTGATTATAGAGGCGATAGTGACGTCATACCAGGTTTTCTATATATCTATCTAAGGAGACGACATTTTACATACATTGGAGCGCATCGAGAGAAACCAATCTTATTCAACAACCTTGCCCCAACTCCGCATTCCTTAAATAAACAATAATATGATTGAATAAGAATCGCTCTTTGACGATTTAGCTGTAAGGAGTAAAAATAAGATTAATATTGCAATCTATAAATCAAATATCTGTATCTGTATCTTAATTCACACTTAAAGAATATACAGCAGACACATATTTATTGTCTTTTCTATGAGCCACAAAGAATTCACAGTGAACAGAAACGTACTAATGCAAGGAAAGCAAAGATAATATTTATATACATACCTGCCAGCGTATCTATATATATTATCTTAGGGTAAAGCTTAGTTCAGATGTACACAACCGACCTCCCTTTTTAATTAATTAATAGAGTGGTCGGTTGTATACATCACAATATGTTTATGTATCTAACACCGTATTGTTGACCTATGAATGGTCAGTTTAATAAAATAAAAGAGATCAAAAAGGATATTTCTTAACATTTATTTAAAGGGAAATGGAAGATGAAAATTGGAAGATCTACGGATCTTTTCCTAAATCTTGATGTTCAGGTTGAATCCAGAAACTGTGATCTGAAGAAGCACATGAAGATCTACTCATCTAATTCTATACTTGTTCCTCCTATATATATATATATATATAAATATTTAATCAAGATTTTACCTGAGATTTTATCTGAGTTTAACTAAAGTTTTACATCAAATGTATACAATTCTTAAGCCTAAAAAGCTTTTTTATACTGCATAGATATAGTCTTTAAAGCCCTTTGAGTATAATTTTCTTAAATATTTAGAAAAACTTCTGGTCAATAAACTTTATTCAATGGTCTATATATTTCAGACCACAATAGGCTAGGATAACTGCGTTATCCTGTTTTAGTACTCCAGGTTGTGCAATACTAGGTTTATAGAACATCTTATTTAAAAGTAAACGCTAACACTGCCTACACCTTTAGAATTGAAGCTCTTTAAAACTTATGGATGTTATATAAAGTGAATCCAGATCATTCTCGTATTTCAACGCCTGACCTGAACTATGAACTAATGAATCAACAGGTGATAATACGTTCTTAAATAACTTAAACTTTTGAAGCTTATCCGAGACTAATTAATCCCTTATCTCGTAGACCAAGTCCTCCTCTTATCTACCCACGCCGTACTCCTGGACGAGGATGATCTCTTCCATCTAAAGAAAGTCTGATAGAGCAGATTCATCTATACAAGCTGCAGACTGCCTGTTTGCAACTGGGAGCACGATGAACCTGTCGACCTGAGCCAAACCGCCTGCAGAGTGTCTCCCTGCTGGGCACTATCGTCTTCACCTCCTACATGGAGAAGTCCTGTCGGAAGCGTCTTCCTTGCTTCTCTAAACCGGGACTGCTGCTATTAAGCAGATAAAGGTGAAGATTAGATATGAACTCAAGATGAGATCTAATGTCTAACTTAATCTTATTTAGATCTCATCATTGTCCTCAAGATTGAGATCTGATGTTTAACTCAACCTTATTTGGATCCAATCATCATCTTCACTACCTCCCTATTGGAGAAGTGCCATCTGAAGCATCTCCTTTGCTTCTCTAAACCGGGACTGCTGCTATTAAGCAGATAAAGGTATATAATCAAGTTTTGTGTGATCTTTGTGAACAATTAAAGACAAAAATGTGACTATCTCCTCTAACACATGATAAGCCTTTATATAAACTCATCTTATTATTTCTAGTTATGTATAAGAGACAGCTGGTAACGATCATCCAACTCTAGAGCTATTAAATTCTCCGGCCTAATCAACTTTGTAAGTGTTACCTTAATTTATATATTTGTCGCAATTTATTCACATTTAGCACATTGTAAGTGTTATTTCAATACCTAATTGTTGTTACAACTTATTCACACTTAGCACACCTGGAACAAATTTTAATGTAAACTTGGCTAATTTTATTCATTTAAATCATTCTAATACTAATTTAATATTTATGCAACCCTTGACTGATGTATTGTTTTTCAGTTCAAGGGTCTCAGCTCTGTAACGATATACCTGAAATACAGAATATAAGAAACTCAAGTGTATTAAAGATTAATGGAGAATTGATGTTGCCCCATCATGTTAATAGCTGAACAATAACTGTGGATCTAGGTATCGTATTTAGGGAAAATGCTAAAATTCCCGAAACGGGCACAAAAATGACAAATGTTTTAAAATTTTTTTACCAGTTAGGGACTGAAATTGGTTGGTTAAATAATATGTTTCAGAGTATTGGGTGATTCTAATGATGATTTTTATACTCTTTTCTCTCTCTTATCCCAACTTAACAGCAATTCGCTAATTCCTTCCAAAATGTTGTCTTCACCCCTTATTGTATTGTATCTGTACCCACTAAACTACATATTCTCCATAGTTTTTATATTTATTAAACATTTTTATCCACTAAACTACATATTCTCCATAGTCTTTACACACGTATTTTATTATATCTGTATCTCTGTTCTGAACTTCTATATCTTGCTGATTCTCTTTCCAATACTGTGGTCCCCTTAGAACATCTATTCATTACTCAATGTTCCCAATCACTCCAACTTCTGATTTACCAACCCTTTTATCATCCTCACATTCATTGAATCCCAATCCCAACTTCCTCTTTAGTTGTTATCCATCCCAATTCCCAACCTATTTTATCTATTCCCAATTGATCCCTGTTCAACCTATTCCAACTTCCTTGTCCTCATCCTAATCCCAATCCTTCCAATCCCAACATTAGTTAACATTCATTTGCGATTCTTACAGTTTGGAATTTTACTTATAAAATCAGAAAGAAATGTTTTATATTATTGCCGACTTTTTACATGACAAATGACAACTAGCAAACAAAATATTATGATTTAATGATGTATTATTGTTTCATGAATGCCTTTTCAGAAAGCCTTTATTTACACCAGCTTTATCTGGTGCTTGGATTTCTATCTTTTCTCTACCTGCGTGGTTTTAAATGGTTGGCTTGGTTTAGGGGTGGTTATATCCCAAAACAAGAATTATTAATTTAATGATGTATCAATTTATCAATTTATCATTCAATTTAGATCTATGTATTTTTTCTTGTAAATTGTTATTTGCTATTTTTACCCTGAAATCGAACCAGGATTTTAGGTAGTACAAGCCCGACCAGTAAAAAGAACACACACCATCATGTAGTGCAGTTGCTAAGAAATCCCACTAAGCCTCTCGCAATTGGCTTCCTTTAAGCGAGTTTGTTTTACCTATGTGATCGTGGATAATAAACATTAATCAATCATCGGAATCATAGTGCTCATTAAACAACCAGATTGGCAGATAACAGAGAGGAGAGAGAAAGTGTTAGATAGATTGGATACAACAGGTGGGGGACCTTCAAACATATTTACATCACATCTACATCATTCCTCCCATCTCTTTTATTCCTCCCAACAAACCAATCTAATCTTTTTGCCTTACCGGCAAAAATAACAAAGGAATTAATGCCGAATATGTGTGGGGACTTCATGGGAGCGTTGTAGAGCTTCATGTTGGTGGAGCAGATCAACAGGAACTAGAACAACAGGGCTCACCCCATTCAGGCTTGATCTCAGGTTATTCGTCCTGGCTTGAGCGATTATGATGTCTCTAGTAGCCAGATAAACTGGGGTAAGCATTGCCTTTATTTAAAGAGAATTTGATTATGTTGACTGCAAACATTTGACAATTTTCAATTTATGGGTTTTCAATTTATTAGCAAAAATTTACGTCAAAAATATTAAGTTTCTAGGGCATGAATTTAACTTAAAACATTCTTATTTCAAACATTTTTATTTTTTTTCTCTTCAACTCTTTATCATAAACATGACAGTGTATGCAGGGTTACCACAAAAGATGAAGCAACGATGACGACCTGAAGCTCTTAACCCTAAACAGGCGTGGGACACCCCCCATAGTATACAATTTTTGGACCCCCTCCCCCTCCTATCAATTTTCTACATGACCACTCATTTTTCAGCAAAATTATTATTATTTATTTTTTAATCTTTTATGGTTAGGTTAGGTTAAGACAATTTATGGGCCGAGCGCTGCGGCTATGAAGTGGCTAGGGGGTCGAGCGCTGTGGCTATGAAAAGCTAGCGGGCTGAGCGCTGCGGCTAGGACAGGCTAAGGGGCCGGGCGCGGCGGCCACATGACCAATAATATTGATAACATATGAGATCCATGCAAAAAATTGATAGGATTATGTTCAAAAATCGTTCTCTAGGAAATTACCACTGGATGGGTGTACTCATAACGTTGTTTTTGAGACTTTAAAAACATAAAAGCTCACTCATATCCAGGGCGAGTATACCCTTATAACCAGCGCACCACATTAATACACGAGTGTTATTGTTTATATATGCTTTATTGAAGTAGGTTATCCTCAACTTTAGCTCTCACACTGTGAACTGAAATTAAATTATTATATTATAACAAAATATATACGTATATGTTTACAAAAATTTGCTCCAGGTCTCAATAAAGAAATTTAGTTTTTGAATCACTAAGAAATCATATTAGTAAAATGTTCAATATTTAAAAACACACTTACAAAGTTGTTCGGGCTGGGGTCTTGATATGAGCTACAGTTTAGAGAGAGAATATCTTATGCTTCATTCAGAGTCCTTTCGAGTCTAAAAGAGAGTTCTCGGCGAGGTTTGATCGACAAAAGATAAGCTTTTAAGGTCACTTATCATAATATTAGCACAGTAATTGCAGTATACCTTTAGGTGCGATCCTTAAAGCAGTGAAGGAGAGTATCAGAGAACCAAGGGGAAGACGACATCCTTGATATTGTTCTCCGATCTTGAGGAATCTAAACAAGACGGAGTTTAAAATCCTGTTTGTCAAGATAGTTACATATTTCTCGTATAAATGAGTCTCACCTTAACAGGACACATCGCATATGACGTTCCAACATAAGTCCTCGTAAGTCAGCGTATCCAGTCGGAGGCAGCTCGGTCGGAGCAATTAGCACTCCAAGTTGTAGAACAGAGGAGGTGGAGTCACATTCACATGCTCAGGAAGATGATCAGGTAGAATCACAATGGTGGAAGACGGCCAAAGTAATCTAGAACAGTTCCGAAGAATGAAGACGACATCAGAAGATCTCACCAGGTGGAGAGAATCTATTTCATTAGATCTATCAGACGGAGAAGTATATGAACTTCAGGTTAGAGACGGTCCTGATGTAAGTCTGAGGATCTTTATAAACTAATGTGTGTTCAGGGTGTTCAGCGACAAGACGTTATTCAGCGTGTTCAACCAGAATTTCTCTACAAACAATCGATCAATCACACGGAATTCTGTACCTACAATAATCCTATATTTAATCACATGTTAAAATCTATATAATTAACTGAGATTTTTAACATATGACTATTTAAAGGCCAATTTTTATAAAGATTAATCTGATTTTGTTTTAATAATGCAGAACCTGAGTTTTATCAAGCCTATATATAATATTTAACCAAAGCCTATATAAAGTGTCTAGTCTAAGCCTATATAAAATGTCCAGCCTAAGACTCAAAATTTTGTAAATAAATGAGTTTATCTTTCAGAACACGATGGGTTAGTTGAACTCTGCTAACCGGCATTCGTGTTTATTTCTCCAGGTCTATAAAGCATCGGTAATCAATGTTTAAGGCTATTTAAGCAATGTTGCCAAATCTTATTCCTACGGATGGTTTATAGAATATATGTAGATAATTGTGATTGTTGTGATTCATCTAAATAGTTCCGGCTTCGTCTCCTGTATTGAACCAGGTGAAAAAATTGCAAATATCTAAAATGAGCTTAAAAATATCCTGACTCCTCACAAATTTCTCAACGCATTTCTCATGCTAGGCTGGCACGAGTCCCGTTGATATGTAACCTCGTCTTGCTCTGCTGACTTGCGGACAAGTTCTACTTCTCTTCAACATGCAGATGATCTCTCCTGTGTGTTTGACTCCTGAGATGAATAAGTTCTCTCCTAGTCCCACCTATTAATCTTGACGTCCTGAGTCTAAGGAAGTCCACATAAAGGTGAGGATCAAAGCTCACAACCTTTGAGCTCTGGAACTCAGTCTAATTATCTTTATTTAGACCTCCGTTGTCAAGACTCCGACATCACCGGAAGCTGAGTTATCCTGTTTCTCTGGACACTCCGGCACCTCCGATGAGAAGGATCTACCCTGTATCCCTGATCTAAACGCCTCCTTTAGATCAAATACAGGTAATAATCTAATTCACGATGCTTGTGATTAGTGTGAGAAAGTCACCACTTAATAAGGATATTTGAAGTAACACATGAAAACTTTGATTAGACTAAATAAGCTCATTTTTAGTTACCCTGTTCATGACTGCGGTGCAATTTAATGAACTATAGGCTACAAACCTCTGGACAAATCAACATTGTAAGTTTATTTTCATATTATATAAATATTTGAATAATTAACCTGGAGAAAGTTTTATTTTAAAGGCTGGAATTTTTATTATTGTCATGAATGTAATTAACCCTGGACTGATTTATTGTGTTTTTCAGTTCACGGTTGAGTCCTGTATAAACTGCCTACCTGAAATATATACATAAGATTTAATCAGTGCAAATAGAGGTGAGCCGAAGAGAAAGAGTTCATGCTCGCTCTTATGTTTGTAGTTATTACCTGGTCTCCTATAGGTAAAAATGAGCACACCTGAATAGATATATTTAAGGTATCTGCATGTGCATAATATTGCCGATGAATATTGTTAGTCTCAAGGTTCAAAGTCTATTTATGATTTCGCATGGAATTCACCTTAGTTTCATGTACTCGACGAATGAAGATTTGTTGGATGATGTTGAAGGTGGTAGATTTGTAGGATGATGTTGTAGGTGGTAGATTGTAGGTTTGATTGAAGTTTGGGAGAACACGTTTAATCTAAGATCTGTATCACCATTATATAACATCATTGCATATATCAAAGTTTTTTAGCTCAAGTCCTTTTTTATTATTGAAATTTGTTTTTTTAAAAGAAGTTTATAAACCTCGTAAAAGCTGAGACCTGGAGACTTAATAGGGTTACAATATAATCAACCCATTCTTTGTCTGAAAAAGACGATATATAGTTTTTTCTTAAAACAAAATTCCTTTTTCTCAAATTAAAATCTTTGTTCTACAAACTAAAATCTTATACTCTCAAATTAAAAGCATTCTTTCTTACAAAGTCTCAATAAGATAAAGAATTTTGTATAAAAAAGCTCATGATTAACATTTTTCATGGCTTGATAAGATTAGAATCATATTTTTAGGATTATATAACATAAACATTGACTTCTTAATATAAAGATAAATAATCAAAAGTTTTAGAAACATAGGAAAAAGTTCGAGTTTTCATGTGTAGGTTCAGATTCAACCTTATCCGCTCCAACTTCTTCACATTCATCACACGGATTCATCATTCTTCGTCAGGTTTTCAGAAATCCTGAACACTGAAAGTTAATTAGAATTCTTTAAATTCCACAATGGGTATAAACAAATGATAAACAAATGAACTGAAAAAACGAATCTCTAATTGGGACTTTTTAAAAACTATGTTATATATTATAAATTAAACAATACTGTAAATGTATTTTTATAAAATTAACAAAATTATTAAAATTATAAATTAAACAATACATGTAAATTCATTTTTATACGCGCCTAAAGCAGAGAGAATTGATGTAGCATTTTTCTCCAAACTTGGTATTTCCCCTGACTTATATCTCCTTCTTTAAAATGGTTTTAGCAAATGCAACTTGAGAGATATACTCTGGAGTTTCCCAACCTTAAAAGGTCTAGCCATGCACAATTTTTTGGTATTTTGAAAAAACTCACATTTTTACAAGAAGAATTGTTATTTAATCATTCTTTCATTAAAATAAACAAACAACTGAACTTGAATGTACTGCAGTATACAATCCTGTGTTTACAATCCATATTAAGTGTCTACATAATTATCAATACTAATATTCAAATATCTGCATAAAACCACCCCTTAGAAATATGATCGCTCTATATACAAGTGTACAGCGTTAGATACGTTAACATATCGTGATGTATACAACCGACTCTCTATCAATTAATTAATAGGGAGGTCGGTTGTGTACATCTGAGGTAAGCTTTACCTCTTTGTTTTATTACTCTATGCTAGACGAACACTGATGCATCTATTCTTGGCCCAGAGAGAACTGGTTTCAATATGAACGCAGAGGATGCAGAGTATATGCGCCCGCAATTAACTTTCCTTTCAACTATGTATTATTTATTATAATCTGTATCTACGTAGTCTACGTGTAAAAATAAAGAATTTCTATCTATCTATCTATATATCTATCTATCTATCTATCTATCCATCCATCTCTTATGACTCCGCAATAACACAAGTGTTACCAAGTAACCACGATGCTATCTCATTTGAACTACTCCCGTTTGAACAATTGTTCATTTGAACTACTGCACGTGCTACCAAGTGAGTAGTTGAAATGAACAATAGTTCAAACGAGTAAATATATGGCTCATTTTAACTTTTTTTTAGTTCATTTGAACTATTTTCATTTTAACTATTGGTATTATAAATGAAATAAACAAAAAATAGTTCAAATGAACATTAAAAAATAGTTTAAATGGACATAAAAATAGTTCAATTATCAACAAAAAAATAGTTAAAATGAACACAAAAATAGTTTAAATGAACAAAATATAGTTCAAATGAACATAAAAATAGTTCATATGGAATAGTTCAAATGAAAAAAAAATAGTTCAAAAGAACTTAAAATATAGTCTAAATGAAAAAATAGTTCAAATGAAAAAAATACTGGAAACATAACGTTACATAACGTTTTAGAACCGTATTTGAAACATTTCTGCAAATACCAATCCAAATTGTATGTTAATGAACAATTGTATTCGTTAATTATAAATTTCTTATGTAATTCCTGGAACGTGATTTTACCCGGCCCCTTTGTCTCCTCCCATGGGGCAGACGCTGAACTCCAACCTTCGAGTGTGCGAGGTGGGGAAGACTTCACTGCAGATTTTACTTTTGTACATGACCACTTTTTCAACAATTTTCAATTAAATTACTATTTATTTAGGGTTAGGTTAAGACACTTTCTGGGCTGATCGCTGCGGCTAGGACAGGCTAGGGGGCCGAGCGCTGCGGCCACAGATTAGGGGTTATAAATTATGACACTTTCTGGGACAAGCGCTGCGGCTAGGATTCAATTTTGATCTACAAATGTCATCCTTAATCATGCTTTTAATTATTTTTCTGTCCATTTGAACTATTTTATATCCGGATCTGAGTGTTAGATAGTGCTGTAATGGAGCTCCAAAAGAGGAGTAGTAACGGAGCTCTAGAAGAGGAGTCGGTACGGTCACTGCAAATCACTCTTTGGTTGTTGAATGGTGCACCTCAATCGCAGAACCTCCGTTTTTTGAGAATCGGAGTTCCGTTTTTCGAATTCCGAGACATGATTAACGGTGCACCTTTTCTCCTCAGTTCTTTGTATTTTTTCTTGCTGGGTAGGTCGGATGTACACTCCCAAGAAACCAAAGGATGTCCTAAGGTCGTCATGAGGACATAAATAATTACCAGTGGGACGTCCGGCGACGTCATATTTTAGGTGTTGAGGACGTTTCACGCAATGATTCTTACATCCTCACGACCTAATTTTCGAAGTCAAAATGACATCAAATGGCATCTAAATGACCAAACTTTTGACTTCCAAATGACCAAAGTTTTGACGTCCAAATGACCAAAGTTTTGACGTCCAAATGACCATACTAGTCATATATTTATCCTACATTTAACCACTGAACAGAGCTTAATTTATTCTATTTGTACTGCTACCCTTTAAGCCCCCCCCCCCCGGTATTACATTTACACCATGACTGTCCTCCTATTATTGCTAGTATTAAACATTAGACAAAATGAACATTTCAATAAAATAAATGTTCAGTTGGCTAAATTAGCAATTGTGTAAATTTCCTTAGCAAATTATGATTTCTAAGATTTACTTTTTTTGTTCAAATGTTCGAAATTATGTTCATTTAGAATATATTTTGTTTGAAAAATAGCTTCCAGATAACAAATTCCAAGATAGTGGAATTATCCATACACAAGTTGGTAACAAAGAAAGCCACAGAATCTTACTTCATAATTGATTTTCAAAGCGCATTAGGTGAGCTTGAAAAATGTAAATGTTTTTTGCGTTATATATGAATTTTAAATCTATTAAGAAAAAAAGGAAAAGTCAACAAAATTGTCTTCTAAAAAATAAGATAGTTAAGTTAACATTGAAAAACCATTAACAAAAGTTGAGAATATTCAAAATATATTTATTGTTAAAATGTGTGCTTTAGCACTAACAGAACACATACATGTATAAAATATGATTTTTATACTAATATGTATAGAACTATCTTTGATGACTTATAACTAATAAATATCCATAAATCATGATTATTTTTTAAGAACTGATAAAATATTTTCTGGCAAAGATTTTCGTTAATCTTTTTAAATGTGTGATTTCTTAATTTTTGAATCTCATTTCAGCAACATTGATTTAATGGTCTAATTAGTCACCATGCGATTTACTAGTGGATTTCTGATAGTACAGTACAGTTAACATCATAGTTTATGCTTGAATGGAAGGTACTCTTGTGTAGTAGTTCAGGCACTTAGTAATTTGATCAGTAATTTTAATATAACCCTTCTTTTTAGTCTACGGGGAGGGGGGAGGGGGATAATTTAAAGATTGTGTTACCGTACAAGCAGAACGATAATAACAGCATATTCTACAACATGGAATACAGATACTCCAGGATTAAAAAGAATGAGTTGTTTTACATTTGCTTTGAGAATTTGTTCGGGAACTTTAACTGTAGATATTGCACAATATACTACTTCATGCTCTCAACCCATTCGATCCTTCTAAATACTTTCTATAATGTGAGAATTCTCTTCAAGAACTTGTTCCAGCTTCCTTGGGGTGTAGACGTCTTTAAGAACTCTTGGTAGGTGACTGATGATCTCTTCCAGTGAAATTCCATTTTCACTATTTCTCCCATTTAAATATCTGAGAACCCAGTCAATAAGCCAATCTGAAAATAATATTTTACGATAAAATTATTGAGAGTTCCTTTGGCAAAAGTATTAAATTTCCTAATATTGTTTTTATGAAGTGGACTTTTTGTTATATAGTTCAACTAGCCTTAGAGGGCGCTTCGCGCCCATCTTCTAAATTAATTGTGAACATGTTCTCTTTGTGTACATCGTAAAACAAAACAAAAATAATTCGCGGATTTTCACAAAAAATTTCGCGGATTTTCAAAATTTTTAAAAATTTAATGACGATCGAATTTTGATAGAGACAAATATTTGAAATTTTGATTTTTCATAAACCTTCCCTGGGGTCCCTAGATGTCCCACAAAAAATTTGGGCCCGATCGGTTCAGCCGTTTTGACGTTTATTGGATACAAACAGACAGACAGACAGACAGACAAACAGACAAGCCAAATTTATATATAGACTAGAAATTCAAGGCGCTTCGCGCCCTTCTTTCTAGCCTTAGAGGGCGCTTCGCGCCCATCTTCTAAATTAATTGTAAACATGTTCTCTTTGTGTACATCGTAAAACAAAACAAAAATAATTCGCGGATTTTCACAAAAAATTTCGCGGATTTTCAAAATTTTTAAAAATTTAATGACGATCGAATTTTGATGGAGACAAATATTTGAAATTTTGATTTTTCATAAACCTTCCCTGGGGTCCCTAGATGTCCCACAAAAAATTTGGGCCCGATCGGTTCAGCCGTTTTGACGTTTATTGGATACAAACAGACAAACAGACAGACAAACAGACAAGCCAAATTTATATATAGATGAACTGGAGACACAATTGTGAAGTGTATACTGTATATGGACAAATATAAATTAATTTAAAAAATTATTTTATAAGTTACTATGTAAACTATTTGCTTTGTAACAACATCAAATAGAATTAAGGAAAATGTTAATTGAAGAAAGGCTGTCAAATCCTCTTAATAATTTTCAAAATCTTGATTGCATTTAAAAATGTAAAAAATGAAATTCCCATACTAAGTCTTGAATATACCACTCTTACCTCTTAACTCGTCTTCCTGTTGATAAATTAGTCGAAAGCAACCTTTTTTTTGATTTATAATGTGAGAATTATCCTCAAGAACTTTTTCCAAAGTGTTTAAGTTATAAACACTTTTCAGATTTTTAGGTAATTGTTTGTGGATTCCTTTCAGTGTTGTTCCTCGACCCTGATTCCTTCCCTTTAAGTAACTCTGAATCCAGGCAATAAATTCACCTAAAATCAGTATAATGAAACATACAAATTAATAACATTGCCCCCCCCCCCCCATCCCCGGTGCTCATTTACGAGTTTTACATGGGTCTAAGTTATTATATTATTTAAGAATCCATTCATTCCGACAAGGATCAAATTATGATTCTCCTCATTATGTTACAAAAACTTAAAAATTAAAAAAAAAACTGTTTGCATTTAAAGGCATCAATTGTAGAAATGTAAAAAAGGAATTTCTCAATTAAATTTTGAACACTAATTACCTTTAGACTTATCTTCCTGGGGTATAGTAGTGATTGGAGCAGATGCAGATGACATCATTGGGCAGACATCCTCCATATCAATCTCATCATCCTCATCATATTCATCATTATCATCAGAGAGTTGAACCTGGTTAAGGAGCTGATCATTATCCAGGATAGAGCTTGTCTCGTTTTCCATGAATGAAGATTTTGACGTCTGAATACCTTCACCAAGAATTTTCTTGTCATTTAAAGCTTGGCTATTGGTTTCAACAAAATCCATCATGAGCTTCATATATTTAGAATCCGCTTTACCCTCTACAGTTAAAAGCTGTTCATTCTCAATTTTTATTCCAAGGATGTCAGCTTTGACTTCTATAGAATTCATGCATCTAAGTCTCAAGTCAACAAGGGCTTCACATCCATTAGGAAGATCTAGTAAACTTTCATTCTAAAAGTAAGACAAAAGTAATAAACAGATGCAAGTAAGCTGAAAATCTGACCAATGACAGATAAGTGAATGAGTTGTTCAACTCATTTAATTCAAAAGTTGATATTCTTTGAATAAAGTTTAGGTAACCAAGATTGATTATTGATTAATTGATTAAGTATCTACAGAAAACTCTAGTCTTTATAGCTTTTACTTTGTTGTTGTCTGATAGTTTAGTTCTTCTTCCGGATTCAACCAATGAAAGCTTTGTTAAATGGAAACTGAGATTAATTAGAAGCTACGCAAATTGCATTGCAGGAAGAATGAGTAACTGATTTAGTACAAAATTACTTCAGTTGCCATTGTTAGGCTGTAGGGAATTGTAGATTAAAGCTGGAGATACTAATCTAGCAAAACTTTTTCAAAATGCAAAAACAATTAAATTATTTTTTAAAAATCTTAGTTTTAAAACATCTATGATATGGTATTTTATATTTACCTCCAGTTTGAGACATTCCTTGGATCCAAATTTAAACGTAAGAGAAGACTCCATGTTGTCTGTAGAGGGTTTTGCTACAATTCTGAGGATATAAACAGAGTTTCCCTTCATAACAACCTGTTTAAAATAGCTATTTATCAAACTATCTATTATGATTACTTAAATCAATCTCAATACCTGATGTTTGTTAATAAGAGAGTTTTTTCCACCCTGTGAACTTTTCGACTGCCCTATGTTGGACGCCAGTTTGAGAAGGTTGCCTCCAATATCAGGGCTTGATACAACACTAACGATATCACTTGAGTCAACCAGAAATAAAGGACTTTTATTCAGAAGTATTCTCAGGTCGTTGGACTCAAGGTTGTGTAGCATCACAGAAAAGTTGGAGTGAAGAGATGACAATCGTGTGTCCCCACTTTTCATCAAAGTTTGATACAATCTAAGTGCCATGAATGTTTTTTAACAATTTTTTTACCAAATAGATGGTAATAATTAAGCATTCTTGTAAACACTCATTTTATTTCGTAAGTGCCATGAATGTAATTATTCATAAAAAAATAGGCACACAATGTCAATCAAGAGTTACAGGGGAAATTAGTTCCAAAACTAACACTTGGACCATTTCTAACACTGAGTGTTAGAAATGGGCAAAATCTGCAAAGTTATCTTTTTCAAGAGAATATATCGTTAAATCCAAGACGAGTAAAACAAACTTACTCCATGTATTTAAAAAAAAAATAGCTAAAAATATATATTGAAACAATATATGTCAATTTTAAACTAATAATAAGGTATGAGAATTAGTTTTTGATGATTCTTGATTTCATTTTCGAAAATATCCCTATTCATAAAAACAATTACCGGATTTCGCGTTTTCGGAACATATCCTGGTTTTACGACAATTATCGGAATTCATATCAATGTCAATTTTTAGGCATTTAATCACTACTTACGTAACAAAACAAGATTTTTGATAAGGTAAAATATAAACAATAGAAAATAAAAACAAACTGTTCTTTTATAATTTAAGAATCATTACAGCATTGAGAAATCAAAATATTAATATCAGTTGTTCTTACAATATAAATTTTACTAGAAATGTGGAAAACTGTTTGTTTAAAATGCTTGAAAATAAATCATCGATATTCTCTAATTTAACAGATAAAATATGGAAACTTAGATTCTAGAAATAATTCAGAAGTTAATTTAGTCTGCATAAGATAATGTTTGTTTTCAGTGATTTATTTTGTAAGTTATGAAAGCGAGTTTTGTTTTGAATTGCGGATTATATTCAAAAACGGGAAAGTGGGGTTTGTCTCGAAAACGCGACAATGTTTCAACTTCAGGATATGTTCAAAAATGGAAAACCTGACATTGTCTTGAAAACGGTCAAGAGATTTAATATAAAAAGAACTCCTATTATAATCTTGATTTAAAACAAAAGTTTAAAATTGGGAATTGTTGTCCTCGTCATATTAAATAAAATGTTGGTTATAGTTGTTAAATAAAGTTAAATAATGTCATTCTTTCCTAAAGAGAAGCACGTTATTCTCCTTAGATTCTAATATTGCAGAGTCAGAAGAAGCCATTTCTTTCACAATTTGAGAGTAGAGTTTGGGTTTAGAGGAACAATTCGCTTTCATTTCTGTGTTAATCTTTTTTGAAAATGCCATTTTCACATTTCCATAACCAAACGGATGTATTTCTGGATTTAACAGTAGATTAGTTGAGTTCAAAATGCGGTGAGGTTCCCCTGGACATTGAACAGGTAATTGATCAATTTCCGACACCTTCTTAAAACTTTCCCTAGAAATGAAAACAAATTGGGATACAATATTCATTCAAACCAACAAAGTGATTCATTTATATACAGAGAGTTAAGTTTTTGGGAGCCATATTCGACACTTTTACTGCTCTTTGGATCCCGTTTTCATCTCTGTTTTTGGGAGCCATATTCGACACTTTTACTGCTCTTTGGATCCCGTTTTCATCTCTGTTTTTGACTTAGATCTGGAATCCAGTGATCAGCTTATTGTTAGCTAGAAGTATTTAAACTATGTAAAGTGTACAGCTAGATAAACTGGTTGTACGAATTGTACATAGTTAAACTAATTCTTGCTCTTAATTAACATCAATATTAAATATCTTTAAACTTAGGCTTTGTAAATTGAAATAATTAAAAGATGAAAAAAAGATACCCAAACAAAGATACCCAACAAGAAGTGAAGATGAAAACATGGATTGAGGAATGAACTTTTGAATTATAGTATAAGAAATTCTTTTAGTTAATTATGTTCCCCAAATCAATAAGAAACCCCCCCCCACAAAAAAAATGTGTGCTCTTGACAGCATCTTTAGTTGACTAGTGAGGAAGAAAATGATTTTTAAAAGGAATTTTTGCTAAAACTAAGATTACCCTTTGTAATCATTATTCATCAACAATTTCACATGTTTGTTCCATTTCATAAATGAAGCAAAACATTACCTGTATCCTACAATGTTGGTACTTGGTTTACCCGTTACAAATTGCCATGTTATTCTAAAAAATTAATTCTTTTAACCGACAAATTTGGGATAATGTGCACATTCAATAATTAATATTAATCAGGCACAATCAGTAAATCACAGTTGCATTAAGTACAAAACTATATAAAAGTATACTGAAATTTTTGCATTTTGTGCATAGATATACTCTTCATAAATCACAATTTTAAAGATTAATAAAAAAACTAATTTGATGATTTAAAAAGAATGTTTTTTAATTTACTATTTATATAGATAGCCAGTTATTGCTTATTGCTGAATGCTGATCAACTGAATGGAAATGTCGTCTTTTCTAAACATATCTGTATTGTTTGCTATCACCCTGTTAAGACCAGTTAACCCAATTGGTACCAGGGGATTATCTCTATTAAGGAACTTAATAACATTCTTCAATGTATCCTTTCCATTCTTATTTAGTAGATATGCCTGAATTCGATAGACCATCATGTTTCCTAAAATATTTATAATTTTTTCAAATCTAATTTTAAATAACTCATAGTTTAATATTTAAATTTGAACCCAATGCAATATCCAAAGAGAATCTTCGAAAGTAGAAAGGTCTGAAAGGACATTGATAAAGATCGGGAAAAATAACGTCAAAAGATTAAAAATCTTACAGCAGAGGTGTGTATTTTTCAGAAATTTGGGGAAAAGAAAGAAAAATCATCAATTGGCAACATTTTACATTTTTTGTCCAAAATTTTACTCTTGATTTCCCCTAAAAATATTGTATCTTGTGGAGAAAAAAAATATTTTCAAAAGGGAGAAGAAAATTATTTTTCGAGAAAATGAACATCCCTGTCTTACAGCTGAAAGAGAAAAACTGATCTAAGTTTATTAAAATTAAAAAGAAAAAACGTTTCTCACCTTTCTCTATTTTTTCTTTCGTCTTTTGGATTTGCAATCTCTCCTGGGTTATCTGCTTTATCTTTGTTCGAGTGAGTTTAATTCTTAGATGACTTGGAATTTCAGAAAATATCTTCTTGAACGGAGAAACTCGACAGAAGTTCATGTGATTAAATATCCAATCATTTAGTTCATCTAAAAAAAATAAAGGTTAAGACTCCTAAAATGTAGCATATTCTGGGAAAAGTATGGTGAATGGGAGGGCCGGGGAGGGTTTGGTGAGAAGATCGCTTCCCCCCCCCCTTTCCGTCCCCAAAAAAATATCAGGAATTGGTGTTTTTGCTTAGTCAGATGCAACTCATGAATAAACAATTTAATAGAGTTCGGAAAAAAAGAGAGGAAGATCTTCTCAGTTCAATGCAGTACAGAGTTCGGAAAAAAGCAAGATTCTCTAAAAAAGGTTGTTTCTTGTAAAATGGCGTAATACAAGAACATCCAAAAAATCTTTTCTTTTTATTTTCAAAATTAGCCGAAATATGATTGAAAGATGTACGAACAAGAAGAAAATGAAGAAAAAGAAAAATTGAAATCTCAAAATATTTTTATTTGGTTTCATATAAATATTTAAAAATATTGTAAAAATTAATTAAAATAAATTATTAAAGTTAAAAATGGTGAATGGGATGGGGGGGGATGATTTTAATTAAGATGACATTTTTACCTATTGGATCATCGTTTGCTGGAATTGTTATTATTGGAGTATAAACATCAGATACCATCGGACAAATCTTATCATCAATATCAGTATTATTTCCATTTGATGCAGTAATTTTAGGTGTATATGAATTTGATGTCATGAAATTGTTACCATCATCTTCATCTTCGTACTTTGATATGGTAGTGATAGGTGTATCTGAAGATGATACCATGGGAGCAATATCTTCATCATCAATATTATCACAAGAAAGAGGAGTCAGGTTATCTTGGTCTTCACTTGATCGAGATGCAACCCATTGATAAAACCGCAAACAATCATCCTCTAATGCAGCCTCTTCTGTTTTAGTAGCTTCTAACGGCAACACAGCAGCTTCTAATTTAGCAGCAACGCTTTCAGCAGCTTCTTGAACAGAAGCTTTTATTGCATCAGCTTCTTTTTTCGTCAATAGATTCTCCGCCAGCTTGCTGGATATTGAACTGAGATAGGTTTGATCCTGAAAACCTTCTTCAAGGAGGACAACCTTGTCCTTCAAGTATATTGTCAGGACGCTTGCAATCAGGACAACCTTGTCCTTCAAGTATATTGTCAGGACGCTTGCAATCACATTTGATGATTTTAACTCCAGTTTTATATCAGCAAAGCATTCAGGTCTAGTCATCAAAGATCTCTTTCTTGACAGTTCAGCAGAACTCACATTCAGCTAAACATACATAAATTGATAACTTTATTTAACTAGTTTTTTAGTGCTGTAGTGAATACCTTTATCTGAGGAGCCATTCGACCTCCAAACTGAAGAGTAACACAATCTTTGTTCATATACAGTGATGCTCCAATTTTGTAAATGTAAACAGACTCTTCCTCAAAAGTAATCTGAAATTTGTTCATGATTAAGAACTGGACATGAATAATGATCTTTTTACTATTCAAAAATCTAGTTTACACGAAAATTTATCCTTTCTTAAGTTAAAAACTGGAAAATAAATGGTTAAAGATCTCAAAGTAATCTAAAATCCTTTATTAATTCCGCATTAGCAACATATCATATTTTTCTGCGTGATATGCAATGCATGTGGTCCTAAATAGGATCAAAAATATAGGTTCATTTCAAAACCTGGAACTCTATATCTCAAGGGAGCTTGGACTGTTGCAGAAAACGAAAATTCCCGCGTCTTAAAATTGGGCACACTTAGAACCTTACTCATCCGACAAGAAAAATATAATATCACTAACGTTATAAATTTGTTGTTAATTAAAGGGACTGTAAGCGTAATTTCAAGTGACCCTCCATGCAAAAATGGCAATGCCATATTTACAATGGTGCCCTTGGAGCCTTATTCTGATAAAAAATGTGAAAGATACCATCGTTTTCCTAACTCGTAAAGTATTAATTCTGATAATTTCTCCGTTGCTACTTATCAGCAAGAAATGTGCAAGTCACTATTGCAGAGAAACCTCAAATATAAATAAATAGTTCTAAAAAACAAAAAAATGGATATACCTAATTTATACTTGATCAGAAAAGCTTTTAAGTGTATCGTTTTGTAAATCAGGCATTGCCATCTTTGCATGGAGGGTCACTTAAACATTACGCTTAGTCCTTTTAATATATGTATTATACCTGGTTTTTGTTGATAGAATGACATTTTGCAGGATTCTGTAAGGTCGACGGTGGAATAAATGCATTGGAAGCTAGTCGAAGGAGATCTAACCCTACTTCTGGACGAAATGCAATGCGTGCATTTTCTTTGTAGTCAAAAGTGAAGAGATAACTAAAGAGTAGAATAATCTTTAGGTCACAAGTATCAATCTTGCTTGACTTAGGACAAACCAGAGCATGAAGACGGTTCAAATTTTTCTCTGACCTTCTGAGTGCAATCAATGTTCTAAATCAACAAAAATTAAATATATAATCATGTAAATGAAATTATAGATAAATTTTGCCAAATGAATGAAATGCCACAGAAAGGAGACTTGGAATATTATGATGGCCTACTAAAAAAATAAAACAGCATTGAACTTGTCAAAATTACAAATATTTCATGAATTTTTAAGATATTTTCTAAAAAGGGCTTTACTTACATGGCTTGATTAAATATGCATTTCCAAAACCGGTGTAACAAATATTGATGGGCAATAACTTTGTTTTTGAAAACTTTTAAGGATTTTGGACTTTTAAAATGATTCACACAAAACCCGTTTAGCAAATACTGATGGGCAATAAAGGAGGCGTTGCATCAATGACATTTTTCAATATCTCAGTAAATAATGGTGCTAGCCGGTTCTACTTTTGCATGTATACTCATCTGATGCTCTAGGAACAGGATATGAGATCAAATCTTCAATGTCTCCGTTCGGAGACCGGAGATATGGTATAAGGTACCTCCGAGCGAAATTTTTTGTAAAAATCCGCGAATTATTTTTGTTTTGTTTTACGATGTACACAAAGAGAACATGTTCACAATTAATTTAGGAGATGGGCGCGAAGCGCCCTCTAAGGCTAGAAAGAAGGGCGCGAAGCGCCTTGAATTTCTAGTACCTATAGACCTCACTAGAAACAACTTCATTTTATTTAATTCTTTCCTGAAAACAATAACATTTCTAAGTTGAAGGGGTAAACCCTTCCAACTTTCCGTTTCCACTTCTTGACTTGTTTTTTTGACCTTCTTTTCTACTTTCGGCTCAGACATGACTGTGGGAGTGATTTCCTCAGTTTTCTTGTTCAGATATTTGGCTTTAAATTTAAGCACGAGATTATTATAGTTCGGATCCTCTCTTCCTTGTTTCAGCAAGGTTTCTTCATTCTCTACACGGATCCCCAGGATGTCAGTGATCACTTCTGTTGAGTTTATGATCTGAAGTCTGAGATCTACAAGAGCCAGAGATCCATTTGCAAATCCCCACTTACATTCATTCTTAAAAATAATAAATAGAAAAATCATATATTTCCCTCAAAGAATGAACCGTGAAAAAAATGTCCACTTCGCACAACCATACTTTTTATCTTCGAAATAAAATATTATGATAGGGGGTGGCTGACATTTTAAGCAAAGTTATATTTCGAGGATAAATTTTACATGAAAACAAGGTAATATTGGGTAAGAACAAAAAGGAGCATTTTTGGGCGAAGTTATAGCTGAAAATAAGTAAGTAGGTATAGTAGAGGTATATTAGAACTGAATTAGTAAAAAAAGTGAATAAAAACTAAGTTTCTAATTCTGGGTAGGGAAATCAAGGGTTCAAATTTTCGTTATTTTTTAGTTAGAAACTGAAATTTGTGTTACAACTTTACACTGCAATAGATATTTGAATGTTTTTTTCTTAATATAGACTCAGGAGATATACTACAGTGGGAAAAAAACGAGTAAATTTTTTTTGATACACCCTACTGATTAACATAATAATTAACTTTAAACAATTATCTAAATACCTTGAGTTTTAGACAATGTTTAGAGCCGAACTTGAAGGTTAGACTAGGTTCTATCACATCGGACGGAGTTGTTCCGACAGTAGATAGAGTTGCACCAATGTTAAAGATATATATAGAGTTCCCTTTCGTTCTGACCTACAAATTTATACATTTTATAAAAAAAAAATTCTGCGAGAAAATTTGAATGTGTCACAAAATAAATTGAAATCAATCAGTACAGTACAGTACAGTACAGTACAGTACAGTACAGTACAGCAGTACAGTACAGTACAGTACAGTACAGTACAGTACAGTACAGTACAGTACAGTACAGTACAGTACAGTACAGTACAGTACAGTACAGTACAGTAAAGTACAGTACAGTACAGTACAGTAAAGTACAGTACAGTACAGTACAACTTTATAATCTGTCTGTGCAATTTTCTCATTGCTGGTTCCAGGCAACGTGTAAAACTTTTTAATTTTTTATGCCAAACTATTTTGATAAAAAACCCAAATTTCTTAATCATGATTTATTCTACCTACATCCACTTCCATGTTTACCGACCGTTCCCTTTCCATGCTAAAACGAAGCAGCGGATACTTCTTGCTCCTTTCAAAGATACTGTTAAATCAGTGTTTGTTTAGACATTTAATGGTAAATATGAGAGAGACAATGTCAAGAAATCAAACAATGTTGAATAGTAAAAATTATTAAATTACTTAAGTTAATAGGTATTTAATTCAAAAAGGTAATATTATGAAGGGGAAACGGATAGTAAACAAAATTAAGAGCTAAAACCATAATTCATTACAATAACAAATATCTATATAATAATACAAGACATATGTATATATATATGTTGAGTATAGCCGGCCAAACGGCTGGACCGATTAGGCTGAAATTTTGTGTGGCAGGGGAGGCTAAAAAATTAGATTTTATATATATATATATATTTTCAAATTTTGTTTCCACGGGCAACGCCGGGCCCTTTAGCTAGTATTTAATATTTATTTACAACTACTTAACAGGGAAGTTAAAGGAACTTTATTTTACTAAGTGTTCCGTAAGACCAATTTTGCCTACAACACATCCAGAGCACAGTGAGGCATGTTTTCTATGCAAAAGAAACCCTTAATTAAGTAAAAATTTAAATTTCTCGAAAAAGTAGTTGTAACAATTATATTGTCTTTTCAGATGAAAATGCACGAATTTTTTCACGAACAATTCGCAGAGCGCGTGGTTAATTTACTTTATTGTCTCATGGGACGTACAGCAACTTAACTTTCCATCATAGGTCGTTAATGTTGGTCAAAAGGCGGTATATACCTGACTGTTGTTGATAAGAGAATAGTTTCCAAGTCTTGAGCTTGATGTCTGTTCAACATTAGTCGCTAGTTTGAGCAGGCTTCTTCCAGATTCAGGAGTAAACAAGATACTAACCATATCCTTCTCATCAATACGAAACAGAGAACTTTCAATCAGAAGGATTCTAAGATCTTTAAGGTTCAGGTTCTCCAGGTTCAGTAGAAGCTTAGCATGCAGTGAGTACAGACTTTTATTTTTTTCACCGTTTTTCATCAAACTTCGGTAAATTCTTACCAGGATAACAAAAAAAAATAGAGACAAATATAATTCTCAACAAAATACTAATAAATGACATTTTTATCATGTGGGATTTAACAAAAAAATGTTTTGATGATCAATTGCGATATGAATAATAAATGTATAGTGAATGTAAACAGTAAACGACCACATTTCAAAATCAGTTTTTTAAAATTAATTTTAGACAAAATATATTTTAGTTTAGGTAGAAAATATTAATTAATTTTTTCGTCGGAAAAACAGGCTCTTTACAAACAAGCCAAACATTTTTTTGTCCCTGAAAAATATGAAGTTCTTTGATGAATCATCAGTGTACACAATTCTCGGCAGCTCTGCGAGTTTGGGCGAAGTCATTTTCATTGTTTTCATTTTCCCAGACATCACAGTTTTCTGTTCGGAATTACGAAGATGATAATTATTAGTGTGATCCCGCCTTGCTATAAAGACTTCAAACTCAAAGCACAGATTTCATCCAGAAACTAATAGAGGTGATCATGAATTTTCTAAATGGGTATATAGATTAGAATGATATTGACCCATACTTGAGACTGATGGGTACTAATTTTATTTCGATCAGATAGTTATTTGATGAGTAAGAAAGGAAAACTGAAATATAGGATGTCTAGTTGAAAAAAGAGAATAGTTTTTATTTCACATGGTAACTAAAAAGACTACTTTAACAAAAGTGAAATAAGGACCCTAAATTTAATTACAATTAAGAACTTTACATTTTATCTGTCAAGTTAAATTTAGAAACTCATGAGAACTTTGGTAGCCAAGTTACAAAATGTGTGGACTTGTGTTTTTTTTTTTAATAAAGAAGACAATCGAACACCCCGCCTCCCCCCCCATACAATTTCATATCCCTTAAAGCAGTTACCTGTGACTAGATATATCACATTATCGGCTTCTTCTGCACGATTTTTTGTCCATTCTCATACTCATGTTCAAAATAAAATCTGAAAAATTAAACAATACTTTATTTCAAGTAAATAATATTAACATTTACTACGGCCACATAAAAAATACAACATTTCTTTCGTTATAAATAATAAATAAGAACGCTGCACTGATCTTACCCAAGAAGATTATTTTTAAAATTCAAAATCTAAAAATCTACTTATTTTGATTTTTCATCATCTTAAACAAATCACATGTAAACGCGATATGTATATATTTTATTACAAAAGGATAAAAATAATTGATAACTAATTATTTTTCAAACTCAGTCTCTTGACGCAGCAGCGCGGCGATGCGCGGGTAAAATTATGAAACTGGGACAACATCTTGCAAGGTTTTTTAATACTTTTTCCCTAATTCCCTAAGCTAATTATCCTGATAATCCTTTAGATTCGCCCAAACTTTTTTTCAAACCAAGAAAACATGAAAATGTTGATTCTCGTCCAAAATTAATGCGACTATGATAATAAATGAAGGAAAAAGGATGTACAATTTTTTTTTAAATGTTTTCCCCTCGTCCACTTTTTCCCAACGTTTTTATTCTCAATCTTGGCTTTAGGACTTGCTTTTTATGATAATGGAGAAACATTACATTATTCAAGGAATTATCACACAATGTAAATTGAATGTAAATTACAAATGCACGTATATATTGTTAAAATCACAAGCATAGATAGTTTAATAATTAACTAGAATTTGAAAATTTTCTAAAAATTTAATAAAATTAATTAAATAGTGTGAATATTTCGATTGATTGCTATAAAATGTTGGAAAAGGAAACTTCCTGAAATCAACTAATTACGGAAGATTTAAAGATAATAATGTCAAAACTTTTTTTAAAAAGAAATCAGGTCGAGAGAGCCTTTTAAATACTATGTTTTGGACTAACATTGCTCTTGTAATCCAAATAGTTTAATAGACCATGGCCGAATTTAAAGAATTTGAGCGGCGGTTTAAATTTAAGCCGTGGTTTAAATATGGCTGGTTCCAGTTAAAATTGTATCAAATGTTTCAAGATTTAAGCCGGCGCTTAATTTAAACTGGATTTTGGAGGATTTAAACCGCGGCTCAAATTCTTTAAATTCCATCTCAGTTTAATAAATAAATGCTAAAATGATTATTGAATGTTTTCAGATTCTTGTTCCTTCATCAGTTTTTCAATCTCCAGTTGCTCCTCTGTCTCCTTTCTTTGCTTCATTGAGTTCTACAGATCAAACATTAATATTATATCCAGGACGGGGGATAAAATAATTTTCTAACTCGAAACCAGTTTTGCGAAATCGGATCCAAGTGCAAAATATCAACCAAAAACGTCAAAAAAATCTTTTGCTCTCACAACTTAAATCTATAAGAGATATTATCGAATATGCCCATATCTCTGAATGGTTCATTAAGTTGTTGCATAAAAATAAGTGAAAAAGTAAGAAAAATAATTCGAAAATTCTTCCTCTGATACAAAATCAGTAAATCTTAAATAAATGTACATGACCTGGATTCGCATCTAAATTAAATGGATTCTGAGCACTGCAGTCGCAAAGATTGAAAATTTCTATAATATGTATATGACTTCCGGAAAATAGTTTACAATATATTTACGGCAGTGGATGAAGTTCGTAAAGCCTCAGTCAGATAAAAACTTTCCATTAAAAACTATGAAGGATAATGTTAGACATAGCAGTTAAAAACATCCTAGCGACGAAGTAACTGTTTTATCAAACAAAATTTTAAAAACATGAAATTAAACTAAAATATCAGCAATTTAATGTTTGAATTCCTTTTTTCTAGTTTCCATTCTCTCCGGTGGAAAGGTTATAGCTCTGGCAGGTCTAAAATAAAATGAAAAAAAACTGATTATTTTGTAAATATTTGTTGTGTCAAATATCAATAATAAAGTATACCAGAAGTCATTATATTTGGAAACTTGCAAATAATTATTATAAGGCATATAAACCGACTTTTTCCTCCGCCGTAGTTTTACAGGAGTTTGTGTTTACCTTGCAGTTGTATCAACCACAGGCTGTAGTATAGATACAGGCCAGGGTAGTTGGGGCTTCACGGCTTCGGGCACTGCCACTAGGGCATAACAGTATCATTGCACATGTCATGCTAAGTCTGTGATTCATGTACCCCGGAAGGGGGCATTGGGTCGCCTGGAGGGGTGGTTACCTGGTAACACTTGTGTTATTGAAGAGTCAAAATAGATGAATAGATCCACCATCTCATGTCTCGTATGAACCGGGATAAGTCTTAACCGTGGCTTTTTATCTGACGTTTTTTTTTACTTCAGGCGGAGTTTGGCAGAATAAAATCGCTGTCTTTTGCCTTGGTGTGAGTTTAAATTAGTTTTGTCGTGCAGTTGAGGCGGAGTTAACGCTCGTATTTAACTTGGCTTTGTATACGCCGTTTTTACCTTCGGTTGAATTTTGGTAGGAAATAAACAATATTTACCATCTTTCTCCTTTAAGTTTGAGTTTATATTTACATTAGTTTTGTTCGGCTCTTAAGGCGGCTTATGTTTACCTTGGCTTTGTATCCGCCGTCTCTTTCCTCCGGCGGAGTTGTGGCGGAGAGCAGGCAATCTTCAACAGAAATGACTGGTTCCTACGCAATTTAGGATCAATTTCACTGAACCTCTTAGATTTCAAGGCGCCCCTTTTGATAAAATGGTTCATTTTGGGTCTTTAAGCTATTGAAGACACTCCTTAAGGGATTGTATGGCTTAAAATAATCTAAAATTATTTTTTTTTCGTCGTTTTTGACAAATGAAATCCAAGAGGGGGGGGGGGTTATGTAAATAGATTAGGCTTTTTTGTCATGGTCTAATATTCTGTCAGACCTAAAATCTTGAAAACAATAATGATATATCGGCAATAAAATATTTATAAATATAAATATACCTCTTTTGGACCTTCCCCCCCCCCCCTTCTACGCCCCTGATGAAGAAAAAAAATTTGAATTTTTTTTCTGTCCCTTGTGGATTAAAAGAATATAGGTGCAAAGTTAGCACCATTTATCTCTGTTATTACAAGAGTTATTACAAACTCCAGGAGACTAGTGAGGTCCGTTAATCGCCCTAATTTCTTACTACATAATAAATAAAGTTTATTTTGCCAAAAAACGGAGTTAAATACATTAGTCAAAACTTCAAAAAGTGTGAAGTATAAATTATAATTTAACTCGTAATAAAATAAAAAGTGTGAAGTATAAATTATAATTTAACTCGTAATAAAATAAAAAGTGTGAAGTATAAATTATAATTTAACTCGTAATAAAATAAAAACTGTTAAACAAACCTAAATTTTTTATCCGATACTTCCGGCACGTAGAGAAACTCTCGCTGTCTTTTCTTCACATCCTGAGCTCTCAGGATAGATAGATATTCATCTATTAGATTAGACTCCAACAGATCTAGGTTCAGCAGAAACTGGTTTTGGTCTGGATTGGAGTTGGTTAAATCCGGTTTAGGTCGGAACCGTTTAACCGGACTTGAAACAATGTCGTCTTTGTATTCTTCAGGGCTGAAACACATAAATTGCAAACTAAGAATAACTATATTTTATAATTTTGTTAGAATATAATGAAGTTTTAAATGAAGAGTATAAAAACTAATCGAAGTCTCTGCAAATAAGTAACAAAATTCGCTTGATTAAAATAGCAAATATCAGGCAACAATTATTTTATTTTGAATCTTACCATTCAACATGATATGAGTCGACATGTCCTTTATAAAAATCATCGTTCTCCATATACTCTAGACCTACTCTCTCCTCCTCTACTTCACTACAAATATAAGTTAACATGTGCTTCATAAACTGTATTATTTTTTATTAATATAATCTAAACCAACTCTCGTGAGTGCCATTAACCATTCACAGCATTACCCTTAGAACCAACCAAACTCGAGGTTTTCCTATCTGTAAAGATTTTATCTTGTTTGAGCTGTAAAAAACCCTTTTACCAACTTTTTAGATAAATATGATAATTTATGTAAAAATGTAAAAAACTACGAAAACAAACTCGACGTGTTTCTTTCTGCAATGACACAAAATCAAGGACTAATTCTTGCTTATCTGTGCTAAATAAAACCTTATTGTGATATGTGTTCGACTATTATTAGAAAAAAACCAAGTTTTTTTTATTAAACTCTGGTCTAGAGTCTCCACCAAATTGTGTAGGATGTATTATTTTAAATGTAGTATAAGAAAAATACTAAACCTTTGTTCTGGAGAATGACTGATTGATTTGAAATCTTTCTTCAGTTTCTTTTTTGGAAGTTCAGTGGGTATTTGCTCCTACAAGATAAATTAAAAACTTTCAATAATTTCAATTTCCCCTGTTATGAAAGTATTTTCTTTATGCCAACTTTCAAGATATTTGAAGGAAAAACAGAAAAAGGGAAAGGGGTGTATACTATTCTTAATAATTTATCCCCCCCCTTCCTCTTTTTGAAAATAGTTTTGTCTAGAGTAACAGTTTTTTTGGATTATTCACTGAATTGTAGATTATGACTGATTTATAGGGGGGGGGGGGGGGGTTTATTGGGTAAAAAATATTTAACAGGATGAAAAAACTTGCCTTTAGATTTTAATTTTCACCCCCCCCCCCTTCCTCGATCAACAAAAAATCACATTCTCCCTTCCCGGGAATCCTTAAAATAATATATAAGAGATGGAAGAGAGGGAGGTATATTGTAACAATGTGTTTCCCTTAATAATAACAGCGGTTTAAAAAATGTACCTGCTTCTTGATAAACTGACCGGCCTCCAGATGACGGAGAAACTCACGGATTTTCTCCAGAAGATACAACTAGAAACAGAAATATGTTCGGTATTTTGTTGAAATTACACGCAAAAATATGAATTTTCAAACGACTTGAAGCGCTAAAAATATGAAAATATGAAGGTTAAACACTTGATTTTATGCAGCTAAAGTTTGGTCTAACATTTTTATTATAAAAATAATTTAGCAAGGAAATTAAGAAGTTTATAAACTGTCTTTTATGTCTCATCCTGTCAGGATAACCTTGTATAATAATTTATTACAATATTAACAAACTGAATTCATGATCTGAACCAAAATTAGAGTTTAAAAACCTTTTTTAATTTATGTTCACCTGCTGTTGGTTGTAGTAGAATATATACTCCTTCACTTTATTAATTTGAACTGTTAACTCATTATTCTACAAATATATATATTATTATATAAATGCAAAATTGTCAAATTTCAGTTTAATTGTAGATTTTGTTTTGAACAGACATAATTTAGTTTATCAAAAATAAACTTTTTGCTTTAAATCAATCACCATTAAAGCAATATTTTAAAGATAAAATTTTTCTGAGTAAAAGTCAAAACCTAAGCTCCAAAAATTCTGTAAATTTTCAATCGCCCCCTTCCTCCAGAGTTGCATCTAGGGTTTCAATCGAAATGGGGATATCGTTTGCAAAATTCATTTTGAGAAATTTTTAGGGAAAGTTTTTGTTCGCTGGAAACCCTAGTTGCGCCTCTTCCCAATGGATAGTAAGTCGTGAATGTTAATATATTTTTACCTCAGGTTCCTGCGTGAGTCTAAAATCCAAAATCTAGAAAAGAAAATTTAAAATCGGATGAATAAATATGCGCGAAAATATTTTGAAAAAAAATCTAAAAATTTAACCTAATTACGTAATTTACAAGATAAAGGTATATGTTTTACTTGTGATTATTCTTGAGTTTCTTGAATAATTTATGATTTGAATTTGTTACCTTGTGATTGTTGATGAGTATTTTGAGCTGATCTTGAATTTTGTAAACTTCATCCCGGAGAGTTTTAGGAACTATTGGAGGTATACCAGACATTATATTCTTGTAGAAAGGTTATCGCTAACTTCTTAGAAGAAATATAAAAATAAAAATTAATATATAAAAACAATATGCAAGGACGTGGACCCGAAAGTTAATCAGTTTTCCGCTAAGTTGTTCTCTGTATTAATTCGGTAAATTCATAGAGAACGATTACGTTCTCAAGGACGCACCCGCAAATTCTCTATTTTGCAGACCGAATTTTGCTCCTTCCAGCAAAATTTGCCTGGTCATGTCTTAAATACGTGATAATTAATTTTTCTTCTTAACACAAGGCTCAGCTTTGTCAGACTTTGATGATAGCTTCATTTACAATTTTTCTCTTTCAAACTTTTTATTGAAACAATAAAGGTACAGATCTGAGAAAAATATGTAATAATGATAAAAATACACGAATATTCATTTATATATTTACATACAAAATTACAATTAAAAAACAACAATCCGAAAAATTGTGCGAAGAAAATAGAATAGAAACAAGCGCGGTGGTTGCGCAGGTTGAAACAATACGCATGCGCAGTTTTAATTTAAATCCGTATCAATGGCCCTTCGATACTGCACAAGGAAAAATATTCTCTCTAAAATGAATAAATATTACTTTTTGAATTCCAATACACCGTTTTTAAAAACATAAAAATTGAATTTTTCCTCCTGAATGCTCCTCTCCCCTCCAGTTAAGTAAAACAGCTGATTATTACCAAATGCAATTCATAACTGTTCAACAAGATACTATTATAAAATTTAGGAAGTCAATTTTCAGATATAACATCAACCTCACATGTTGAAATCTTCCAGAAATTTTGTGAAAATTAATTTTACATGCTTCTGTGTACATTTTCTTTATATACGTTTCAGTATGCCATGCATGCAAAATGTATGGTATGGCAGCTTGCTTGATCTGGCTCAGAATCCAACATCATGCATTTTTCCTTTCATGAAATCATTTTTCCCTCAAATCACATTATCCTACATATTTATCTTTATTATGTATTCCTCTTTTTGGTTTTTTGTGTGTTAATATTGTACCATGAACATAAATTATACACTTTAAATAACAAAAAGAATTGGTCCAAAAATCGTACATTAGGAAATTACCCATATTTCAAGTGAACCCCATCCCAATTATGACAATTCCCGACGATTCACAAAGGTACCCTCGAAATCTTTATCTCATCAATAAGGAGGCAGATATCGTCGTTTGTTTTAGAGTTCGTATGTGTTTAATTTTGATACCCAAATTCGCTTTCCTGCAGGAGGAAATGCAGAAGTCACTTTTTAGAGAAATCACAAATGAAAACGATCAATTTTCTAAATTATAAACACATATATCAAATTCATGCTAGAACAGAAAATGCTTATAAAGGTGTCGGTAATTTTCTAGTATACGATTTTTGGACCCCCCCCCAGGCCCCCTCCCCCCCCTCNCGATCTAACATGATATGGGACATATCCCTGTAGTTGCCCACTGTTCTTAAATTTAAGACTTAGCTTTAAAACAGCAATTCGTTCTTTAAGTTTTTAATTTTCAAGGAGAAAAGTTCTTAATTTTCAAGGAGAAAAGTTCTTAATTTTCAAGGAGAAAAGTTCTTAGATTTTTCAGATGCTTTTTTAAAAAATTTCACCTGAAACAAAAATGTTCGACATTTTCATCAGAAGTCCTGTAAAACCAATAAAATATGATGAAGAGATTTTTGTTTTTGTACTTCATCAGATAGTTACTCTTACATTTTATTTAAAGTTCTGATTTCAATCCTCATACCTCCATCTGTATATATGTTTCCTTTTACATTTTAGTGTATCAGGTTCAGAAGATAGATAAGAATTCAATTTTTAAACGATATAAGTGGGGTTTTTGAGACTTTTTTCGAAAGGGATGTGTAATTATTAGCATATGTCAGAAAAAGTTAAATTTACTTATGAAGATTGTTTTTCAGTTGATTAATTAAGGAAAAATATAAAAAAGGATTTCCATTTCTTAAGTCACCTCATTTTTTAAAAAGATAAAATATTTTGTAACATTATCACTAAACTTTTTTTCACAATTTATTTTTAAATTAAAAATTCTTACCAAAATTTTAAAAAGAGCAGTGAATTGTTTCTCTGACTTGTACCTTCTTTTTGTCTTGTCTGCACTTCTGCAGTTTTCAGTTTTGCCATGGAATGTCTGACTCAACTGATTGAAGGTTCAGGTTCAAATATAAATTCATTGATTCTTACAGGTTGGAGAAAAAAAAATTCACTGCACTAAGCGGGGTTTGAAAATTCTGAGAATATTCATTGTCAGAATTCCGCCTTAATAAGGCAAATGGGAAAAGAAAGGTTAGGAAAGGAATGGATATTTTTGACACAAGAATTGTGGTTCTTGTAAGTTCCTTGTTTCTGGCAAGCGCAGGGGGCGGAGGGGGAGAAGCACAGAGAAACCCCTCCTTATCCTCACTATTATTTTCTTTTTTTTCTTCAACAGCTGACCAGGCTTGTTAATAATGAGTATATGTAAAGCTTCCAGAAGCAAAATCTGAATCCAACTAGGTAAAAAACCTCCATTCTCCAGGTTAATACAGCGTTGAAAGTTTAATGCAGGCCTTCAGAATGTTCCTTGTAGTTCCGTTAATATCTTTTCCATTTAAGTATTTCTATTTTACCATTTTCTATCTCTCACCCTTTATCTCTGAGTACTTTTAGAAGCGCCGAGCCAGCTATATGTTTACTGATAACTAAACGTTAAAACTATCTGTATTCTGTACTGTACAATAGTTCCAAGTTTACTGTTTAGATTAGGAAGGTATAAAGTACAATATTATGTTGAACATTTAAGTTGTTGCTTTAATGATATTTTTTAGCATATTTAAGATTCATATATTCTCTAAAGATGTTATACTTTTAAAGAAACTATTAAATTTTTGATGCGGGTTGCAGTATAGTTCAGGTTTCGAAAAATCTTACCAATGAAAGAGAATTTTTGAGGTGTCAAAGTAAGATGACTAACAAAAGCAGTTGCGATTTTCCTATGATTAAAAGAAGAAGAGTAACAAAGTATTCGATGGCTACAACAAACACAACAATGCTTATCTTAGCAAGAAAACTTAACAAAGTGATGTTTGACATCATAAAAAGAGAATTTAAACAAAAAATACAATTTTTTCATATTTTTCCAATTTTTGTAGTATTTCAAATAAATGTTCTTAAAAATTAAAAAATTTCGCGATTTCAAAAATTTAGAAAAATCTTAAATTTAAGAACAGCGTTCTTAATTTTTTGGAGTGCATTGGTCAACTATGTTTTAACTTAATTCAGGTTTTAACTCAATTCTGCATTTAACTTGGTCCTGTTTTAGAACTCAATTGTAGAAAATTTTATTTTGGCAGGAGAGATAAAAATTAGGTTTTAAATTGATATAAAAACTTTGAATCTTATTCCTGACTGCTCATTTTAGGCTTATGTATTAAATAGTTTTTGTATATTTTTTGTTTTTTTTTCTAGGTTGATAAAATCGGAGCAGTCCCCGGGATCCATCAGCTCCGCGATGTAGGGACGGAGCATCCTTAATTTATGATTCTAGTATACATTAGAAATAAGTCTCCTAGACAAAAAATAATTAGTTTATCTCTGAAGGCACAGAAAATACGTTTTTTTTAGTGTAATGTAAACAAACATTTGAAATATGTAAATAAATCCCCTGTGAACGGTGTTTCTTCGTGAACTAGGAGGAGAGGGAGTACAGCAGGGAATGCTGAAGATGGTGGAAGGAACGATAGTAAATGTTCCAGAGAAGAACGCCGCCAGGAAGACGAGGGGAGAAACCGTCCAGGTAAATTCACGAACAGATCAACTGATCCTGCAGCTCATAATTAATCATTTTATTAGTTCATTTTCTTGTCACTAGGTGGACACTACCAACATTCTGTTTGTTTGCTCTGGTGCCTTCAATGGTCTAGAGAAAATAGTTTCACGGTTAGTTATTTATACTTAATTAAAAAAAATTGAATAGCATGCTTCCCCCACTTTGATACTGAAAGGGTCTTCTGACGTAATTTCAAATGACCCAAGAAGCAATGGAGTAACTTACAGAAATAATTACTTTTTGAGTGGGGGCCTGGGGGGGGGTCCAAAAATCGTATACTAGGACAGACCCAAGGTGTCTTTGTGAATCGGGAATTTCTATTTTTGCATGGAGGGTCTCTTGTAATTACACTTACAGTCCTTTAAAATGATCTTATTCCATAAGTGTCCATATACACGATACATTGTACAATTACATAATACATTGTTGATTTCAGATTACGTTAACCACTGCAGGTTCTTAAATTTTCTATAAATTTAAATTTCAAGATGATGAAACTACCCTCAAGAATTAGGTTCTACAGGTGATTTTACATATTGTATACAGGGAGGGGCAGAGGCGTAGTCATAGGGACCAGTGAACTCGATGGTATTCATAGGGTTATTAGACCCTTAGAAAAAAATGAAGTCCCCCCCCCCTTGAACAAATTCCTTATTACGCCCTCCAGGGTAATTATGAAGTTAAAGTTTATTGATTTAAGTTTTCCTTCAATCTGATGATTTCTTCCTGTTTTGCGACAGATACTTACGCAGCGGGGTAATTTCCTATTGTACGCTTTTTGGATTTCCCACCTCCTATCAATTTTGTACATGCAACGCAAATTTATTCATAAATATAATTGGACATGAGAACAGTCCCCTAGCCGTAGAAATCGGACCCATTGTCCTTGATTAGGGGAGGGGATAGATTATCATGAACATATATCTGTTATTATACATTGTAGGGAGGGTGGTAGACTAGTATACCTATATGGAGGTATTGAGGACCCAACTAGACAGAATACTGCTCTACTTCGTCAACTACCAATACATCATCAGAAGCAATGCAGAGCTCTTTCAGGAAAAACAAAAACTAGATATTTATAATTTTATTTTACTAGTCTTTCAGGCCGCTTCGGGCCCGTCTACTATTTTAATTGAACATTTTCCCTTTTTATACATTTTGAAACAAAAACTTACAAAAACGTTCGCCTTTTTAAAAAAATTAAATTTTGTGGATTTTCTAAATTTAATGAAAATCGAATTTTGTTGGAAGCTAATATTTGAAATTTTGATCATTTTTAAACCTTCCCTGGGGTCATGTGAGGTCCAATACAAAATTTGGGCCTGATCAGCTCATTCTTTTGACATTTATTGGATACAAACAAACAGACAGACACCCAAGCAAAGTACATAATTTTATTTTATTCATATGATATACTATTACTGCGATTGCGTATATAAGAATTTTTCCTTAAACTTTTCATTCCCGGGGTGCTGCTCTCAGCCCTCATGGTGGGCTAGACCATAATTTTCACTTTCTTGGGGAAAGAGACTTAGTCCTCATAGTATAATATATACCTTTGTCTTCGTCCTCAATGCTGCGTTCTAAATATTCTTCTTCGATGTGCAGAATTATGCATTCTCTCTATAGGTCCTCATTATTGCATCCTCAGTGTTTCATGATTAGTGCATCTGCATAGGTTGTTATTAGGTTTCTGTAATTTTACTTTGAAGAAGGCTAAACAATGTTTTACTTTAAATTATTATTAATCTTTGTTTGAAGTGAGTAATGTAGTCCTATCCTCCAGCACTTCTGGATCTGACGAATCAGGTTTCATTATTATTATTTAAAAATAGATCCTTCAGTCGGTTTTGTAATCTTTAATCCTCCTTTCGAATGAAAGGTGCACCGTCCATTAGCGTATATTATATTCTTAATTGCATGTGGGACCCCTAGGGGTAGTTGATACTTTTACTCAAATTTATTTAATTTCCCCAAACATCGGTTATTTTTCCCAGTTCACCTGGAGAAAAAGCATTTTTAACTTCTGGGGGAGATTATTATTTTCGAAAGTGTGTGGGGGTGACATTTTTAAAGAAAATGTACACCCCTCATAAAATAAAGAAAAATGTTTGTTAAGTTTGTTAACTAACAAACTGATATTTTTCTTTGTGTCAGGTGTCGGAGGGAGCAAAGGAGCAGGAGGAAGTGTCGGAGGAGGTAAAGGAGGCAAAACCACAGGATCCGGAGATAATCAGATGCTCTGTCCCAAGTGTGGAAGTCCTTGTGAGCATGTGGCAACGTTAATCTCCAGTACACGGTACTTTTTTTCAGAATAAAAAAATTATTTCATTTATTTTTACCTATTCATATAATTTACTCGAGATCAGTCCAATTAAAATCTTTCTTTTTTTCATATAGTTTAAGTATGATTGTTCCATTTTTGAGTATTTATTTTTTTTGTAATTGAGGGTTTTTTTCAGATTTGTCAAGTGTGAGAAATGTTCCCATTTCTTTGTTGTACTCAACGAACAGGATCAAAAAGCCAAGGAAATAATGCATCATCATTTTTTTGTTTTCTCTAAAAGAATTGTTTCTTTTTGTTAAAAGTTTTTTGAATATTTTTATCGAGTTTTTTAAAATCACGATGCATTTTTTAGACAAAAGAGACGAGGAAGGCCAATCAAACATTTTTTTTAATTTAAAGATTTTTCGAATTTATTTTTTGATATCAATTTTTATTTTAACTAAAGGTAAACGTGGACTATCATGACCAATATTTAGTAGATTATATAAAATTCGTGATTAATAAAACTATCGGAATTCTTGAGAAATTTTGTTTTTGTTAGTTAGATAGTCATTTTAAAAAACGTAAATTTCCATTTGAGAATACAAAAAAATGAGATTTATCGACTCAATATTTGATTGCCAGGGAGGTTGACAACGGAAAGGGAGGAAGAAAGCCTCCTCCCTACCCAAAGAAAATTTTTGATTTCCTCAACAACCACATTATTGGTAATTTTGTTATTATTTTAATTTACTGGGGAATGATTTCAGGAATTTTTTGCTGAATTTTTTGGAAAAAAATTATTAAAAATGGAACGTGTTTTGCGAGTAAAAAATAACTTTTGCCAAATGTTAAAAAATATTAATTTATTGACCCTATTATTTTGTTTTACAGTCCACAAAATAGTCTGAAGTCTCTTTCTTGTCAAATAATCTGAAATTTCTTCTTTCAATATTTATTGAATTGATTGAATTAATTGAACAGAATTTATACATATATTTGATAAACCCATGTTTATTAATGTTTAGGTCAGGATGTTGCAAAGAAAGCTCTCAGGGATATACAAAATATTTAGATATATGACGATTGATTCACTAATATTGAAGTAGGCTCCCGTAATCTTGTTATACTAATTCAAACTATTCTATAGTGCGTTTTTCCTGAAAATAATATCTTTTTCAACATCTTCTTAACTTCTTTTTCATTAATACAGATATAAGATTTGTTTTTGCAGAGTTTCTTATTTATAATTTTCATATTTTTTACCCCCTCCTAAAATTTTCATTTCCCTGTTTAAGAATTAATTTGTAGCGCTGATTTTTTTTTCTCGAATTATAAGACGACAAACTATTTATTTTTACTTCATTTGACCAAATATTGTATTAGTGTGGCAGTGTATAATCACTACAAGAGAATCTATCATAATATTCCTGTCAACAAGAAAAATCAGGTTAACCCCTTTTTAATGACAGGATGTGAAGTAGCCAATTGAAAAATTAGAATTATTTTTGAAATAAAATACATATTGTCATTCAGTGGGTCTAGTGTTTTGATTGTTACTTTTTACAGTGTTTTCTCTTTATCTTGTTAATTTTCTATTTTAAAAACCTTTTTTTAGCATTGTTTGATGATTTTTGCAAAACTCAGTGCCTACTAGACTATGATTAATGATGCGCTACGTTTAGATTAAGTTTGGCCAAATCAAACAGCTTTTTAAACCTTTAAAAAGGATGGATTGAATAATAATTTGATTTTCTTGTTTCAGGAGAATTTATCAGAGCAGTCTGGCCGCCAGCTACCGAGTCACAGGTAAACAAAACTTAATATTTCATGTTTTTTTACTGGATTTTATTATTATTTTAATGTGACGACTACCGGAATAAATCCGCCAAAACTTCATGTCGAAGCAGCAGCTGATTTTAAAATCTTTGGCGGGAAAAAGTCAAACTCGTTACAGATAGAAAAAGTTAAAACAACAATGGTCGTCCCTACGTCCTCTTTTTATAAACAGACCCATGCATTTAGGTTTACCCTTTTTCAATGTTAATCTTAAATATATAAAAGGGATCTGCTACATATTGCTGGTATGGGATCAGCTCTAGGAGTTGGATTCCAGCCTGAAGCTCGTCAACAGGAACCTCAACAGACGGTAGGAGATAATTTGATTGATCAACTGATAAGTTGATGAATCGATTAATTGAATAATTTATTGGTTTGACAGTTGGTTAGTGGTTTATTGGATCAGTGGATTAATTGATTAGTTGATATTAGTTGATTTGTTGAATGGTTGGTTAGTCCATTAGTTTATTATTTTATCGATTGATTGAATGAATTAAAAAATAGTAAATTGAATGTTAAATCTATTAATTGATTAGTTGATTAACTGTTACGTCTGATAGATATTCAAGTAATCTGTTGATATGTTGAAAAGTTTATAGTTTACTTACTGAAAGATTGATTGAAAAATGATTGATCGAACTCAAACTGACAAGAAACTCGCATAATTTGATTTATTGATTGGCTAGTTATGATGTTAAACTTGATTGATTGATTGGTGAATCTAGGAGGCTGCTTCTCCTGGAGCCGCGTCTGGTGCTGATCATGGCTCAGATATTCTTGAGGCAACCTCTCATAACCTCAGGTCTGTTATTTAAAATTCGAAGACGTAGTCGCATCATTGCCATTTTGCATTTATTCCGGCTGTCAATAAAGGTTTATAGCCGGTTTTACTTTTGCTAGTGTAATGTCAAAGCTAATAAATTGATTGTTTTGTTAAGGTTGGAGAAATCTAACATCATGATGTTCGGATCCACAGGGAGCGGTAAAACCCTTCTTGCCCAAACCATCGCAAGGTACAAATCATTCAAATATTTTTAAGGGATATATATTTTCTTGAAAATAATTCTCTCCTTTTTAAAAATCTCCTTTTCCTTTAAGAAAGAAATATTTTCGCGCAAGAATTTAGGGTTGTATATTCTCTTAAATGGATTAATGATTTTTAGGAGGAATTTTTAGAATGAAATATCAAGAAGGTTTTGAAACTTTTAAAATTTTTCCTACTTTTTTCCAGAGCATTGAAAACTATTCCTTCCCCCCTTCCACCCCCTCTTGTACTTTAAAATATGAACCCCTGTTGTTCTACTTGATTTAACTTTTAAAATCTTTAGAATACAAACTATGGCGAATCATACAGATTTTCAATGCCAAAATCAACCTTTGTAGATTTTACCAGGCATATTTTGGCCCCGTTCTCTTGTGGTTATTCTGGATTCCCAGCCCCTCCTATAAAAGAGTAACTTCACAGCACATTTGATTAAAACTAACCAATTATTTTAGATGTCTTGATGTTCCCTTTGCAATCTGTGATTGTACAACTCTAACCATGGCTGGGTGAGTACTAAGTATAAACCTTGAACTTGATATCTTCTTCTTAAAAGTTGTTAAACTTTAATGCCCCAAATTTCTAGAAAATCATGCTTAATTAGGTTAACAGACTTAAGAAAGTAAAAATGAGCCAAAAAAACAAAAACCAGTTTTTGACTAATTAAATTAATATAAAAAAAGATGCTATAATGGACGAAAGATGACAATGCCCAATTTACCACGGTTTACAAGGATACCGTTGTAAATTGGGCATTTCCATCTTTCCATGGCCTTAAAAGCTTTGTCTGATCAATTATGAAATAGATATTCATGTTTTTGTGTCTTCAACCTGTTTATTTTAATTTGCGGGTTCTCTGCGAAAGTGACTTGTCCATATCTTGCCTATAAGAAGCAATGGAGTAACTTACAGAAATAATTACTTTTTGAGTGAGAGAAAAGACGTTCACTACCACATTTTTTATCAGATTAAGGTTTCAAGGGTAGCGGTAAAATCGGGCATTGTCATCTTTGGATGGAGGGTCACTAAAAATTACGCTTACAGTCCCTTTAGTAAATGGTGTCTAGGTATGTTGGTGAGGATATAGAGAGTGTAGTGGGTAAACTCCTCCAGGATGCTAACTACGATGTAAACAAAGCCCAGACCGGGATCATCTTCTTAGATGAGGTCAGATTAAACTTAATTCTAGTTTCAATTTAATCTTGGTTTTAACTTAATCCTTGGTTTTACATACAGAGCGTCCCATATCATATTAGACTATCTCCAAGCTTCAATGCCAAAATAAACCCATAATACTCGAAAAACCTAACATTTTCTGCAAGAAAAAATTTATATAAGCCTTATTCAATTTTACGAAATGATATCTTCTCCATAATATTTTTTATTAGTCCCAAAAAAACATAATTAAGACTGATTAACGATCTAACATGATATGGGACATATCCCTGTAGTTGCCCACTGTTCTTAAATTTAAGACTTAGCTTTAAAACAGCAATTCGTTCTTTAAGTTTTTAATTTTCAAGGAGAAAAGTTCTTAATTTTCAAGGAGAAAAGTTCTTAATTTTCAAGGAGAAAAGTTCTTAATTTTCAAGGAGAAAAGTTCTTAATTTTCAAGGAGAAAAGTTCTTAATTTTCAAGGAGAAAAGTTCTTAATTTTCAAGGAGAAAAGTTCTTAATTTTCAAGGAGAAAAGTTCTTAATTTTCAAGGAGAAAAGTTCTTAATTTTCAAGGAGAAAAGTTCTTAATTTTCAAGGAGAAAAGTTCTTAATTTTCAAGGAGAAAAGTTCTTAATTTTCAAGGAGAAAAGTTCTTAATTTTCAAGGAGAAAAGTTCTTAATTTTCAAGGAGAAAAGTTCTTAATTTTCAAGGAGAAAAGTTCTTAATTTTCAAGGAGAAAAGTTCTTAATTTTCAAGGAGAAAAGTTCTTAATTTTCAAGGAGAAAAGTTCTTAATTTTCAAGGAGAAAAGTTCTTAATTTTCAAGGAGAAAAGTTCTTAATTTTCAAGGAGAAAAGTTCTTAATTTTCAAGGAGAAAAGTTCTTAATTTTCAAGGAGAAAAGTTCTTAATTTTCAAGGAGAAAAGTTCTTAATTTTCAAGGAGAAAAGTTCTTAATTTTCAAGGAGAAAAGTTCTTAATTTTCAAGGAGAAAAGTTCTTAATTTTCAAGGAGAAAAGTTCTTAATTTTCAAGGAGAAAAGTTCTTAATTTTCAAGGAGAAAAGTTCTTAATTTTCAAGGAGAAAAGTTCTTAATTTTCAAGGAGAAAAGTTCTTAATTTTCAAGGAGAAAAGTTCTTAATTTTCAAGGAGAAAAGTTCTTAATTTTCAAGGAGAAAAGTTNTGCAGGGTTGTCCTCATATGATATTAAAGCATGTCTGATTCTCGACGGTTCTTATCATTTATCTGACGAACTATAAGAAAGGTTTCTTTAAAAGTGTTACATTCTCAAATTTTTCTTGATTGTCTCTACAGCATCAATACGCAAGTAATTTTAGAGAAGACACAATTTTCATTCATCTTTGATTAGACACAGGTTTAAAAGATATTGTTTTAAATCAGCCACACCACTCCCTGATCGGAAGGTCACTGGAAGTTAATGTTTCTCCCTTGTGAATAATTCTAAACTTAACATTAATCAAAACTTGACTCATAACATAGCCTGCAGGACATGATACATTGGATGGAGGTTGAATATTGATAATAATAATGGTAGGAGAAAGAATGAGAAGTATCTTGGGTTTGGAACCTCTACTGGTGGGGGCCAGGGTAGAAGAGCAGCGGCACAGGTAGCTTAGTGTACACTCTAAACAGTGTACGTACAGTGTACAACACACACTGTACACTCCTCTATCTGTTTATTAGTAGTTTAGTGTACAACTAAACGAGGGGAGGAAGGCCAACCACAACAATTCCTAGTCCGAGACAACAATTTTCTCGTCCGAGCCATCTCGAAATACTTGTCCTTTCTAAAATATTTTTTTAAAGTGTCCAATCCTTGAAGATGAGAATATTTTTTAAAAATCTGTCCACGTTAGGGAATAAATGAAATATTGAATTTTTTCTTACTTTTAAATTTGTGAAAAAATGTATATGCTCCCAAAACGATGTTCTACAAATTAGCATCTGTCTGCAGTAACCCTTTTTATCGTAGAATTCCGCAAATTTCCATGAAATTCAATTAAAACAACTATTTCTAATCTTAAACTTTATTTTCGCCCATATTTCCTTAATGATTTAAATACTGTTTGAATTTATAAGGTTGTGACGGAAAAATTGTAGCAAATGATTTAAATAATTTAAATTAAACATTATTTTCTCCTTGGATTGGATATAATCGTGAGACAGGCAGAAGTGATCTTGGTACAAGAACAAAAATTTGCCTTATTTTAAATATATCAGAAATCAATGATTTTTTATATGGGTTGAAATGAAAAGATTATAGACCATTTTTAAGTTAATACTTTGATATAATTTTTGATTTATGGAAAGTTAGCAATTTTTGAGGCAGAAGAGGTTTAAGTTTTAATCTAAATAAAGTTTGACATCATTCTCGTGGATTAAAAGATCCCAGCATTATAAAATCATTGAAAAACTTTAGTCTAACCATGTTTTATATACTTACGTGGCCAGATTTTCAAAAAATATTTTCATCTTGAAGAATTGGACACGAAGTAAAAATATTTTTGAAAGGACGAGTAAGTGCGTTTTTTGCTCCAGTAATTTTTCATAAGAATTTTTAATCGTTAAAAGTGCGTTTTTTGCTCCAGTAATTTTTTGATAAAAATGTTTAATTACTCGTTGAAAAGTTAGGTTTTTTGCTTTAGTAATTTTTTGATAAAAAATGTTTAATTACGCGTTAAAAAGTGCGTTCTTTGCTTCAGTAATTTTTTGATAAAAAATGTTTAATTACTCGTTGATAAAAGCGTTTTTTTGCTCTTTTTTGATAAAAAGTGCAACTTCTGAAAATGCGGACAGAAAAATTTAATTTTTGAATTACCTAGGAGCAAAAGTAAGATGGATCTAATATATACATTTAGGCTGGTCAGGCCGAAGGAAGTTTATCCAGTGAGCAAGAAGATGCCTTGGAGAGAGACAGGTAGGGTCAAAAAGTACAGATTTAGATTACAAGGACATTATGTTTTCCATAGCAAACAACGCCTCCTCTCTTAGATAAAGCATGCAAAATACTTGCAGAATATATTCAGGACTAGGGCCGCAACCCTTATATAACCTTTATGCTGTCAACAAGAATGTGTTCACACCCTTTGCTAATGTTAGATGTCAAAGTCTACTACAGACAACGAGTATGGGTTCACACCCCTTGCTAATGGTAGATGTCAAAGTCTACTACAGACAACGAGTATGGGTTCACACCCTTTGCTAATGGTAGATGTCAAAGTCTACTACAGACAACGAGTATGGGTTCACACCCTTTGCTAATGGTAGATGTCAAAGTCTACTACAGTCAACAAGAATGGGTTCACACCCTTTGCTAATGGTAGATGTCAAAGTCTACTACAGTCAACTAGTATGGGTTCACACCCTTTGCTAATGGTGGATGTCAAAGTTTACTACAGCCAACGAGTATGGGTTCAACCCTTTTGCTAATAATGGATGTGAAAGTCTACTACAGTCAATACATTGCCACTTTCCTGAATCAATATTTATTTATAAGTTCAATCAATGCATTTCCTGAAAATGTTTTGATTATTTGAGTGCTGACTAAGTATTTACTTGTAAATTCACAATGAATGTATATTCAGTTGAGATTTCAATATGAATAGTCTGTTTAAACAAATACCGATCAGAACAAAATTATTAAACATCATATTTTCAATTGGCTCATAATAAATTTTCTTTTGTGTTTTATTTTAAGCTGAACCATCATACCATTATAATTTTGTATTTTGTGTTTGAAAATAAATACTAAAAAATATTTTGAAAGAAAATCGAATTTTTTCAAGAAATTAATTCAAAAGAATAATTTTTACTTAAAATTGAAGTATTTTTTACACTAAAAATATATAAATATTAATGCTTAGGGAAAGTATATTTCGATAGGGAGGGATGGATAATCTGGAGATTTACTTTAATAAATATAACAAATAAAATTTGTTATTTTTTCTTGTAGATATTTCTCCGATGTTGAAGCTCAAGACTTGATTGAGTTCGGTATGATTCCCGAGTTCGTTGGTAGATTCCCAGCCCTTGTTCCCTTTCATTCACTCACAGAGGAGATGCTGGTAATTCATTCATCCATTCATCAATTTATTCATCCTGTCATCCTTTTATTTATTCTTTCATTCTTTCTTCTACATATAGTCATTCATCCTGTCATCTTTTTCTTTATTCTTTCATTCAACCTTCCTCCTACATTTCTCTCGTAATTTTACTTTTAGCTAATCCTGCATATTTAAGTAGAATGAATTAATTTTATTTTTTAAGGTCCGTATCCTCACCGAGCCCAAGAACGCTCTTGTTCCCCAATATCAAATGCTCTTTGGCATGGACAAGGTTAGTTTAGTTCTATATTACCGAACTCAAATCTGAGATATTAACATAGTGCAAGATCAGAAGTATATGATATATTAGATGGGAACCCAGCTTTCCCTGGAGTTTTCTTTTTAAAAGTCCACCAACTCAACTGACGATTGTTAAACCAAACAATGATAATAAACAAGATAAGAACATACTCGTGAGTTATGATCGGACATCAAAACAGAAAACTAAACACCCAAACAGAGATGCGCTCACCAGATGGCACTCTGGGGTGCTTCCAGATACTTTTCCTGGTATTCATGATCTGTCAATGTCCTTATTTTCTTATTTTTCGCACACAGCAAGCATAGATTGAGAACGTTCGATTTAATATTTTGGTTTCCTGTAAGACAGTGAGTTTTAATTAGTATATTAATATTGTTTTTAGTCGTTTACGCTGAATAACGTATTATAGGCTGGTACATTATTAGGTCGTAAATGGTGAACAAGAGGTTAAAGTTATTGTGTCCTGAACCTGTGAGTAATATTATGCTTAGCCGGCCACCTTTCCCGTTGACAACTAAACCTTATTTAGCAATACAATTGCTTGATTGGTACATTCTAGGTTGAGTTGAAGTTTACCCCTGAAGCACTGATTGCAATCTCTAAGATGGCAATCCAGAAGAAGACTGGGGCCAGGGGGCTCAGAGCCATCATGGAGAAGTTGCTACTCGACGTTATGTTCGAGATTCCAGGTAAAGAATAAATAAATGTTTTTCCTTAGATGTTTGATATTTGTTAGAGTTTTATTCGCTGAATTTGGAAAAATAAATGATGTTAAGGAAAATAAATGATATTAAGGGAAAATAAATGATTTTAAGGGAAACTAAATGATATTAAGGGAAAATAAATTATATTAAGGGGAAATAAATGATATTAAGGGAAAATAAATGAGTTTAAGGGAAAATAAATGATATTAAGGGAAAATAAATTATATTAAGGGAAAATAAATGATATGAAGGGTAAATAAATGATATTAAAGGGAAATAAATTATGTTAAGGGAAAATAAATGATATTAAGAGAAAATAATTTATATAAAAGGAAAATAAATGATTTTAAGGGAAAATAAATTATATTAAGGGAAAATAAATTATATTAAGGGGGGAAAATTATATTAAGGGGAAATAAATTATATAAAAGTGAAATAAATGATATTAAGGGAAAATAAATGATTTTAAGGGAAAATAAATGGTATTAAGGGAAAATTAGGGAGCATAAGATAAAGAATTAAAATGATAGTCAAATAATTTCACGTCCCCAATATTTTTTATCATTTCTTGGATTTTTAAAATGTTAGTTATTTAAATTACTCATAGAGAAAAAATGGGAATACTTATCGCATCTCAAAATTAATGAATTTTGAATATTTCAGGATCAAATATTGAATGTGTTGAAGTTACTGAGGAAGCTGTTCTCGGGATGTCGTCTCCAAACTTCTCATATGCCGAGGTACAGAATTTGTTAGGATTCTTGCCTGAATTCGATGGATTGATCGATTCTTTATGTTGATTAATTGATTAAACTATTCACTTGATTCGGCTTTATTTTATTTTATTTTATTTTATTTTATTTTATTTTATTTTATTTTATTTTATTTTATTTTATTTTATTTTATTATTTTATTTACTTGTTTGAGATTGGTTGAGATTGGTTGATTGTTTGATGGGTGGATAGTTTTGTTAAGTTAATTGATTTTATTGATTGAATTCATTGATTATTGATAAATTAATGAAACTGATATGAATTGAAATGAGCGAGTTGCTTACTTTAATAATTTGTTTTGTTTTGATTGATTGATTCATTAGTGATTGATTCACTGCGATTGATTGATTGATTGATTGATTGATTGATTGATTGATATTGTTTAGGCTCCTAAGGAAGGTGGGGATGAGAATGATCAATCTGATGATCTACAAAGAGCATCAGCTTAGTGCATAGTCTAATACAAGACCAAACACAGGTCAGTCTATTCTTAATATAATAAACAAATCAAAACTTTCCATTATCCTGAAGTGGCAATTTTATATTTTCTTTAAATCAATTTTTATCCCCAGATGATTGGTATGGTTGCATGGAGCGTAAAAATTTTATTAGGGTTTTATTCCCTGAATTGGGAAAAATATATGATTTTTGATGAACAATAAATGAATTTTTGGATAGAAATGGTGAAAAAGAGTGAAAAGAACTTGCCCTTCTAATAAAGCAATCCCTGAATTTTAATATTATAAGAAAATGAACATTAAAAAAATTGCTCACCCTATGTCGCATCATTTTTTGTTCAATTTTTTTTATCTTTTCTAGTAATCCCCTTGTTAAAGACCCTTTTCAATAGATTTTTAAGAAAAATTGGCCAAACTTCATATTTTTTGCAAGAAGTAATTCACAGATTGTATTATTGAGAGATGGGACGCTTACAGGATTTTCGGCCTTTTTCTTTTTTTATGCTGTTACCAAGGATCGGAATTTTTGTGTGCAAATTGTTAATCCTGACCTTCAATATCAATATTCAATGCGGGCACTTCTAATTTTAGGATCAATGCTTGATCTCTCAATTAAAGTTATCCCTGAATAAATGACGATCAGGAGATATCGAACTGAAAATATAATAAGCGGTAGATAAGCATAGGAGATCAATTTATGCTTGATCCCGAAGTTCACAACACAAAAATTTTGACTTTAGAGCTGAAAACTCGTATTGTATATTGGATACCCCTAATCATGATTGCTTGATCTCTGTATCCACTCGATATTCTACTTAATCCTCCCTTTTGGATTTCCATTATCTATGCTGTCTTTGATTTCTCTTATTTATTGCGGGCCAACATTTTTAAATTTCTCGACTATTCAGTTTCTACAATCGATATCTGATAGGTTGCAGTTTAAACAATTTTCCGGATATTGAAACGTAAGATACAATTACGCTTTATATTAATACAAAAGAGGAAATCAAGCATTGATCTCTACATCCACAATTCTAAAATTAGAAGCTCAGAGCTGGGAACTTTAGAATGGGATATTCTTAATCCCGATCTGTTAATTGATCTGTAAATTAATAACAAGAGGAGAACAAACATTATTTAATCTGAGCTGAAAACTTTAAAATGGGATATCCTTAATCCCGATCTGTTAATTGATCTGTAGATTGATAACAAGAGGAGAACAGGCATTATTTAATCTGGAGATTAAGCAATAATCCCGATATCAACTATTCAAAAGTTCCCAGCTCAGGGTATTTATTTTCCCAAAAATCCGTTTAGTAATTACAACCCTCCAATAAAATGTTGCACTAAACATCGTATTTAAGTTTGCTTTATAATATCATTAATCTAGGTTTCCTGCTGTAGGATGTATTCTACTACACAATATTCCTAAAACTAGAATCAAATATTCAAATATTTAATTCCTTCGGGATCCTCGACCAACCCGGCCGGTCGTATTTGCCGTTGTTATTTATTGGCATTTTTCATGTTTTCAGAATTTAATTGTAAACTTGTTTTGTCTCTAGTTCACATTCATTCTTGAGGACACTAATCTTCAATTCAAAAGTTGTGTCATGAATTTAATATTTACCACTTTTGTTATTCAATTCAAATCAAATATTCTAAATTTATAAATTACAAAAAAACAATAAACTGACAAATTTAAATGATGATAAATCTGAATTTGTTAATTTAGTTTGATTTATACTTTTATGTACATATTTTTTGTTTAGCAGAAAAATTGATGATAAAGATCAATCGGAAGAAAAAAACTAGTTAGAAAAAGTAAGCATATGCTGTCTTAGAAGTAAAATATTAACTGGGGTTTAAAATAAAAATTAAAATTTTTTGTTGAAATAGTTTTTACGAATAGTATACTCCCCTATGAAAATGGTTGCTTCCCCTGAAAAATTTAACATCTAAATTTGTTGGTGTCAAAAATTTGTAATATTTTATAATTTTTAGATTCATTTCATCACTTTAGAACTGCAAACTGTTTAATAACATAAAATGTTGATATGAATACAATGTTTATATTTTACAAGAGAAATTTTAAAATCTTAACTTCTAAAGTTGGTAACTGTAAAAAATTACTTGAATTCCTTGAGTTATATGCAAAGCATTAACATTTAACAGTTAATATACTTGTTATTCTATGGTAGAGACAGGGGCGGATATAAGGATTTTGTAGGGGGGGGTAAAAATTTAGAACTTTGCGCGCGAAGCGCGCCGAAATTTTTTTTACCCCCCCCTAGAAATTTTTTTACCCCCCCCTAGAAAAATATCATGATGTATATCAAATTATTGGTTTTAATTGGGTTTGATTTGCATTTTCCACTCATTTCTGGGATTTACAAACTCAATCTAATAAAGGCTTCATTACATACCTTTCAGCTTTCACCTTGTTTTATACCCTTCATTATAGTCATTCATTTTACATTAACTACAAAGATCTGTAAAAAAACTGAATTTATTT